GGAAAGCGCGGGACTAGAGAAAACCGAAGGATGAGCCATTGCATCATATATGAGATAAGGTCGAATTTCACCGTTCCCGTTGAGTTCCAAATGCTATCAGGATATGAAGGGGGGTAGTTCTTCAAGTAGCTTGCCACGGCGTCTTTCTGGTAATCAGGGATGGCGAAGTAGTTGCTGAAGCCTCCACTGGAATAAATGACCTGTTCGCATGCGCTTTCTGGCTCGAGCACGCTGGAGTTGGGGCTGACTTGCGTCGCTCCAACGGAGGTGACATACGGACAGGTGCCAGGGAAAGTGGGGTTGAAGACCTTGCCACCTGGGGTTTCAGTGCCTGTGGAATTCAGCCGTAAACCTAAGCCCACAGACGACGCCCACCTCCGCATCTCATATATCACACTAGAAAAACTCACCATTAGGGTTCAAGCAGAAGCCAGCATTACCTGCGACACCATTGTCACCAGAGCTGTACAAGACGGTAACACCCATTAGTCCAAGTTTTGCATATTCAGCGCATTGACGGGCAGCATAGAACGGGGTAATATCTGCCTCATTGTAACCATATGAAGTGGTTATAACATTTGCAGGCTTGACTGTGCCACAGTCTTGCGGTTTGTCGTATCCGCCAGGCTGGGTGTCCGGATACATAGAGTCTTGTGAAGGATCGTCGCCGCCCTCAAACGTGCAATATGAGCCATCTATCGCATCGAGGAAGTTGTTGAATGATGCGCCTGTAGAGTATCCTTGGTTAAAAAGACTGCATACAAAAAGGCACTGGATCGTACCTATGTTAATATCTCCAACTTGATACATAGTGACGTTCTGTTTGGATGTGACTAATGTCATGCCATACTGCAAGTCAAGGTTGGATTCTCCGTTGTCCGCAAAGCCTTTGTTTGTGGTTTGAATGATGCCTAAGACAGATATTGCTCGTTAATGTAACAGTCAATGATAAAACATATTTGAATAGTACCTCCGTCAATTGAAATTGTGTTGGGGGCGAACTGAGCGCTGTTAAGAATATTGGCATATTTTTCAGCAAAGAGATCCATATCACTCTGAAGATAGGCTTCGGGAGTGTATTCCACTGCGAATGTGCCTGAGTAAAGAGCAGGTTTAAGATGCGAAGTACAACTTACCGATACCAAAACTGTTTTTTGATGTGGCAACAGGATCATAGACTAAGCCGTACAGAGCACGGAGACAGGCGGGAGTAATTTGCTTGTCGCAGTTTTCGAGTTCACCGACCAGACCCAGGAGATCGTCGACAGTACCCGTGGTCTTCGGACCATTACCACTGCCAGGTAGTCCAACTCGAGTAGGATCACTAACGGGGTCCGATCGCTTCGATAATTTGGCATCAAAGTGGACGGTGGGGGTGACAAAGTCGACATGAGGTGTGATGTGAGCAGGTAGGTGGTAACTCTCGCAGGCTATGATAATGGTGATCGCAATTAGGAATGTCGGGTTTGATGAAAAAAATCACCCACCAATGTGTTCTTTGCCAGTCTCATGTTTATACACGTGATAGTCGGCTTGCAAAAGAGCCTCTGCCTCTTCAATGGTAGCCTTGACTTCAATCCATCCTTTGGTGCGTGTCAGTTTGATGCGCTCGGGCTCAAGACCACTTTGCATGAGCCAGGAGCGAATAGCATCGACAGAATCATGGCTAGGAGCAAATTTAGCTGCTATTTCAGCAGCAGTCCAATGATTCCCATAGTTGGAGGATCCAGGTAGTGAAATATCGTAGAGATATTCGCCGATATTCTCAATGTTACTTTGGGCGATAGCAAAACGTAGAGGGATAATGGCTGCAGAGTTGTGTTTACCAGCGCGAGACCATCCTTGCGGTGCACTGCTTCGCTTTTCGTGTAAGACGTAGGGTGATATAACGGGATCAGCCAAGGAAACGACGGCAAGGGCTAATGAAACGAGTGGAAGGAGTAAAGAGCGCATTTTACAAGAGCAGATTCGAGAAAGAGAGCTAGCTTGGACTGAGGGCTGAAGGACATTTTATATAACCAGGCACTGTAAAGTGAGCGCTTGGCTGTGTTATGTTATGGCATCGAGATTTGATCGTTCCATACGAATATTCGACGCAGATCTATTTCGAGACAACAACACAAACGTGATGCCTTAGAGCTTCGCTGTTGACTCGTCCTTGACGCCGTGACAGAAGGATAGCTATGATCTAGAAAACGCATGAGGACGTCGAGAACAAGAAATGGTCTGTTGAACCGTATGTACCTCTCTATTTCTCATGCGTGTGCGCCTCAGGTCGGGTTCTGCCGCTCTTCGCTTTCAGCCATTTACTACTAAAGACCGTTTAGACCCTTTTAAATTTTATGATAGCGATAACGTATATTACTGAATAATGCTTAGATCTTATCTCCATGTATCGACCAGGCTCGATCGAGCTTGTTGCTGTGCCGCATCAACTATAAGGTCAGATGGTGATATCCATCTTCCAGTTAGAGGTCAGAAAATAATGTAGTTTCACTGGAATCTCGTGAAAGTTTAATGCGGACGTGTTTTCACGGTAGCGTAAAACATGCAGTATTTTCAAGCAGTACTAAGAGCAATCTGATTCATTGACGCTCCTGGATCCGTCGTTATGCAGTTACAAAGACCTATTGCACTTAGTATATGGAAGGTAGTAGTGAGTGAGTCAGCCTTTAAACGAAGATGCTGTATCATGCATATTCCACACACCTTGCACATTACTGAGTAAATAAGACGGTGCAAAGTTAACGAAGCTATTGTATATCTGTCTGATGTGACTTGATACAACCGAAAGTTCAAGTGTGGAGCATATCAAAGAAGTCGTGGAACTCATCAAAGGGCCCTTATATCACCATACCCATACCTCTTCCTCGGTGCAATGTATTGCCGGCCATATGAAGTAGGCGTCCTCTTTACGTTTATTACATGCAGCTTCTGCAGGGTACACAACAGCAGATTCTAAACTTCTTCACTCCGGCTCTGAGGATTAGCAGTGAGTAGCACCTTACCAAAAAGAACTTAGCCGGGTTTCTGGTTCAAAGGATGATAGCTACTTCGGGTTTCAAACCATTTCCCGCCTCAGCATCTTGAAACGCGCGCCTCAGAAGACACGAGTCACAAATAAATATCACTCTTCCACTGATTATCATTTTGAGCGTGTACGCAGCGACTGCAGATAATAGCACTGTGAGTGTATTTACCATCGATTTCAGAGTGGTGGCTTGATATGAAATGTATATATGCGCTCTCGGTTCCAGTGGTGCCACGTGGATAATATATAGCGGGAGTTCGACACAGTTGATCAGCTATTCGACTTTGATGAGGTGACAGAAGACGACGATAACAGAAGATCACAAACTGAAAGGATACGGGCATCCCTTCCCATGCATCCAGAACATCAACTGGGATATAGATAACTATGGCGATGGATGACAATTGCAGCCTCGCATTTGTGTGAGAACTGTGTCTGAAGGAAGCCAAATGTGTCTGCTATTATGTTGTCGAGTAAGGTCAGATTTCCTTGAGCTCCTCAAATAAATTCCATTGGCGTACATATAATCCTAGACACGCGTCAATAAGAAAAGAAGTCTTTTTTCTTCCACACACTGTATCGATATATCGTTGAATGTGGAACCGCAGTGCAAGTTTATTTTTCCCAGACCGGACATTTTCCGGATGGCACACCGGGTAAGTAGGCCGCCCTCGCTCGCCGTTGATAGTTTTTCCTAGCTGCTTCATTAGTTTTACTGAACAGCGTAATCACTAGATGATGTATCAGCGGCAGCTACTGTCTTCAACATCGCAGGACAGCGTTCGTATTCTGTTGTAAGTAGTATCATGATGTTGATGAGCCCATTGATTTGGTCGCCAACTTCACCGAAAAAAGCTTCGAGGATTGTTGTACTGTGAGCTTGTTGGAAGATGTTTGTGAAGAAAATAAAAACAATTGTAAAGATAGTGCCGTTCGTACTGATAAAAACGTATGCATGAGGATGAGATTAACAACAAGTAAGCTTCGTAACAACTACACAAGCGCCCAATATTAATGAACTTGAAGCGTACCCACGCTTGGGCCAACCTTACATTAGCTGTTATTCTTACAGCGCACACGACCTGTTTGCTCAAGTCATATATGCATGACTCTACTCTCAGCTGTGGTTTACCGGGTTCGCCATAACTGAATGCTACACTGGCATTTACGATACCGGACGATTTCTTTCCACACACAAACTTCCATCGGAAGCTCAAGAGCATCGTGACACCCATTGTTATCATGGAGGGGCTGGTGCTCGAGAGTCATGCGCCTCTTGAGCGGCCAAGGTCCTCCCATTTAGTCAGGCTATGATGATGTCGGGCAAGGTAACGTGAAGCTCCCAGGTTTACCATTTCCAATCACTTATCTTCGTCGATCAAGAAACACAATCCTAATTTGACCGCTGCTCCCAACTACTTAACGCTGCGAACTAGTGCCCCCTCAGTTGACAACGACTGAGTTCCATAATAAGGACTTTAGGTCCTTGACAGGTCCTGCGAAGAAGCCATATATCCTTTACCGACTTGAATCCTAAGCACAAGTTATTTCTGGTAGGGCTTAGCCTCGTCGTATTCCCATGAGGCTTCTATTTAAATCACTGTCCGCAATAACCAATGAAAGCCAGTCGCAGTGATATCCTCCGAAAGCTTTGCGGGTTTACCAGGATCAACTACGAATATCACATCCAGCCTAGCAGGGTCTGCAGGATGAGTTTTCATGCACAACTTTGTTCTTGAATGCTCGCCGTAATTACGAACACTATCGCGGAGCTTCTGTCGCGAAGCGTTCTTATCAAGTATGGTCGGCCTCCTCCACTTGTAGGTGTGAGATCGTTGGTTCTCACCGTGCACATGCTAGGCTCAGAGACCTTATTTTGGACCTGACCACGCTGGCTCTGACATTCCGTCCCCACAGACGTCCTATTTAACAAGGCGTTCCTTCGTCCTATGTATTCAGGGTACTCCCCATGGCCAACATGCGGTCACTTATCTCCTTCATTGTTCTCAGCTTGGGTCTTCTTGCTGCGGCCGAATCCCCAATCTCCCCGTATAATCTGCACGAGAAACGTACACACATCCCAGCAGAATGGTCGCTGCAGCGGAGGCACGAGCCGACATCCGTTCTCCCTTTGCGGTTTGCTCTTACTCAGAGCAACATGGACAATTTAGAAGAACTTTTGATGGATGTTTCTCATCCAAAGTCTTCAAACTATGGAAACCATTGGACCCCGGGACAGGTTTTGAAAACATTTGCTCCAAGTGAGGAAACTATCTCAGCCGTACGGAACTGGATCCTCGAGAACGGTTTCGAGGAAGAGCGTGTCAAAGTCGCTTCGAACAAAGGGTGGATCGAGGTAGATGCCACCACTGAGGAGGCAGAGCGTCTTTTGCAAACAGAATACAATCTTTACACTCACTCCACAGGGAAGAACCATGTTGGTAAGTTCACAACATCATCGATCTTGTAAATCGTCATTGAAACATATATGTAGCTTGCAATGCTTATCACCTCCCATATCATATTCAGCCTCACGTTGATTTTGTTACTCCCACTGTGCACTTCGACGCTAAGATAACCCGACGTTCCGATGAGCCAGCTCGTTCGATAGGACAGCCTATTTTCGGTAGCTCACCTAAAACTACTGGCGCGGTTGATGACGCTGTTTTAATCAGCCCTACTGATGTTTCAACTTGTGACGAGTATATCACTCCTGCTTGTTTGAGAGCCCTGTACAGTTTCAACTACACGCCAGTTGCCACTTCGAAGAATAGTTATGGAATTGGTGAGTGCTTTTTTTTTCGCTGATTATTGCTTGGATGGTTGTGTAAGTCTTGGGATTTGGACGTGGTATAAAGAGCTGAAGAGACTTTTATTCCCATTCTATCACGTTTTCTACCCTCTTAAAGACTAGAGCTGACATTTTTTAAAGTTGAATACACCCCCGAGGCATACCTTCAGACCGACATAAATCTGTTTGCCATGAACTTCTCTGAGGGTCTCTATGGAAAGGCGCCTTACATGGTTTCTATTGATGGAGGTGGGTTCGTTAAATTGATCCAGTCCCTGATTTCCCGTTAACTGTCCTCTATCTATCTTAGGTTACGCACAAACAGAATATCAGAACTTTAGCTACAACGGCGAGTCCGACCTTGACTTGCAGTATGGCATGGATCTCGTTACACCCGCACAGCAAGTTACACTGTATCAAGTTGGAGATATGGTAGAAGGTACGGTGCTACATTTCTGACATAAATATCTTGGCTCAAATGCGAGTTAAAAGGTGCTTCTTTCAACAACTTCCTCGACGCGCTCGATGGCTCGTACTGCACATTCGAGGGTGGCGATGACTATACCCAGGATTCTAAGTATCCAGACACGGCACCCGGTGGTTATGATGGTAACATATTTTTATCATACCATACATTCCAGCTTGACGATATGTATCATTAAGGACCCGAGGCATGCGGTACTGCTACACCAACTTATGTTATATCTACGTCTTACGCATACGACGAGGCCGACCTTACGCCATTCTACAGCGCACGCCAGTGCGCAGAGTACGCCAAGCTCGGTCTGATGGGTGTGACCATCTTGTATAGTTCTGGTGATTACGGTGTCGCTGGTAATGGTGGGTTATGCTTGAACCCTAACGGTACGTGTTATCAGCACCTTGCAGAGTAATGACGAGTTTTGATGTACCTTATTTTTTCCATCCCACTAGGCACTCAAACCTTGGATGGAACGATGTTTAATCCTACCTTCCCCGGTACTTGTCCATATATTACCTCAGTGGGTGCTACCCAGGTGAATCCTGGCTCCACTGTTTATGAGCCCGAGGGTGCATGCGAACAAGTTATCTACTCGGGAGGTGGATTCAGTAACTACTTTGCGATGCCCAGCTATCAGAAGGAGGCCGTTGATTACTATCTGGCAAATTACTACCCCGATTACCCCGCCACTATGTGGAACTCCACTGGAATAGTACGTTACCATCCAATCGCCTGTAGATTTGTATTCATGCTCCTCGATGTAGTCTCGTGCATATCCAGATATTGCTGCAAATGGGGCGAACTATGTTGTAGCTGTAAGATTTTCTGATTTTATCCTTATTTTACATATCTCATTTATAATCTCTAGATCGATGGCGCATTTGAGCTCGTTTACGGAACCTCGTGTTCATCACCTGTCAGTGGTGCAATCTTCACCATGATCAACGACGCCCGTCTGGCTGCTGGTAAAAGCTCTATTGGCTTCATTAACCCCACAGTATGTTTTCCTCCAGTGTTGGTCCGTCGCTGCTGAATTACATGTTCTACCAGATCTATTCCACCGACTTCAGCGGTTTGTTCAACGACATCACTATGGGCGACAACCCTGGTTGTGGTACAAACGGTTACAATGCTACTCCTGGGTGGGATCCTGTCACCGGACTGGGTACTCTTAATTTCGACAAGCTGGTGGCTCAGTGGTTGACCCTCCCCTGAGAATATGAATGTTAAGACATAGAAGGGAATCGTAACAATTTAAGTCGTATTGAATTTTGGTATTGGCGTCATAAGATGGTATCAAGCTACTCTCTCTTCTATGTGTCAGTTGAAGTTTGCAGTTGCTTCGGCGTACTAGCAAGGGAATATGCGTGGTAATTTGCAATGCACCTGCCATCATGCCGTTAGATATAGTATATCTTGGCGGAAGGCTCCGAACCACGGGCAGCATCTTGACTCGAAAGCGAGAAAGACGCTCCCGGCGAAGTAGATAAGATACATTTTTAGTAAAGCATCGTATGAAAGGCAGGCCCGGGTCCCTCGTCTGAGCCCACATCCTATTCCGTACGTTGTATCATGGCATTTTCAGGAAAGATGTCTACGGTGCATCTACAAACATTCAGTAAACTGGTCGAGGAATGGAAGAGGCAGCAAGCTTCACCGAAAGGCTTTAACGCGCCCATAGCTACCGAACTTCTGGAAAGCACAGGAAGGATAGAAAGGGCAGCGCAAAAGGATGTGATAGTCGCGTTTAGGACGCGTCCTCCATTGGAAAACGAGGTAGATCAATATTCAAATGAGGCATCGAGAGACGAAGCTCCCGACGAACTTGAAGTGAAGACGAGTTTCTGTGCAGGAATTAGCAACGTAAGCGCGGAACCTGGTATATTTATTGCACATGTACCAGTGACTAAGGTATGGCTCATATTCATGTTTTGCCTGTCCTTGTATCGAGCTAAAGATCATTATGGTCATCAGTGGTCAGGCGTAACATTAAACCACAAGACCTACAATGCTGATCTGGCTTTTGGCCCTGAGTTAGACAACGAGGAAGTATATCAAAGGATGGTAGTGTTGACTGACGTGAGTGATTTCTCCGCCGTGTCTTTCATTGAATATCAAATCATGTTTGTAGCTTCTGCCGATGGTTCTTTCTGGAGGGATCGGGTGTATACTGGCATATGGGCAAACAGGTAGTGGCAAGACCTTCACTATGGAAGGCCTTGAGCATCGCATAGCTCGTGATTTGTTTGCAACAGCTAAGAAGGTGGGCAGACGCCTGCTTGCATCAGAGGCTGGCATTGTGGACGTGGAGATCGAGGGAGACTCAAACTCGGACGTATTCGAGTTCAATGTGACATTTCTTGAGTTGCTTGGAAAGAAAGCAGTGGATCTTATAGAGACACCTACAACAGTCGATGACCAAGGTAATCCGATCAGGAAGGAAGTACCTGTGAAAGAAGACAAAGTAATTATCTATCCTTGTCATAATAAACTGTGAGATAAATGATTTACGCATCTGGCAGGTTGGCGACATCAGGCCACGTTTGGTTTCCACTGAGGTCAAGTCGTCCGATGACTTAGAAAGTCTGATCAACAACGCACTCGCGCACAGACGTACGAGCCCCACGTTAAGAAACGCAGCCAGCAGCCGCAGTCACGCTCTCCTCACTATCCGGGTGAAGAATAGACTCTTACCATATGCTGAAGAGGGGAAACTCATCTTGGTAGAGTATGTCCGACGAAGTATGTCTTAAGAATTGTGAGCATAGCTGAACTTGGCTGGCTTGCAGTTTGGCAGGGAGCGAGCGCTATGAAGACTCGAAGATGCACTCTAAGCAGCGTATGGATGAATCGCGGGAGAATAACAAGAGCCTGATGGTCCTGAAAGACTGTGTGCGCGCTAAAGCGAAGATGGCACAAGAAGATGGTTTTGTGCATATACCGTGGAGGAGCAACGTGCTAACCATGCTACTCAAGGTGGGTAGCTCTACATCGTCAAGCGTTGTCCCTGATTGAGTTGAAGACCAACAGCCAATTTTCGATGTCGAATCCCGCCAACCATCTCGGACAGCTATCATCGCACACGTTTCGCCACACATCCAAGATGTCGTGCACAGTGGCAATACCTTATCTTACGCATCTCCATTCAAGACTGCACCACCTAAGCCTCGCGGACCAGCACCGTACGATAAAGCGGACCCAAGGACATGGAATCACGAACAAACCTTGGAATGGCTGGAGGAAGAATTCATCAAAGTTACCAAGGCAAAGAGGAATCATGACAGGGAGGAGAGAGTAAAGGTTAGTATGAATATTACATTTCAGGTCGATAGAGAGTGAATTACTGGGCTTTAAGGGAACAAAGCGGTCCGAAAAGTCACAGATACCTCCTGAAGACGATGCAGTAATCATACTTGCCGTGGATTTGGACAAATTATGCCCTGTAGGTATGACTGCGATGCAGTTCGGGAGACTGTATACCATGGAATTCGTAGAACAGTGCCTACTGGCAATACCAGCTGTTGAAGGGCCAACAAAAGATGCGCCAAAGCAGAGAGGGAGACTAGAGGCAGATGCGGTAAAATATACGGCGATGAAGGTGATAGGACGACTATTTTATTTGATGTTGACTGCTAAGACCAGGACACGCAATGAAATTATGAAAAGTCGGAAGAAGCTGGTGGTAGATGAAACATATGGTGGGCGTGGTGTTCTGTTACCTTACACTGACGTTCAAACGTTGTGGATAGGCGATATTCCTGATGGACAACCGACATTCGAACAGTATAACCACATTGAAATGATGGATGCGCGAACCGCAATTGGAAACGAGATGTGGGTGAGTACGATGGACAAGTTTTTGAAGAATGCAGAGGAGGAGGGGACAAGCCTGGAGTATGCGAAAAAAACAGCAACAAAGAGCTTAATGGATAGATGGAGGGCCCAACAAGCGAACAAGGCCGGAGGAACTGTAAAGAGTCGTGTAGAGGTAGACTCTACGTAATTTTGGTATCTTGCACCCAGTATTGCGTTGTACGAACATGTCAACTAGTTGTAAGTAATATAACCATGCAGATATATGGATATGAAGGCGAAAGTATTCCTACGATATTTCGTCATCATTGTAGTGGGCCATATATCGCAACGATTCGAGGGACTTACAGATAGATTCCAAACTGTTCCCAGAGAAATATATTGTCAATGAAAGGCCCGATTGAAAAGTTAGCATATAGTCACCTAGAATCACGACTTAGATCCCGTGAACAAAACAGACTGCGCAGCTTCAGCCAATGCCTGTTCCCTGACTTCATCCGCAACCTGAAACAGAAAAACTTGAATAAAGAGGACATCTAAAAATGTCACACACCCACGTCCTGTGGTTGCGCAACCGCAACTTCAGCATCTCTTTGGACCATTAACTGCGGGCGTTAAGTTGAAGTCAACAGCATATACGAATGGTAAATCAAAGCTTCATCACCTCTGTTTTATGCAAAATAATGTTTAGCATGCCAAAATCGTGCCGCAACGTTATAAAATAACTTACCTCGACCTTTCGCTAACGTCTCACGATGCACTGCAACACCAAGAAACAGTCCATACAAAGTGAGACCAGCTAAGCCGCTAACAAATGTCCTATGAATAATATCCGTTATTGAGAGCGGCTGTCTGATGGGCGCACGGGTCGATCTTCTACTAAGGAATGACAATATAGACATCCTGTGCGTTGGTCTGTGGTGAGAGTAGGGAACAGCAAGGACATCACGTGATCAATGGGGCGATCCAGCGTCACGTGATTGCCCCTGTTACTGTAACCGTTAGAAACAAACGCCCCATGGAACCTTTATCGAAGCTTTATCTTTGGCGTGTGCCCTCGGAAAATGATGCAAGGTGCTAGTCATTCTAGGGTCAATATCGCGCGATAAGTTCTGAATCGTGGCCTTAATTTTGGGGTTTCATGTATGTTACAGTAACTGTTGAACCATGATAAGCTCTCCCTAGGCCAGACTTTTGCATGAAGCCAAGTAGTCTTCGGTCTCCTATGGGTGAGAAGAAAGCTTGAAATCGACCATATGGGTTATCAGTACTTTGATGCTGACATGGACAGCTCTTGCGAGGAGCCATCCAAGTGCGCGCTAGGCTCCACACCGCTTCACCAGAAGTGAGTCAATTTGGTAAGAGCCCGGACCTTGCCACTTGGAACAAACATGGACAATCAGAGCCGCGTCACGGTTATAACTTATCTGGTGTCGGTCTGCGCAGCTCTTTCTCTATCCCCACAATGTCATCTCTCCTCAGTTGGTCAGTGCTCGCCGCATCGCTCGCATCGTCGAGCTTGGCTACTCCGCTCTCTACCGCTCCTTATCATGTATCTGGGCAACGTTCGCCGTTCGTACCTGCTCCTTTCCATGTCTCAGAACATCCTCATGGCACCATCAACAATTCGTATATCGTCGTCCTGAAAGACGATGTTCATCAGGCTGTTATGCAGAACCATTTCAACTTTTTGGAAATGGCTCATGAATCCGACTCGTTCCTCGGTGATGTCGAGGCTTCTGGTGTTCATCATGTGTACGACGGCAATCTCAAGGGATACGCCGGGGAGTTCACCGAGGGAGTATTGGAGCAGATACGTCAGATGCCGGAGGTTGAATATGTGGAGAGGGACCAGATCGTCCGGACCACTGGTACACAGATTGGTGCCCCATGGGTAAGTGTATTTGTGTGCACTTGAAAGCACTTCTTTACTATTTTATTTTTTATTTTTTAAAAAAAATTATTAGGGTCTCGCCCGTATAAGTCACAGACCGAGGTTGTCGTTCAGCACATTCTCGAAATATCTGTATGATGTTGAAGGTGGCGAGGGTGTCGATGTTTATGTCATCGACACGGGTATCAACACAGCACATGTGGAGTTTGAAGGTCGTGCTTCTTGGGGCAAAACTATTCCCACCAATGATGTTGACGAGGATGGCAATGGTCACGGATCCCACTGTGCTGGTACTATCGCTTCTCGCAAGTATGGTGTCGCCAAGAAGGCGCACGTTATTGCTGTGAAGGTGCTCGGATCTAATGGAAGTGGCTCTATGGCGGATGTCATCAGTGGTGTTGAATGGGCTTTCACTCAAGCCAAGGCAAAGGCTGCTGCTGCCATCGCAGAGTACACTGCCACAGGTAAAACGAAGCATAAGGGGTCCGTTGCCAACATGAGTCTTGGTGGTGGCAAGTCACCAGCCTTGGATCAGGTTGTGAACGCAGCTGTCAGTGGTGGCCTCCACTTCGCTGTGGCAGCAGGTTTGTCATCTGTATTGTTTATATTCCATTAACATTGAAAGTACATCAAAGGAAACGATAACAAGGACGCATGCAACTACTCACCTGCTGCAGCTGAAAATGCAGTTACTGTTGGCGCTTCGACTCTTGGGGATGACCGTGCTTATTTCTCAAACTTTGGAAGCTGTGTCGATATCTTCGGACCAGGCATGTTATTAGAGCAGTTGCAATGAACTCGTAGCTAACTTGAAGTTTCAGGTTTGAACATCTTGTCTACTTACACTGGTAGCCCTAATGCTATTGCCACCCTATCCGGAACCTCAATGGCAAGCCCCCATACCGCTGGTCTCCTTGCTTACCTGTTGTCACTCTACCCTTCTGCTACTTTCGACCCGACATCGGAGTCGGATTTCCTTCCCTACCTCCTCAACACACAAAGGGCTCACCCCAGTTTCTCTTCTTTCTACTCGATCGCCCACACTGCTCTTCCCATCTGGGTCACTGAGTTCCTTCCTTCGCCACAATTGATTGAGGCCGTTGCACCCTCTACTCAGGGTCCTCCTACTCTCACGCCTCTTCAACTGAAGAAAGCCTTAATCCAGCTTGGAACTAAGGGTGTCCTATCTGATTTGCCACCCAAGACCCCCAATGTCTTGATATTCAACAATGCGACAACGGCTTAGAAGGCTTCGATGCCATATATTTATACTCTAAACCGTTTTGTCTTCGCTTTACGATTTGTGGAATAGTAACCGCTTTTAACGTTTAGGCATACGTGCAGTTGTAATCTAGTTTTTATCATGTGTTATAAACAAATTTGCATTGAACATGGCCCTGTGTGAGTTTTTGGATCGTAGTGCTTTTCTTCATGGAATTAGCGTCGACTGTTCTTGAATCTTCCGTCGACACTAGTCTAATCGGTGTAGTGTGCACGTACTCTGTATTAGCCTAAACCGTATCTACTTTTACGTTCAGCACAAGCCAATTACCAGCTGAGCGGTACGGCGTTCGGTCCATTCGGCTTGTATATTTCGTCGAGGCTTTCTGTCAAAAAATTTCGTAATTCGACCTTTGCTTTACTCCAAGTTTTCGCTGCGGGAAGCACAGGCAAAACACGATGGACCCGCAGACGAGAAACGCGTACGAGCAAGCTGAACCACGTTTTCGCTCTCTTTCTTCCTCTACATCCATCGCATCCTTGGAAGATATGGCTCGCGGACCTTCGGGTGCTGAGGAACGAACGCGCTTGGTAGCCGAGCAGGATGTTGAACATGGTCGTGCGCCATATGGGAGCATCTCGCGTTTGGGACATGCCAGTGCCAGTGGGACTGATGGAGCATCCACAGGCAGAAGCTCTGGTAAAGTTTCATTCTTTACTTTTATGTTGTATTCCTTAACTCGATCTTTTGTGGGCGAAAAGGTACAGAGACGCCCAGACGAATTGCCAGAGAAAATCCAAAATGGGCCAAGAGAGTGCGATACTACATTCCTTCTACTGCATGGATACCAAACTACTCTTTCTCGCTGTAAGTCCTCGTGTTAGCTTCACCATACATGTGTCGAGGACGCAGTTGACCATTATTTCCCTTATCTATTTGTAGTCTGGGAGGCGACCTCCTTGCAGGTATCACCATTGCTGCCATGCTTATTCCCCAGTCCGTCAGTTATGGAACAGCGTTAGCCAAACTTAGCCCGTCTGCTGGTTTGGTGAGCTCGACAGCTGTTCTTATCTAACAAGAGCTTCTTACAATAGAACCATCTAGTTCGCGGCTTCGATACCCCCAATTGTTTACAGTTTTCTTGGAACATCTCGTCAGCTGAATGTCGCTCCCGAAGCTGCACTTAGTCTTTTAGTGGGCCAGGCAGTATCTGATTACCTTCACGACCCCCATACACGCCCGGAGGATACCCATGCTATAGGACTGGCTGTATCCACTGCCATTACTCTACAGGTCAGTGTTTGAATATTGTACAATAGAGTTGCCGCTGATTCAGTAAACTAATGTAGGTTGGCTTGTTCTCGTTTATACTTGGATTTTTCCGTTTGGGATTCCTGGATGTCGTTCTGAGCCGTGCTCTATTGAGAGGGTTCGTAACAGCGGTTGCGGTTATCATAACAGTGTACGTGAACAAATACTGCGCAAATAACCCCGATTGACCTCATGTGCGTCAGTGAACAACTCATTCCTATGTTTGGTTTGGTCGAGTTGGAGCACACTTTTAATCCAGAAACCACTCTGGATAAAATCCTGTTCCTGGTGGAGAATGTATTCACACATCTCCACAAACCGACGACTTTCATTAGCTTTGGTGTTCTTATGGTGCTCCTCTTATTGAGAACATTCAAAGGACGCTATAGAAAATATTGGTGGATTTATCGGATTCCTGAAGTATTTGTAGTCGTCGTTCTATCAACATGTGAGTGTGTCGACCAGGAAGGATAGATGCGATTCTAACTGTTTATGCAGTGATATCAGAAAAGTTCAGGTGGGACCAAGATGGCGTCGAGATTCTTGGTGCTGTGCCGATTACTACTGGCTTGCACTTCATCGAGTCACCATTCCGTAAGGCTACCCGAGGCTATATCAGAGGTACAACATCTACGGCGATGTAAGGAGCGCTTCCACTGATAGTTTTTCTCGGTTAACCCGTCCTCGCGCTTGGCTTCTTTTATTTACAGATTAATATCGATCATAGGCTTTTTGGACAGTATTGTCGCTGCGAAACAAAATGGTGACCGTTATGGCCACTCTATCAGTCCCAACCGCGAGCTCGTCGCGTTGGGTACTAGCAATCTTGTTGGGTCATTTGTCCCTGGAACTTTACCTGCATTTGGTTCTATAGTCAGGTCTGCTTAAATATCATATCTCTGGAGTTTCTAGAAATTTACATAATACTTGTAACCAGGTCTCGCATTAATGGAGAGGTTGGAGCGAGAACGCAGATGGCGTCGTTAGTCTGTTCTGCGATTATCCTCCTTGCAACATTTTTCCTTCTTCCATGGCTCTACTTTTTACCAAAATGCGTTCTCGCTGCCATGTAAGTCCTCGAGCTTGGGGATTCAATTCGACTCTTACAACCTTATTGTCTTGTAGCATCTGTTTGGTCGTAGTCTCGCTTTTCGCTGAGGTCCCCCATGACCTGGTCTTTTACTGGAGGTATGTCGACCAACTACATGAAGATATCATTTTGTTTAAAGTGCTTGATAATTAACAGGATTGGTGCATGGACGGACCTAGCACTCATGTTCCTCACCTTCATATTCTCAGTCATATGGAACGTCGAAATTGGTATCATAGTCAGTTTGATCATCTCGCTTCTTTTGGTCATTAGGCGCTCTTCCAAGACGCGCATGACGATCTTGGTAAGTCTATTCATGCTAAGAGTCCTTATCTTTGTACTGAGTCATATGCTGCCATAGGGCCGAATCCCAGGCACAGACCAGTGGAGACCTATCTCTGACAACCCTGATGCTGAAGATATCCCAGGGTTGTTGATAGTACGGATTCGCGAGAGTCTTGACTTTGGTATGCTGTTTTGCTTGAGCTTTATTCCATGAACCGCACTCACCGCCAACCTGTTTACTTGTTGTCGTGCAGCGAATACTGCACAGCTGAAAGGTCATTTCCAGTGTTATCACTTGCGTGTTGATCTAATTCTAATTTCTTCACAGAGCGTCTTCGCAGGCTCGAGCTTTACGGCGTTGAGCCGACTCATCCGTCCGAAGAGCCCAGTAGACAGCCTGCGAGCGTACTTGTCTTCCACATGGCTGACGTAGAGTCTTGTGATGCATCGTGAGTATTCGTTCCCCTGCCACGATAAGAAAAGGCTTACACTGCGACACAGGGCCATCCAAACGTTCTATGAACTGTTGGAGACTTATAAGGTAAGTATCAGTCATGGTCAAATGCCTGCTGTACTCACAAAGGGTCTGGTCGCGCAGAATCGCGGTGTTGGACTGTTTGTTACGCACCTTCGCCGTGTCCCACGTGACATGTTCGAACGTGCTGGCATCGTGAAGCTTCTAGGGAATGACGCTTTCTTCGAGAATGTTGCGGATGCGATGGCGAAAGTGGAGGGTAGGTAAAGACAGTTTAACCGGCAACGCCAAACAAAATTTCATGAAGCTCGAAGGGGGTGGATCTGACGATAGCTACAGGATAGCGTATGATGATGAAGACGAAGTTGATGATATTTCTGTTAGGTTCTTGCTCATTTTTTAATGTTAATGAATTTGTGATCGGACGGCACTTTGATGCACTTATCGACTATACCGCATGCACTCGCACCTTGTAGCTTCTATTTAGACTATGCATATTATTTTGCTTTGGATGGTTTGTTCTGTGATGGCTGCGCTCGCGGAGATCAGCTTCTTATTTTTGAGCACATACTGGTGTGTTATCCAATTCATGCCATGACCATTCCAAAACTGATGTTATTAATTTGGTCACTTCCCCAGACAGGCTGAAATGCTAACGGAATTTTCCTAAGTACCAGCTGCGCTACCCAGAGCATGGACTTGTTTGAATGATTGGCTCTTTGATTAACAGCCATGGTGAGATTTGCATTTCCAGGTGCGTCTCAATATTCCGGCTGGTAGTATTGCTAAAAAAAAAACTTGGGAACAACAATTTTTGAAGTGGGCATATTGCTACCCTTTCTTTCCCGTAGTGAACTCCATTCTATCACCTCTGAAATGTCGATGTTCCCAGTGATCCTCAAAGAAAGTGTCGTTGAACTCCATGTCGTTCTCCTTATGGTCATCCAAAGAATGGTGCTCATTGTCATCTGAGTCATCTCCAACGAGTCCATGGAGCGAGGGTCGGTAGCATGCGAGAGGTGCTTTGGATGGTTCCATAGGTGAACTTGCGACCACAGCCCCTCACAGATGCAGTCAGTCCCAGGAGATAGACGTGTATAGAATAGAGGCCAGTTTATTCAGGGGTTTTCACAGACCTGCCATATACGGAAAAGGGAGCTCACTAAAGTAATCATTTATCATTTGCCACTCGCTCCACCACACACCCCATCTTTTACCTTCCTCAAAGGTGAATTATGACATGTTTACGCTCTTGAAACTGACAAGTACATGGCAGTCATGAACATAGTCAACGACACCAGTTGGCTTGGCACTCTGTTGACTGTCTTCAACGTTTGTCAAAACTAGCAATTCGCAAACAATGCCGTTGTCGAGGCACGATACCAGCATTCTGACTACACTAACAAAGTTGGCCTAGGCGCGATACCATCCGGCCTTCAACGAATCGCTTTTTTATTGCTTCAAATCACAATCAAACGAAAAGCGGTTCCTCATCACACTCTAACTCCCTACATCTATCGAACGTCCACGAGATGTCGACCAAATTGTTTTCTTTCTCGTCGTCTTCGATACCTCCGTGCGTCCCGTTTTCCTGATGGAGCTGCAGGATGACAGCTGGATCAACTCTGCTGTTACACATCTTGTTGCGGACGGTCAGATGCGCATGCACTACGACAACAAACTACAGCATTGCCCAATTCCTGTCCTCCATGGAATTCGCTTCCTGGGCACGATCATGCGCGTGTGCACCAGGACTGTTCAAGACGGGGCTTTGGAGCCCTGCACCGGGACCGTCCTAGTCACAATCACGTGTTGGCGCCCGACTTCTTGCAGGGAGATTGGCAGGTGGATCTTCTTTCGCAGCAGGGTTTTGAAAAGATGAAGGGGATCGTCACATATATTCGTGGCCAATGTGCTCAGTTGTAGTCTTACTTTTCTGTTCCCAAACCGATCCGCGAAATGTTGACGCTGTACTCTAGGAAGGGTCACGAGAGTAAATCAGCTGTGATCAACTTGTGGTGCACGTCAAGCTTAGCAAACTGTTGTCTATATCTTGACTGATAAATAGTGTTCAAGTCTTGGTCCAAGAAAATGGCAAGAGACATTCCTGAATCCTGTCTGCGGTGCGCCAAGAGAGGAGCACAATAACTACCACCTTCTAAATAGGATATGCAGCACGACGAGATCCACTGGTAGGAGCGTGAATCAGGCTCGAGTGGTAAGTCTTTTCTACCAAAAAATTAACTTTCTGCAGTGCAGACTTGAATTTGGTCATATCTTTCTGTTTATGAAGGACTCCAACGCGTTCATATAAAATATGACCTTCAACCATCTGTTGAGTTTAGCTTTATCTCTCAAACCTGCTCTATCGCTGGAAAAATGCGCCCTTTACTCCTTCCACTTGTTTCATTAGCCCTTGCCGTTTTGCCTGTCACTTTTGGTGATCCAGTTCCTTTGCCCTATGTTTTGCACGAAAAACGAAGCAGTGCGCCATACGGATGGTCTCGTGCGCGCAAACTCAGCTCTACAGCCATTATCCCCCTCCGTTTCGCGATTGCACAAAGTAACATTGATAAAATGGATGAATACCTATACGATGTTTCCGTCCCCATGTCTCCAAATTATGGTAATCACTGGACTGCCGCCGAAGTAGCAGCTAAGTTTGCTCCTAGCCATGATTCGATCGATACCATTCACTCTTGGCTCATGCATAGCGGTATTCAGCCTGAGCGCATCAAACTCACACAGTCCAAAGGATGGATCAAGGTCGATGCTACAGTAGAAGAGGCAGAGAGCCTGTTACAAGCTGATTTTCGCGTATATACGCACGAGACTGGCAAAGAACACGTTGGTTAGTAGTCTGTTCACAAAGTGCCATCATGGCATCCTCGATAACGGCTGATAATTCGTATAGCCTGCGAAAGCTATCGTCTCCCTGCACATATCGCACCCCATGTCGACTTTGTCATCCCTACCGTTAATTTTGATGCCAACTTGGCAAAGCCGTCAGATACCACTAGTGACCCGACTTTGTATGAACTACCTGATGATGGCAATGGCCCGAAGATAGTGGGTACTGTTGACCCGATCGTGGGTCTAGCTGGTGAACTCAAAGACTGCGACAAGAAAATCACTCCTGCCTGCCTCCGTGCGCTGTATGATATCCATTATGAACCTGTTTCTACATCAAAAAACAGTTATGGCATCAGTATGTGGTATCTCCGCCTTAGATCTACTGCTCTTCACTGAAGCAGCAGCTTTCCAGTGGAATATACTCCTGAAACCTATGTCCAGAGTGACATGGACCTTTTTGCAAAAACATATATTAGTGGCGTCGATCATTTTACGCCTAACGTAGTTTCTATCGAAAGAAGTATTATCTAAATGTACTTCGCTAGCTGAAAGTTCGCTGATATTTCATATTTTTTAGATGTCAATCAAACTCAACATAAAGGCTTTCCGCACGTAGAAGCTAATCTTGATTTGCAGTACGGCATGACACTAGTAACGTCCAAGCAGAAGGTCACCATTTATCAACTTGAGACAGGTCCTATTCAGTGCCTTTTTTCTGTTTGCCATTCCTTGACCGATATTATTGTAGGTGCATCAATTAACGACTTCTTCGATGCTGTAGACGGCTTTTTTTGTACCTCTAAAGGTGCCGACCCGGATATTCTTGCTCGAGACGCTACTTATCCAGATCCTGGTCCTAGCGAATATAGAAAGCTTCGAAACTGTGGCACGGTTAAGCCTGCAAATGTGATCTCCACTTCATACGGTTTGAGCGAGGCGCATATTTCCCTACGCACCGCTGCCCGTCAATGTGCAGAATATGGGAAACTCGGTCTTATGGGCGTTACCGTTTTGTACAGCTCTGGGGACAATGGTGTTGCAGGTGTTGGTAAAGCATGCCTGCTCGCTACAGGTGAGTCTTCTGGTCAGAGAAGCCTGGTATCAATAATTGGTCATGAGCTCATATATCAACCACCTCTCAGGTTCTCCGACAAGCTCTGGCAAGGTCTTTAACCCTACTTTCCCGAGCACTTGTCCATATATTACTTCTGTTGGCGCAACTCAAATTGATCACGATTCCAGCGTGTTCGAACCAGAAAGCGCATGTGAACGTGTGATCTATTCCAGTGGGGGCTTTAGTAACTACTTCGCTATGCCTGAGTACCAGAAGGACGCTGTGCAAAGATATCTGAAGAATTACCCTCCTTCGTACCCTGCTAGTATTTGGAACTCAACAGGAAAGGTGAGGTTTAGCCTTAATCTCGTATATGGTGCAATGGCTCATCTTTCGATTCTTGTCCAGTCCCGCGCTTTCCCAGACCTTTCTGCTAATGGAGCTAACTACGTGGTAGCTGTGAGATGACATTATTCCCCTTGTGTGGAGACTTGCTGATAACTTATTCATGTCACAGATCGACGGCAAGTTCAACCTTGTTTATGGCACCTCTGCCTCGTCCCCTGTCATCGGTGCAATCTTAACCATGATCAACGATGCACGACTTGCTGTGGGCAAGAAGCCAATTGGATTCATTAATCCTGCCGTATGTGTTGTTAAGAAGATATTCGTATGTACCCCTCTAATTCACAGCATCCTTATCAGATATACTCGAGCGCCTTCTCTGGAGCTTTCAACGATATCACCAAGGGCAGTAACCCAGGTTGTGGGACTCTTGGGTTCAACTCCACTCCTGGGTGGGACCCCGTCACAGGTCTAGGAACTCCCAATTTCCCCAAGCTCCTCAAACATTGGCTCGAGATAGCCTGAACTTGAACGGCCTGCCAGTTTAATGCTCTACTTCTTATGACGCCTACTTTGACGAATTTTCAACATTATGTACTTGAAAAGCTCACCTCGTGTCGACTAATTTGTCGCCTTTGTTATGTCGTACTGTTATGTGGGACATTAAATTGTAATACTAGGCTAGATCTTGTCATTGCTCCACAATGGGCGCCAGTGGGCACTGGTATAACCTCAGGAGCTGTGGAGGGTAGGTAAAGGCAATTCATCGGCAGTGCCAACGATGAAGAATAATGAATATCGCCACAGGATGATATACGAAGTCGATGATTTTCTTGTCGTATTATCGTTAGTCTTCGGGAAGCCATGTTAACGACTCTGCGATCAGATCGCACTTGGCGCACTTATCGTCGATATTGCTTATGCATGCACTCATACTTCTTAGCTTCTATTTAAATCATGGGTATCATTTTTGCTGTATATCGTTCTACTGTGCGATGGGAATCAACTTCTGTGTTATTGTTGGATATCTATATGCTATGCAATCCGGTCCCCGTCACTTCCACCGAACACTTCCAACTTTAGCTCGGAAGTATACAGAAGACCACCAAGTTCTGAGTTAGCATAAGATTCAAGTGAAACACCATAAACTACGTGCCAGGCTAGCCTCAACATAAATATGGACTGCAAGAGACTGGGATATTACCCAGTGTTTACTACCTTCCAAATAAGGGAAGTGCCCCATCGTTACAGGCAAAGAAGTCACAGCAGGTTTCTTTCTTCAAAAAACTATCTGCAATGGAAGATTGGCTGAGGCTCCTTCTGCTACGACAGCTAGAGTACTTATCATATTCATATAAAGCATGCTCCCCAGCACCTGTCCTACGTCAAGTTTCTCTTTCGCATTTGTTCTCACAAAATGCGCTCTTTGATCCTTCCACTTGTTTCGTTAGCGCTTGTCGTTGTTTCCTTTGCCAATCCTCTCGTTTCCCCCCACGTTTTACACGAAAAGCGTAGCAGTACGCCATATGGATGGTCTCGTGTTCGTAAACTCAACTCTACAGCCGTCATTCCTCTTCGTTTCGCCATTGCCCAGAACCACATTGAGAATATTGGCGAGTACCTCTACGACATCTCTCTCCCTGGGTCTCCAAACTATGGCAATCACTGGACAGCTTCCGAAATAGCAGCCAAATTTGCTCCGAGTCATGATTCAATTCAAGCTATTCGTTCTTGGCTCATGCAAAGCGGTTTGGAACCTGAGCGCATCAAGCTCTCATCAACAAAAGGATGGATTACAATTGAAGCTACGACTGAAGAGGCGGAGGATCTTTTGCAAGCTGATTATCATGTATTCAAGCATGATACCGGCAAAGAACACGTTGGTTAGCTGATCTCTAATAAAATATAATCATGCCATCCCCGATAGCAACTGATAACCTGTATAGCTTGCGAAAGCTATCACCTCCCTGCCCACATCACGCCCCACGTCGACTTTGTCACCCCCACAATTCATTTCGATTCCAAGTTGTCGAAGCGATCAGCGCCGGCTAGTGATTCGACTCGAATTGGATTACCTGGCAATGGCAACGGTCCGAAGACCACGGGTAGTGTTGACACACTTCTGGGTCTGGGTGGTGAGCTCAAAGACTGTGACAAGCAAATCACTCTTTCCTGTCTCCGTGCTCTGTATGGCTTGGTTTATGCACCCCTTGCCACGTCAGAAAACAGTTTTGGTATCGGTACGTTCTTGTGTGTCGCGTCTCCAGCCTATTATTTACTGAGAAGCCTTCGCAGTGGAATATACGCCTGAAGCTTATCTTCAGAGTGACACGGATCTCTTTGCCAACGCTTACACAGATGCCGTTGACGGCGTCGATCTGCCCAAACTCACTCCCGATATAGTTTTTATTGATGGAGGTATTACACAATGTCCTTCACTGGCTGACTCTTTCGTTGACCAGCATCTCGATTCTTTAGGCATCATTCAAACCGTTTACAAAGGCTTCGAGTACAACGGAGAAGCCAACCTCGACATGCAGTACGGCATCGCATTAGTCACGCCCGCGCAAAGGGTCACCATGTATCAAACTGGAGATATGATCATAGGTCCAATTCAGTGCTTTTTATTCTGTTTACTCTTTGGTAACCGAGAGTAGTCTCTAGAAGCATCGTTCAACAACTTCCTCGACGCTATAGACGGCTCATATTGCACTTTCGAAGGTGGCGACGATCCTTCTGAAGACTCTATTTATCCGGATACTACACCTGGTGGATACGAAAAACCGCAAGACTGCGGCACAGTAAAGCCTGCAAACGTAATCTCCACTTCATACGGTTATAACGAGGCGGATCTTTCTCCGTCATATGTCGCTCGCCAATGCGCTGAATATGCGAAACTTGGGCTTATGGGCGTTACTATCTTATATAGCTCCGGTGATTATGGTGTCGCAGGTAATGGGGCAACATGCTTGAACCGTGATGGTGAGTTAGGATACTTGTATGGAGATGGCAACGTCGTTCGTTAGCTCATATGTCAAATTCCACCAGGCACTCAGACCAAGGACGGCAAGATCTTCAATCCCACTTTCCCTAGCACTTGTCCATTCGTCACCTCCATTGGAGCAACTCAAGTCAACCCCGGCTCCAGCGTATTCGACCCAGAAAGCGCGTGCGAACAGGTGATTTACTCTAGTGGAGGCTTCAGCAACTACTTCGCCATGCCTCACTACCAGAAAGACGCTGTGGAAAACTATCTGAAGAATCACTCCCCTCCGTACTCTGCTAGTATTTGGAACTCAACAGGAACGGTGAGGACTGACGATTCGAACTATATTGCAATGGTTAACCTCCCATTTTTTTCATCCCTAGTCCCGTGCTTTCCCGGATCTTTCTGCCAATGGTGCTAATTACGTGGTAGCTGTGAGTTAACCTTTCTCTCGCTCTTGTGTGGAGTCTTGGTGAAGACTTTCTGCGTCACAGATCGACGGAAACTTCAGCCTTGTTTATGGCACTTCTGCTTCAACCCCTGTCGTAGGTGCAATCTTGACCATGGTCAACGACGCACGAATTGCTGCGGGCAAGAGCACCATTGGATTTATCAATCCTGCCGTAGGTGTTTCTGCCAAGTTTATTCTGTTCTCTGATCCACAGTGTCCCTTGATTAGATATACTCAAGTGATTTTTCTGACGCTTTCAACGATATCACCACGGGTAGCAACCCAGGCTGTGGTACTCCAGGGTTCACTTCCGCTCCCGGCTGGGACCCCGTCACAGGTCTCGGCACTCCTAATTTCTTCAAGCTCCTTGAACGCTGGCTGGATTTGGGGGATCTGGCACTTTCATAAATCATTGCTTATCACGCTTTCGCCCGTGGTTTTCTCTCGCCATGCTTAGCTATTCGTCTCCATTGTTGTATCGTACTGTGTTGGACCCCAGTTGAAAACTGTACATTTTCCCATTCACAGTGAGCGCTAAAGAGCACTGGGCAAAGTTTGAATTTACTGTCAGTACGCCGATCCAATGGTGTTATTCAAAGGATATACTGCGTAAGGTTCCACGGTACTGACCTTGGTTAAAAGCCAGTAGCGTGTTTGGCATTTCTGTTGACCACCAGCCAAACAATTGCGAGCTGAACTTTGACAGGGAGCATGAATAACTTGATCGTGATATCATTTATGAGATAAACACCAGAAACCACGGTGACCTTATTGTACCCAAAATCCCTCTATATCATCCTCTTTAGGGGAGTGACAACCACTTAGCCACCAGCTTTGGGAAATTAGGAGTGCCCAATCCGGTCACAGGGTCCCATCCAGGAGTGGCATTGAAGCCGTTTGTGCCACAGCCAGGGTTGTCGCCCATGGTGATGTCGTTGAACAAGCCGCTGAAGTCGGTAGAGTATATCTAGCAGAACATGCATGTCAGCGACAGGTGATTGTGGGAAAAGAAAGCCGTACTGTGGGGTTGATGAAACCAATGGTACTTTTACCAGCAGCGAGACGGGCGTCGTTGATCATGGTAAAAATAGCACCGTTGACAGGTGTAGAACACGATGTCCCATAAACGAGTTCAAATGCACCGTCTAGAAGAGGTTACCCGATGAGAAACACGAGACAAAAACAAGCACGAAGCCAAGAATACTTACAGCTACAACATAGTTTGCCCCATTGGCTGAAATATCTGGGAATCCACGAGACTACACGCCAAGAAAGCTCAGCACATCATCAATAAGCGGGTGGGGTAAATAATTACGCACCATTCCAGTGGAGTTCCACATAGTGGCGGGGTAATCGGGATAGTAGTTTGCTAAATAGTAATCGACGGCCTCCTTCTGATAACTGGGCATTGCGAAGTAGTTACTGAATCCACCTCCAGAGTAGATAACTTGTTCGCATGCACTCTCGGGCTCGTAGACAGTCGAGTTAGGATTCACTTGGGTAGCACCTACTGAGGTAATGTATGGACAGGTCCCAGGGAAAGTAGGATTGAACATCGTTCCGTCTGCTGTTTGGGTACCTAGTAGTTTGAAAGGGGGATCCGTTAAGTTAAATGATAAAAAAGTCATGATCACACATACCATTGGGATTTAAGCAAACATCGTCATTACCGGCAACGCCGTAGTCACCAGAACTGTACAGAATGGTGACACCCATCAGACCAAGTTTGGCATACTCTGCACACTGGCGTGCAGTGTAGAATGGAGTAAGATCGGCTTCATTGTACGAGTAAGAAGTGGAAATGACGTAGGTCGGTGTAGCAGTGCCACATGCTTCGGGACCTTCATTCATCGGACATCGTTAGGCTGAGATTTCGAAAAATGTAAGCTTCTTTACCCATATAACCTCCTGGTTCTGTGTCTGGGTACATGGCATCCTGGGTATAGTCATCACCACCCTCGAATGTGCAGTACGAGCCATCGAGGGCGTCAAGGAAGTTGTTGAAGGAAGCACCTGGTTGGCTCGGAATTCAATTAAATGTATAATGCTCGGAAAAGCAGCGATATACCTTCGACCATATCTCCGACCTGATAAAGTGTCACTTGCTGCGCAGGTGTGACGAGGGTCATTCCGTATTGCAGATCAAGGTCAGACTCGCCATTGTAGTCGAAACCTTGGTATTCCGTTTGCGCGTAGCCTTGGGTAAAACTTGCTGAGCATTCAAAAATCAAGTACTAAATTAATCTCGACACACCTCCATCAATAGACACCATATAAGGTGATACTCCATAGAGGCCCTCGGAGAAGTTCATGGCAAACAAATTTATGTCAGTCTGGAGGTACGCCTCGGGAGTGTATTCAACTGATCCAAAAGTCAGCTCTAGTTTTGAGTAGGATATAAAAACGATATGGGGTGAAAAGGTCCCCAGTATATTATACCGCATTAAAAAACCATGGTATGGGCAGCCATCCAAATATTAATAATAGACAGAACTAAAAATACTTACCAATACCAAAGCTGTTTTTCGCGGTGGCAACAGGTGTATAGTCGAGACCGTATAGAGCCCTCAAACATGCGGGAGTAATATACTCATCACAGGTTGAGACATCAGTAGAACTTATCTCGACAGCATCAACTTGGCCTGTGGTTTTAGGAGCGCTGCCATAACCAGGCTTTCCAACCGAACGAGCGGGCTCATCAGAGCGACGAGACAATCTAGCATCAAAGTGTACGGACGGTGTGACAAAGTCAACATGCGGCTGGATGTGCGACGGAAGGTGGTAAGCGTCGCAAGCTATCGAGCAGGTGCTAAGTTCTTTCACAAAAGCTTAATAAAGTCATTTACTTACCAACATGATTCTTCCCAGATGCATGGCTGTAAACTTTGTACTCGGTTTGCAAAAGACGCTCTGCTTCCTCAGTGGTGGCATCTACCTCGATCCATCCTTTGTTCGAAGTGACTTTGACACGCTCTTCCTCAAAACCGTTCTCGAGGATCCAGTTCCGTACGGCTGAGATAGTCTCCTCGCTAGGAGCAAATGCTTGTATAACCTGTCCTGCAGTCCAGTGATTACCGTAATTTGAAGACTCTGGATGAGAAACATCCATCAGAAGTTTCTCGATATTATCGATATTACTCTGAGTAAGAGCAAATCGCAAGGGAAGAGCGGATGTCGGCTCGTGTCTTCGTTGAAGCGACCATCCTGCAGGTATGTGAGTACGTTTCTCATGCAGACTATACGGAGAGATGGGAGATTCAGCCGCAGCAAGAAGGCCCAGACTAAGGACGACAAGGTAGAGAAGTGACTGCATGTTAGCCAGAATGCCCTGCATAGTCGGCAGAGATATGCGTCAAGACATTATATAGATCGTCTGTGGGGACGGAAATGTCATCATCAGCATGTCCAGGCCCAAGATAAGGCCTTTTGAGTCCGGCGTGCGCGAGGTGAGAACCAACAATCTCACACTGACAACCGGGAACGAGGTCATCTAATTATGACTTCTCGTGAGCAGCTTCTCGCCAGAAGTATAACAACACCATTAACAGCTTATATGACAGGCACTTCCTGAGTGTTGAGGGGGTTTCAAACCCGTCGAAGGCCTTCATAGCTTTTAGCTAACGAAGTACCCAAAGACTTTAAAACCAAGGAGGTTCAGTGTGGACATTGGTTTGAATAGACGACATGCCTCATGGGAATGATGAACCTCGGCCATTAACCAGAATAACCTGAGGTCAGAGGTGAATCGATGAGCCTGGATACTGAAAGGAACCCATGCTTGGGTTCTCGCGTGCATTCCTCGAAGACCGGAAATCCCGAAAATAGTAGTGCAAGTAGCACCAAGTCGGGTCACATAACCGAAGCAGTGCTCGAAAGAGCATACGACCTGGTCGAGAAAGATAAGTGAAAATGGCATAACAAGATGGCCCACGCATAGCCCCCCTCAATTCGACTATGGCTCGATAACCAAGGCAGCCTAGGTGGCGCATGACACTCGGGCACCAGGTTTCCATGATAAAGATACAAATGAAGGAGACCCAATTTGACAAGAATCCTTTCTTACATTTGACCATACCAGAATGGCCCTTGAGTCGTGGTCATGATACTGGCTGGGGCTGTTCTGTGCCTGCCATTATAGCTGGGAGCCCTGGTGCTCAAGATCTGTAACATTATGAAGTGTACAGTGAAGGCAGAAACACTACCTTTCAGCTAACATTGTCCCAAGTAAATGCTTGTGAGTGCGAATAGATGAATGCCTGGCATGATGTCAGCCCGCGCTCGGTACAAGCGGACTGTGCGGTGTGTCAAATGTTTTTGGCAAACAGCTCAGCCACAATACTGATTTTATTGGCTTCTCAGGATAGGCTGGACAGCTTGGGCCTGGTACGCTTGCTCATTCAAGCAAAGCGTCAGTTATCAAACTGTAGTTTGTGAAACGGTCAAACGTTCTAGTGGTATGCCTTGTGTGTTCAATGGTTATAACCGCATAGCTCACGACCCAGTGACTAGAATGTAATAGTGCTAAAATGTACGAGAGCGATTGTCCAATAGTCCTATTGATAATCTTATCAAGGAAGAGTCAACCACTTCTCGACCAACTTGGCAAAGTTGGGAGTGCCAAGGCCGGTCACAGGATCCCAACCCGGTGCTGTATTATACCCAGCGGTACCGCATCCAGGGTTAGTGCCTGTAGTGATATCATTGAACAGTCCAGCAAACTCAGAAGAGTAAATCTGTTGCCCGAGTCAGAGATCGCTTTAATCTAACACAAAAACGAGAAAGTAATACCGTAGGATTGATAAATCCAATGGGACTCTTTCCCACTGCAAGGCGAGCGTCGTTGATCATGGTGAAGATAGCGCCACTGACTGGGGAGGAACATGATGTCCCATACACAAGCTCAAATTCACCATCAATCTAGGACGCAGTGTTAAATGAAAATGAGATGAACAGCAAATGAAATGTACAGACAGCAACAACGTAGTTTGCACCATTGGCCGCAATATCAGGGAACCCACGCGACTAACGGTATCGTCAGTTAAATTTTACTAGTTAACATGATACAAAACGGCTCACCATTCCCGTCGAGTTCCAGATATCAGCAGGGTACTGAGGGGGATATGTCGTCAAGTAATAGTCAACAGCCTCTTTCTGGTACTCTGGCATGGCAAAGTAGTTGCTAAAACCTCCGCCAGAGTAGATGACTTGTTCGCAAGCGCTTTCTGGCTCGAAAACTGTGGAGTTGGGGTTAACTTGAGTTGCGCCAACTGAGGTTACGTATGGGCATGTTCCAGGGAAACTGGGGTTGAATATCTTTCCGTCAGCAGTTTGAGTGCCTGCGGACGTGGTGGCGATGATCAGGCTTGACTATTGGCAGTTGGACTGAGAAGTGTACACACCATTCGGGTTTAGGCAGTAATCATCATTTCCAGCCACACCGTCATCTCCTGAACTGTACAGAATCGTGATACCCATCAAACCAAGTTTGGCATACTCAGCACATTGGCGTTCGGCGTAGAAAGGCGTAAGGTCCGCTTCGTCGTAACCGTATGAAGTAGAAATGACATAGGCTGGCGTAACAGTACCACATGCCTGAGGGCCTGGATGAGAAAAATGTAAGCAAGGTACCAAAGGGGCTGTGAAAAGATTCTACCCAAATAACCACCCGGCTCAGTATCTGGGTACTCCGAATCCTGACTGTAGTCGTCGCCACCCTCGAAAGTGCAGTAAGAGCCATCGATAGCGTCGAGGAAGTTGTTGAACGAGGCACCTAAGATGAGAATGAGCGCCGTCACCGACGATCATCATAGTAATAATGACTATACTATACCTTCTACCATATCACCAGCCTGGTACAGCGTGACCTGTTGTTTGCCTGTTACCAGCGTCATACCATACTGCAAATCGAGATCTGATTCGCCGTTATAGTCAAAACCTTGATACTCCGTTTGTGCATATCCTAAGATACAAATTCCGAATCGAAGCTGTTACGACAAAAGGGGGTGGGAAGCACAAGATAGACGCACCACCATCAATCGAAACCATGTAAGGTTCTTTACCGATGAGGTCTTGGGAGTAGTTTTGTGCAAACAATTGCAAGTCAGACTGAAGGTATGCTTGAGGTGTGTATTCGACTGCAATGAAAAACAAAGATGAGCAAGATTGTCTTACGATATCCCAATTATACTAACCAACAGCGAAACTGTTCTTTTCAGTTGCCAAGGGTACATACTCCAAGCTGTACAGTGTTCTCAGGCAGATGGGAGTGATATACTCATCACACTGTTCGAGTTCGGTCACTTCAGTGCTGACGCGACCTGTGGTTTTGGGTGTAATGCCATAGCCAGGTTGCCCAACCTCACGAGCAGATCCTTCGACTCCAGAACGGCGAGACAGCTTAGCATCAAAATGCACGCTAGGAAGTACAAAGTCGACATGCGGCTGGACATGAGCAGGAAGGTGGTATGCGTCGCAGGCTTTTTATGATAGGTGAATACGCGTGCAAAAGAGAGGGGAACGATCTTACCAATGTGATCCTGTCCAGTTTGATGACTGTATACATGATACTCCGTGCGGAGGAGCTGTTCCGCTTCTTCCACAGTCGCATTTAATTGAATCCATCCTTTGGTAGGACTAACTCTGATACGCTCTGCTTCAATACCACTGCCCACTAGCCAATCCCGGACTGCAGAAACTGATTCATCGCCAGGGGCGAATTTGCTCGCAACCTCCCCAGCGCTCCAGTGATTACCGTAATTGGGGGAATTGGGATGAGAAATATCGTACAGATAACTGCCGATGTCCTCAATATTGCTTTGCTTTAGGGCAAATCGCAAGGGAAGTATCGAGGTGGCCTCATGTCTACGGGAACGCGACCATCCCGCCGGAATACTGGTCCGTTTCTCATGCAAACTGTATGGCGAGAGCAAGGGTTCAGCCGCCGTGAGCAAACCGTAGCTTATTGACGCGACGAGCGTAAAGAAAAAGGGACGCATCCTGCCGGAGTGTGTACGCACTTAGACGACAGACAGTGATAGCTTATATAGCCATCGCGCTGGGGACAATTGTTGTTCTGGTCGAGATAAAGAAATGAGCATGCGGGACAGCAACATGCAGTACCTTGTTCTCACAGAAAAACTCTCACACATGAGCTATACAGTATTCCCGAGTCTGAGTTGCTCTGTGGTTATATTTCTGAGTACTCACATTCCTATATTTAGACCTTCTTGGAACGAGACCACGAAATGCCCAGAACGTCGATGTATAGGCATAGTCGATCCCCGACATGGAGACATAGACCTATTCTCTTCGCTGTACCAACCCGGCGCTTAATACCCGTACGGAAGGGATGGGGTCGTATGGTACGCAGATCTAATTCAATGCTGAATTGAATAACATTGCATGACGCTATAATAGTCTAGGCACTTACTTCACTACGTGGGACTTGCTTCTCCTCAAAGTTGTAGTCCCGTGTCTGAAGATGACCATGGAAATAGCTTCGCCTTTCGCCTTCGTCGCTGGTCTCCCAGGCGGATACTGATGACCTTTAAAGATGTCAACGTGATCAGGTCCATGATAGTAAATCAGTAATTGGGTCGTCCGAATCCAGGGGCTCTGCGCTCGGAATCGCGAGGTCAATCATGATCATGATAGATTCGTTATGCCGTTCATGCCAGTTCGTTTGCTTTGCAATCTTTATAGCTCGGCTCATCATCTCACCGATGGGACAACCAACAACTGTCAGTAGCCGCCAGTGCATATCACATCCACGCGATGTATATCGCCGCAACATTGTTCGAATTCACGAACAAGTTGTATCTCGGCAAATGGCGGTACTGCCAACGGACAATACTGAGCACATAAAGTGAAAGCCGCGCTTCTCCGACGAAGCTGTCTGAGGAACTTGAGACTTGTTGACAAAAACTTGAATATTTGGAACAGGCGGGAACTATACAGTGAGCCATGTTTACATGCTGTCAAAGCACTCTAATGAAAAAGAAAGAAAAAGTCCGCAACGGGTCCATCGGACCATCGTCATTGCTGGAAGCTGAGAAGCATGAATTTCATCAGAGATAATAGTCTCAATCAAAGAAAACGAAAGGTAGCCGCAACTAAACAACAAATACTGCAATCAAAACTAACGACGTGGTGGTACAAACTCGTGTGTATAAAAACTCTAGAGAAGAGATTGACCACCCTAATCGGTTTGATTATGTACAGTCAGAATTAATCATTTTGGATGCACGCCTTGTTATCAGCTGTAAGAGTGTAGCCTGAGCGGCATGACGATACATAGCACTGGCCGACGATGCATGAAACGCCTGATGCCCCGGATATGGACGAACAATCATGCCTAAGAGAATACATCGTCAGCATCAGTGATCGCGATAAAGATGGATCATACTCACATAGCATCGACAGCTGAGCAACCGCCGCAAGAATGCAGGTCTACAGTGAAGTCAACGCACTCAACATCAATATCCGCCCATTCTGCCAGGGTCGTGGGCATAGTATTAGCCGCAGGTAGGGAGGTGGACGCGACGGGACAAGCGTTCATAGAGGCGGGGCAAAGGAGGGGGGATAGATCGATGGCGGCGGATGGGGAGGTAATGATTTCCTGCTCGCTGACATCTCGTTTGCGGTTGCCATCGTATCGTTTAGATGGGACTGGGGCATGAGGTCCGTCGTTAATGTAGCGCTTGGAAGGGTAGGGCGCAGCAGCGGCAGCTGGGTCAGACGCAAAGTCAGCGTACCGTTTGGAGGGAGCGGGATGGGGTACAGCTGGGCTTCCACCATAGCGTTTAGAGGGTGCAGGCCTGTAAGGCTCTGGGTTGCTGTCGGATTGAGCTACGACGAGCGAGGAAGAGCAGAGGAGAAAGAGAAGTCCAAGGGATAACTTGAGGGACAACATCTCTACGTACTTGGCGAAAGAACGAGCACCAGAAAAGAAATGAGGGTATATGTACTATGCCAAGCACAGTACGTCAACTGAGGGAAGCACAATTTGCGATAAGGGTCACCCGGGCGTGAGCTGGTTCAGCAATCAGCAACTGATAGAAATTAATGGGTTTTTAATGAACGACAAGAAGCCTGAGGAAAGATAACCAGAGCGGTGTTGATAGGTTGAAACTTTTGATTGCTCGGTTTATGTACCCATACTTACTTCAAAAACGACCAAGAACGCTCCGCTTTGATGAATGCTATTTAAATTGATTGGCGACGGGCAGAGCAGAGGAGTGGCAACGATAAGCCGATTACTTGGAACGATAGTACCTCGTGCAAAGTGGAGCCTAGCACTTGCCTAACGTGCAGCAAGGGAAACGGTTGTACCGAAGCGAAATCTCGGTTTTTCGATAGCCATTCATCAATCCGTGGTATCGAGCGCACGGACTGCGCGGTACGATTGGGCGAAGTACAGCATTGAGCTGTACTAGCCCTACGGCCGCAGCACCGCTCGACAACGTATCTTGAATGCTGAAACGTCGTTTCGAAGCACCAAATTTTTATGGCATTGCTTCGAGTTGGAAAGTGGAGTACTGAAAGGTGTCGTCTTATCTGCGCATATCCTCGTGAAGTAAGGTCAGAAAATTGCCGCCGGCTGAGGGCACCATCGTTGGACGAGAGCTGGATAACTTACCAGTCAGTAAAGCTAGAGTCTTCGGAAGTTCGTTAGTCGCTCCTATCTTTAGTTCTCTAGAACACTGTGCAGAAATTAAAACATGAAGGGGAAACGTTATTGCAGCGGAACGAAACCGAACCGATGATGATTACTGTTGCAACCATGTGTCGCACCGTCGCAGGCATTTGCCGAAGCGCAGCTGGCTTGATTCATAATCATGGATTGCCTGTTTCCTCACGACTTGATCGCTGTTCTCATTTCTCCAGACACCTTGGGGCACCTGTCAACTTGATAAGTAGCTGGCATTGTAGGGGCTTACCTATTGATGTTTCCTAGGACGAAATCGCAATATCCCTAGCGCAAGATCTGTTCAAATCTGGCCATTTTCCCCTCGAAATTCGCACTTTTGGAGTTCGAGTCAGGTTTATTGTTGTTGCTACAGGTAAGCTATTCACTAAAGTCCACAGTTATATTCTTCATACTCTATTCTACTAATCTGACAAATTTCTACCTTCATGCCCAGCGACAGTTCAACGGGCCTGTGGAGCCTCATCTCTATTACCGGATGGCATCCGGTGTTCCAATGATAGAATGATAGTATTGTCGATCGATCGGGATAGAGACGCGGAGTACGACTGTAACTTTGCCATATAAACGATGCAGATTCTACTCCCAAGCTTATGCAAGAAATGTTTATTTGTTATACAAACCAGATTTGACCACAAAATTCTGACAGCAGAAAAATAGCAGACCCAGATAACTGCAGTAGTAGACACCAATACATCGAGTCATAATCAACATTGTTCATTATCATAATAAAGAGTAACCAATGTTTCTATCCGAATAGTGATTTCCACAAGCAGAATTTGCTTATGGCAGTGCCAACCAGGCGGAAAGTAGTTTGGGGAAGTTGGGAGTACCCAGACCAGTGACGGGGTCCCATCCGGGAGCAGAGCTGAAACCGTTGGTACCACATCCTTGGTTTCCACCAGTTGTGATATCGTTGAAAGCGCCATTGAATGCAGACGAGTAGATCTGTCAAGGATATCAACACTGATACAATAAAATGGCTTTATGAGCATACCGTAGGGTTGATGAAACCAATAGGGGCCTTTCCGGCAGCGAGACGAGCATCGTTAATAAGGGTGAAGATGGCAGCAGCTACGGGGGAAGAAGCCGAGGTACCGTAGACAAGGCTGAACGAACCGTCAACCTGGAAAGGAGTTATAATTTACTAATTGCGGTAGAGAATGAAATGCCAAGAACACATACAGCGACGACATAGTTGGCACCGTTAGCGGAAATATCAGGAATGCCTCGCGACTAGAAATTGAGAAAGTATAAACAACCTGATTCACAATTCATAGGTAAGGACGCACCTGTCCAGTGGAGTTGTACTGGCTGCTGGTGTAAGGGGGAGGGTAGTTCGTTAGGAAACTTGAAACTGCGGTTGACTGGTAGCTAGGGAGAGAGAAGTAGTTGCTGAATCCTCCGCCGGAGTAGATGACTTGCTCGCAAGCTCCCTCAGGGTCACTGACAGTGGAGCCAGAGTTGATCTGGGTGGCACCAACGGCGGTGACATAGGGACACGAACCAGGGAAAGTCGGGCTGAAGGCGTCTATTTTGATAATCAATCTGAATAAGACGAGACATAAAGGAAGGAAGAATATCACTAACTGTTAGCTAAGCAAGCACCGCCGCTGCCGGCAACGCCGCTATCTCCAGAACTGTAGAGAATGGTAACACCCATGAGACCAAGCTTGGCATACTCGGCACATTGTCGGGTAGCGTATGACACAGAGAGGTCACCCTCATTGTAGGTGTAGGAAGTGGAGATTACGTTTGCGGGGGTGACAGTGCCACAATCCTTGCCTGACAAGAAAGATCAGAGATGCCCTCCGTTTGTGGATAGGAAATATACAAACCATTATAACCACCGGCAGAGGTATCTGGGTAGGCAGAATCTTGACCTGCAGCATCCCCTCCCTCAAAGGTGCAGTAAGAGCCGTCGATTGCGTCGAGGAAGTTGTTGAAAGAAGCACCTAAATTCAACATTAAGATAGAGAAAGAAAGATCGGAACAAACACTTACCCTCGACTATATCTCCAGCCTGATACAGAGTAACGGGCTGCGCAGCCGTGACAATCGACATAGCATACTGTAAGTCAAGGTTGGATTCACCGTTGTCGTTGAAGCCAGTCGTGGTAGTCTGGACAACACCTACTCAGATGTATTAGAGAAGGAAGGGTGTAGTTAATAAAGTGCGTACCTCCATCAATGGAGACAACAACGGGGGCTTTGCCATTGAGATCAGGGGCATAAGAGCTGGCGAACATGTTGATGTCGGACTGGACGAAAGCTTGAGGGGTATATTCGACTGTTCAATATAGTATGAGTGGTGAGCATCGCGAGCGATAATAAATTACGATTGTCTTACCTATTCCGATACTGTTTGAGCTGGTGGAAACCGGTGTGTAGTTGAGTCCGTACAAAGCCTGCAAGCACGCAGGTGTGATCTGCTGATCGCAACCATCGGTACCGGCCAGAAGGTTGGTGACGACGCCAGTAGTCTTTGGGGCATTGCCCATGCCGGGCTTCTTCCCATTGACAACAGCGGGAGGAGCGTTAGCACGTCGGGCTAACTTAGCATCGAAATGGACGGTGGGAGTCACAATATCAATGTGAGGGATAAGGTGGGCAGGGAGATGGTAGCTCTCGCATGCTAGAAAGAAGTTAAAGGACAATTATGGGTTGCAAGTTGTCGGTATGCTCACCGACGTGTTCAGATCCGCTTTCGTGTCCATAAATGTTGTATTCCGTACGCAGAAGGCTTTCTGCCTCCTCTACAGTCGCGTCGACTTCAATCCACGACTTAGCCGGCGTAACCCGAATACGGGAAGAGTCGAAACCGTTGTCAATAAGCCACGAATGGACATTGGAGACAGTCTCGTCACTGGGCGCAAAGGCTTCAGCAATTTGACTCGCCGTCCAGTGTTTACCATAATTGGGCGAGTCCGGGTGCGAAACATCGTGGAGATATTCACCGATATCAGCGATGTTGTTCTGCGTCAGACCAAATCGCAGGGGAAGAGCAGCAGAGGAGTCGTGTCTACGCGAATGGGACCATCCCATGGGGAGAGAAGTACGCTTCTCGTGAACGGTATACGGCACGATAGGGTTCGCGACGACACCGAGTCCAGCACCGAGGACGAAGAGGGAAATGATAGAACGCATCGTGAATGACTTTGCCTCAAACCCGCTGCACAGAATAGGCGAAAAGCTGGGGAAAGATAAAGCTGATTACCAGACGAGTTTTATAGATGGAAGGAATTTATATATGCCGTTTCGGTAAAAAGTGATGTCTGGGTCGTTGGATAGATAACTGATAGGAAACTAGTCCTCCCTAAGCAATAATGCTAATGACAAGAAGATAATCGTTCCTTAAAATTATAGGAAGCGTTCCTTCATGTGGACGTGCATGGGTGTCCATAGGGAGAGAAGTTCGATGTCCTCGTGTGACATCAACGGCATTGACACCGGCGGGACTGACCTACGTTAACACCTGTGTTCGCAACAAAGGGAGTAACCTGCTGACGCTGAGTACTTCTCCATGCGATTCACATACAACTTCCGAATTAATCTACGGCATGGGCCACCAGAGATATCTGGGGTTCAGTGGAACACTGAATGATGAGAATCACCAATGCTTTGATCATTTTCGAACATTGTAAAGATCTAATGAGTCTAAAATTGATAAAGATCCTCCATAAAAATGTTTCGAAGGCTATGCCAAGCTCACATACCATGTAACCCATACACCCAAAGTGGAGGTGGTTGTATCCGGCGCCTAGGAGCTACATGGTGAGGATCATAAGCATCTGGTGACGACATATGCGGGAGGGTGCGCCACGCTGCAGCATAGGATGCTGTAGTTACTGGTTACAATCGTACGCGCGACCTTGATACGCAAGGTACTGATTAGTAGAATTCTGGATGGTTGAGACCACAAATGAACTTTACCGAGATCCACATGCCAGGTTTTGACGGTGCTGTACTATTATTCACAATATATTGGATCAAGTCAGCAAGGGAGACTAGTGCTGCACGTTCACACAATAAGATATCAGACTGTCAAATGACTTCACGGCCAAAACACAAACTGCCAAACGCCACAACACTGGGTCGGGCATATTGTCCGAGCACCATCGGGAAGTTGACATACGCGGCGAAGGCAAGCCGTTTGCACGATACGATAGTGGAGTCATATGGTTTCCAGATACCACGCGCATGCTCGTGCCAGTGATTGTTCCTTGATTTTGAAGGTCCTTGGTCGCATATTCAGTCTTCTTGTAGTTCGATAAGGCAGAATATGAATGACACGGTGCGGCGTAAGGTCAGTCCAACATTGTCGCAACTCTCGCTTGATGATCGTGCCAAGTGATTCAGATATCGAAGGAATGTGGCATTGCATGTCGTCGGTTTTCCAACTTGACTTCAAATCGGAGCCTTGATATCAACCAGACTCAGTCAGAGTCTGTAGCACTTCTTTAACCGTAGCACTCAAATCGTCTTCACTAGATTTGAATAGTGTCGCAAAAAAGAGAGAAAAAGAAAGATACATGACAAGATACTACATATGCTCGAGTCCAAATCCAAGATATCCAATCACAAGTATGTTCATAGCCGCCAGTCTCTAAAGAACTCGTAGTCAGAATGAACAAAGGCAACCATGTAATCATCAACTGTGCCCCCTTCATCCTCTGCATCACCTCCTGCGTCAGTCTCGACCACGTCGTATATTTCAACGGGATCAATGTTGGCCGGCGTCTCGGGCTCAGGCGCCGCGTCAGAGACAGCCGCTTCAGCTGCTACATCTACCGCCTCCACATCGCCTTCTGCTCCAAAATCTGCCTCGTCAGCCCCTTCCATGGCGACTGCCTCCCTCGCTGCAACTGCCGCAGCGTGGGCATCCTCCGTGTCTTCAAATTCGCCAAGTGCCTTGCTCAGTGCGCCCTCTTCCTCGAAGAGTGACCGCCAGTCAAATTCGCCCTTCTGAATGACGAGATCATCAAGAGATCGTTTCTGATTTGCCTTGAGTAGCATCGCTTCCTCGACCGTGTGCGAAGATATGAACCGATAGATATGAACATCCCGTATCTGTCCGATACGATGGGCCCTGGCTGACAATGAATTTCAATAGTACATAGTTATCGGCGGCCAAACACACCTATCCTCGCACTGTCTATCCATTTGGGGGTTAAAATCGCTGTCGTAAAATATGACTGTGTCCGCCCCAGTAAGGCTAGAGCGAGAAGGCATCAGCAATGGCATAGCCACGACAACAAAAACGTACTTAATGCCAACTCCCCCAGATCTTGACGAGGAGATAAAGCAGAAGATCCGTGTGTCCACATTGAATCGTTCAGTTATGTATTGTCGATCTTCGATTTTCGTCGCTCCATCGAGTCTAAGGTAGAGATAACCATGGAAGTTCAAGAAGATCTCGAGGATGTCTAGGATCCGAGTCATTTGCGTGAAAATGAGCGCACGATGTCCCCCAGCTTTCCGTTCCCTCAGTAACCTCGCTAGCTCCTGCAGCTTTCCACAATCGTACTGCAAAAGAGAGGGGTTAGGAAATGCTATCTGTAGCTTGACGCTAGCCCGGTGCAGCGTGCTATCGAAATCCAACTTCGGAATCGAACCCGCTATCTTAGATTCGAAGCCAGACAACGCGATACGAGGCAAATCAAGTGCAACGACGGGTGGTGTGACGAAAACAAAATTGTCAATCACACTACAGAGCTCCTCGGCACGCATGGAATAAGACTTGACTGCTGCATTGGACAATGTTGTAGTCTCCAAATAATTTCGGCTGAGATCGACAGCAGACAATGGAAGTAGAGGGCGATAGCAAGTCCTGACAGTAGCCAGCATTTCCCTGTCAATGACAGGCAACCGATTGCAGCGCAGACGATTGAGATATCCCATGTGAGTCCAGCGAGCGATCTTTTGAGCGCGCTGCTGGTATGATTGATAGGCACGAAATCCTTGAATAGTTCGATTATCCCTAGGAGGAGGCTCTCCAGGAAGTTCAGACACAAAGGGTAATCTAGAAGTAGCATCAAGGCGACGGGTTTCAATGGCAGCAAACATAGAAGTATTCTCTTGTCCAGCGAAGCGCAAGCCTAAGAGATCGAGGTCAAGGGATTCATCGTCTGTGTCCTTGAACATTTGCCGACGAATGAGGAGTTCTTTGACTTCAAAGTCGGCGATAGCTGATCGTTGCATGGCAAAGGACGTGACGATAGGTCGAACTTCGAATAAATCAGGGTGGTTGCATACTTTTCTCAGTTGCATTAATATATTGGCAATCTTCTGGTAAACTCCGGAATGCAGCGCGTCTCGAGTCTGGGCCCGGGACATAAACTCGTCATAGAGAAACCGTTGCCTCTTCGATAAATGGCAAAGGACGAGATGTTCAAATTTGCTAGGAAGTTCTTTCTCGACGTCCCGTTTCAATCGGCGAAGTAGGTAGGGCCGTAAGACAGTGTGTAGTTTAGTAACACGCTGCATATTCTCGTCGTCAAGGACGGTGCCCATTTCGATAGCCTTCTCCAGGGGATCTGTAAATCTCAATGAGTTTCATTATCACAATTAAGCCAGTAAAGAGACATACTGGAAAACCATTCCCCGAATTCCTTGAGGTTAGCAAAATTAGTACCAGACATGAGAAACTGCAAAAGGGCCCAAAGCTCGGTCAAGTTGTTTTGAAGAGGAGTTCCCGTGAGCAGAAGTCGACGAAATGAACGGAACATCAACAAAATATTCCAACGCTGCGACTTGAAGTTCTTGATCATGTGCGCCTCGTCCAAGATCATGTAATACCAGGCTTTGCGCCTAAATATGTGGGCGTCTCGACTAGCCAAGGTATATGATGTAATGCAAACATTAAAATGGTGTTTATTATACCACCCTTGTCGAAGCTCCTTTCGGCGCTTTGTGGTGCCATGGTAGCTAAGAATTTTAAACCCTGGTAGGAATTTCTTAAACTCCATTTCCCAGTTTAGAAGGACACTTGTAGGAACGATCTATTCAGATACTCAGCGATAGAAGCGACCAAATGAAACAACAACATACAATAAGGTGCGGTCCCCAAATCCCCCTATCGCAAGCAAGATGTGCCAAGAGCGCAATGGTTTGGATAGTTTTTCTTTGAAAATTATGAGTAATAGCTCATATATATCTGGGAGAACATACCCTAAGCCCATTTCGTCCGCGAGAATACCATTCAAGTTATTGACATGGAGGCTCGCCAACCATTCGAGTCCTGACTGTTGGTACGGCCGTAGGACCCCACGAAGTAATATGGGAGCCTTCACTTTATCCTCCGTATTCCAATCAATAGGAGCTACGGCATACCGCTTGAGATACTCCGGGATGAGATTGTTGTCTTCTTCGTCCTCATCGTCTGAGTCATTGTGTGGAGTGGTACCCTCACGACTGTCGACAAGCGCGGGAGACATTGGAAGTCCATCTTCAGCAGGTGTTGCTTGATCAAATAATACTACAAAGACAAGGCGTCAGACAACGAAATTAAGTAAGATCATTATCAAGCGCACCTTGTGTGTTTCCTGGGATAACATCAGCCGACGATATCTCAGAATTGTCGCCAGCTATGGCTTGATCCTCAGCCAAAATAGTGGACTTATCATCAGTGTTCATCGTTATATCAGCTTCAGAAAACAATGAATCGTCCACCTCCTTCTCGGAGAGAACCGGATCAGCATCATGAACATCACTCGAGGCAGGAGAGCCTGACGCCGGCATTAGTGTTGAGGGCACTTCATGGGAGATATCCTGTTCAGCATCTTGATTTGCTGGCGGTAACAAGGTGTGGCGTGGAGGAGACTGAATATCAAACAGCATACTAGGTGGGCTCGAGTTTTTCGAATCTATAACAAGACAGGGTTTGGGTAAGTTCGTACTGCACACGACGGAGGATCATCCAAACCTTCCTCAGCAGCCTGTGGTGTATCTTCATAGTCATCCACATCGGGATCAGACTCTGACTGCTCCTGACTAGGGAGCGCCATATCCACACTTTCCTCTTCTGTGGCTCTTTGGGAGCGGTAAGAAGTATGGTTTTCCCCTAATAACGCAAGGGCACTGATGTCTTCATCTTCGTCTTCCCCAGCACTTGAAGTGTCCTCTTCACGCTCATTGGTCAGCTCGCGATAAACTTCTGGAGTAACAGCTTCATCATCATCGCTCGCTTCTCCCAAGTCAGACACCTCCCAATCATCAGGGTCAGATGCCCAATCCCTAAGTGTACCAGAGATGCTGCTGGACCTGCTACGAGACCTGGAAAGATCACCTTTCGCGAGTTCTACTTGTTGAGTCTCCAAAATCTGCCCGGACTGGTCAAGAATAGCGTCAAGATGCTCGTGTCCACGTATCATCTCTTCCTTCTCTGCTCGCTTTCTCTCCTGTTCGCGTATATGCTATGGGCAAGATCTAAATCAAATGAAGATACCATAAAACCGAATTACACACAAATACAGCCTTTTTCCATTCATTTGTCACCATTTTGATGGTGGCCTTCGCCAGCGCTCGCAGACGCTTCTCTTCTTGTGCTTTTGCCTTGTCTTCTCTGACAGAATGGTGATCCCAGTACGATTGGATTTTGTTTGCAATTTGAAGGGCTATCTGACGACCATTGGATCGCCCATTTCGAGGCCTTGAAACAATCGCCTCTACAACGTTATCCCGATGATCAGCAGTCCGGGTAGGCTCTTTCATATACAAATTGTCACTCCCGACAATACCCTCAAACACGTCTGTGTCAAATATTGCTCGACCCGTCTTCCGTAGGGCGTCGGCTCGATCAAGTAGTAGGGATTGTTTCTTAGCCATCTCCTGCAGACCCTGTTCCTGGACATCTTGGTTATCAATTGTATTATAAGACGACAAGAAGGCGTGCAGAGAGTCGAATTTCTTGAGTGGAGGGCGGTGGAGAGGATGGGTAATAGACGGCGGAGGCCGTCGCACGATAAGTTTTATACGTTTGATAGAAGGCTTTGGAGACACTAGACTCTCCTGCTTCTGGTATGGTGAAAGAAAGGCTGTCGATCGATCCTAACAGCAACAATCAGTATCGACAACAGCAATGTAATGAGAATGATTACATCTGCGGTGTTCTTAGCTTTGCTACTATTAGATGAGGTATCATTTTTCAATGCGTGTCCATGTAAGGAATGCATGGATACATGCCGACTGAGTCTATGATTAGACTGTGTAAGGTGTGGCGTGCTTTCTCCTAAGGTGCCAGAAAATGACCCTGTCACCCTACGTTTCTTGCTCGCAGGGGCAGAAGGGTGCATCGCAGAGACTGACGCCCCATCGGAAATGTGGCGCTTTCGTGTTTCGTCTAAGACCCGACCACTGCCGTGGTGAGAGCTTGTAGTATTTAAATGTTCCAATGCCCGACTTGGATTGGGCGGCGTACGTATTTGGCTGGTAAACATTTTCCCTTTGCCTTTACCAGAAGTACTACCTCGAACTGGAGATTCAGGAAGCAAGGCCACATGAGATTTATCGCCATTCACTGCTCTCTCTTTCCCTTTAGCACTAGCAGAAATCGACGGCATATGTTCAAGCATAGCGTTCCTGGCATCCTTTCCTGCTGCAGATGAGGAGCCTCCAGAAGACCCCTTTATGTTCATGATACGTTGCGTATGAGATCTCCGTGTAGTGCGCGATGCCGAACTCGAAGATTCCGAAGCCTTGTTGAGAAGGTCATATCCCGCTTGGTACTACTCGGGTCTGTCAGTCTCCTCCGAAAAGTGGTACTAGAATGGTATAGCAACGCGCCTCTTGAAACACAGCAGAATTATCCTCCTTCGCAACCTTTAAGCTGTGATGAGACCTGATACCCTGAGAGATATCTCTGAACTTACCTTGGGGTCAAATCCCAACAAAGTAACAAACTTCTCCAAATGAAACAATTCTCGGATCTAGAGAAAGTTTAGAAAGTAAAGAACCATGAAAAACATATCCGAACCATAGCATCATGATCATAAAGAATTTGGTCCAACTCTGCCTGCTTTTCCGCTATCGTTGAAGAGCGTTGAGAAAGTATGCCATCCATATTCCCAGCACTCTCGTCCCCGTTGCTAATACCACCCGAATGATTCGACACTCCAGCAGGCCACCCATGGACAGTTCCAGCAGAATGCGAGCTTCCTAATGATATGCTGGAATAATTCGCAGGTGCCATATATGCTGCCTTGCGACGTAAACGCTATAACTCCCGCCCACCGCAGCTAACAAAATATCAACGCAAGTCGATCTCCGCAGATTCCTGATGGTTTTACGAGATTTCAAGACTGCTGGACAGGTTGCAATCGCAGGAGAGCGCCAGTCATGGAATGGAGAAACAAGAATAACGCAGTCGCCGTCTTCTGTGGTGGTGGACAAAACCGAGGCCATTTTCCGACATGATGTTCGTGTTTGTTCAAACCAAACAGGAGCGGGTGCCCTTTTCGGAGGCTCGTCGTTTCACAGCACGACTCGGGATGCGATTTCATGACTGGACCTGCAACAAGATATTTTACAAAGCGATATGACAGCGTTACATGATAGAATCCTACAGACAAAGTCCACCACAAGCTATTCAAGAATATAAATAAAGAAAAAGTTATTTTGCAAGGGTACTATGCTGGTCATGTGTGGGTATACTCAAAATCCGGAAAACTGTTGCCCCAAAGATCTTCAACCTGCAACCCATACGTCGATGCAACGTTATCTTCAGGATATTTTTCGAACCTAGAAAATTATATGAACATATAGCGGGCGAAAAAAAGTGTCAATCTACACTCACGCGCTAGCGTCACCATCTCCGGTGATTTTAGGCAAGTAAGGTGCTGTGATATCTCTGTTCAGTAGTTTGGTCCAGTCAACCTCCCTAAACCATGGGTGTGCAAAGACATCTCCCGCCCCGTGTCGTAAATTTCCGTAACGTTTCGAAGGGTCGCCTTCCATAAGCTTGAGAATGAGATCGGTGGCATAGTTATTGAATGCAGGCCATAGAATAAATGCAGGCCCGCGAGTTATCTTTTCATACAGCAGAACGGGATTGGCATCTTGTTGGTGATAGGGTGGTAGGCCAGAGAGCATTTCAAAAATTAAAACGCCTAGCGCATACCAGTCGACACTCTTATTGTATCGTTGCTGACCAATTATCTAGTCCGATACGTTAGATACGAATGAGGTCTTTGGCACAAAACTATACCTCGGGGGCCAGATAATCAGGGGTACCACATAATGTCCAGGTGACAGAGGCACATTGCTTTGCAAAGCCAAAGTCGGCGATTTTGATGTGGCCATCGAAATTGAGGAGAATATTTTCAGGTTTAAGGTCACGGTATATTACATCGATAGAATGCAGATGGTTGAGAGCGAGAGCAACCTCTGCGGCATAGAATTTAGCAACGGGATCTGGGAACCTCTGACAAAAGATTCGTCAACTATACTAAGACGAACACAATGAATTCGTACATTTGATCGACGCAAAAGAGTAAACAGCTCGCCGCCGGGAACAAAATCCATGACCATGTAAAGATTAGCATAGTCCTGGAAAGCGCCCCATAGGTTGATGATGAAGGGATGCTGCACTGCTTCCAGCATGCGTTGTTCATTATTTGTGTGCTCTACTTGTTTCATTCTCGCAATCTTCTCCTTGTTCAGTACTTTGATAGCGTAAAAGCGGAGATTGTGTTTGCTCCGTACTGTACTTATATTCAGGTATTGTTAATGCCGAGTCGATATGGTCAACATACCAAGGTGAACACGGCCGAAGCTGCCGGTTCCCAGCGTTCGTTGAATTATGAAGTCTGATAGACGATAAGTGCCTTTGGGTCTCTGAGCGACGCGGGGGAGTGGTATAGGAGCTGGAAGCTCAGCGCTGCTCTCGCGCTTGCTCCATTCGCTGAGGGACGTCCTCTCAGTAGACATTGACCCACGATGCAAACCAAGCTGGGACACCGGTGTAGTGGAACCATCCCGAGAACTGGCCGGTGATGGCGGCAGAACAATAGGACCTGAATGTTTTGAATGCCCCAACTGCCCAAACTTGTCTGTCATCCGCTTGATCATCCGCGCGACAACGTAGAAAAACAGAGCGAGAAAGACCTAGAAAATAAAGATAAGGCGAGCGAGGATGATCGGTGTGGAAAGTCAAGATGCTATGAACACATAGCCCTCCCTTGTTCGATCTTGCCGGCGTTCCACGACTTCCATTGTTCTCCATCTGCCAAACACCGGTCAAATAAAACCTTGTTGCAGGATCGCGTGAGATCTCACTCACCGGCATTCTCCGTCGCCTTCATTTGGGGTTCCGCTTATTCGCAGTTGCGTCCCTACTGTAAGGGGCTTTCGACGTCGCTATCATCTATGGTCTGCTTTTTGTCATACACTGGCGAGGTGAACGGATCACGCGTGTATCTCCAAGGCTGTCCTAGCGATAAGTTCATTCATGGCCGTTTCAAAATGTATGACACTCAACAAAAGGGACATCACATGTATCAGTGAATCATGCACCTGGAATACAATACAGTGATATAAGTCAACAACACCATATCTACAATCCTGCAACAATGCACTTTTAGACTAAATATTTTAAATAATAATTCTCCTTATGGTATACTAGTACTAATCCATTGTATACAGAACAATACAACAATGCATGCAACAAACAAAACTAGCTCAAAACACTGCAAGCAACAGCAAGTAGATCATGTACATCACTAGCAGAAAAATAGCATAATATCTTACAATGTCCTTATATTGCTCAGTAAGCAGCCCCAACCAAGCTGATTTTATGTTTTAACCATATCTGGCACAAGAGTGAGCACAAGCCTTAATCAAGAGACTGCATACACACTTGGATCCCAGCCTAGATGTTGCAATGACCCATTCTGCACTTTGTGAATGAAAGAATTCATCATGGCTTCATAAGGCTTAAACTTCATGTCAAAGTCGGAAGATGACCGAGGAGGGTCACCCATAGCAGACACCCTCGTTTGGGGTAGCTGCAATGACTGCCTTAAATCTTCTATTAATTGTGTATTGTATGTTTGTCCCGGAAGTAGTGTGGGCTCGGTCGGGTTTAGAGCCACAGCCTGGAACAAGTTGCTATTGGTACCACTGAACGGATAATTATAACAACGTATCGGACTTACAGGTGCCTCAGTTACGGGGTCTCGATCAGTTCTCCGCACAAAGGCAGATAGCCCATCAAGTTTGTTCGATTCAGTGAACGCAGCATGACGAGCTTTCTTTCGCAACACTTCTGGTGACATTGAGTGGGATACTGACGGAGATACATATGGCTCCTCTTTGACAGCTATGGAAGGTAAGGACATTTGGCGAACGTAAGGAGAGACAGACTCCGAAGGCGTAGGTAGATGTGGAGTTGGAGCTCTTTGAGGAGCTTCAGGCTCTTGAAGGCGTGTATGTGAGGAAGAAGCCACTGGAGTCGAGGATTTGGCCTTCTGAAGGTCAATCCACGTCACTACATCATCGCGGACCACCTTCAGTCGTTTTGCCCACACTTCCACTACTTGGTCATTGGGTTCTGGTAGTTCAGATAGCAGGACTTCTAGATGTTGTATACTGCTAGGCGTCAAAGAGGGATATACTATGCAGCAAGACATTAGCGCTCAAGGCACGTGAAGTAAAACACCATCACATACGAATATCGCGACTTGAAGTTGTAGTTGTGACAATGCGAGATCCTGATGCGAGGTAACTTGAGATAGATTGTTCGGGGTCATCTCTGCTATTCCGTTTATCAGATAGTGAACCAGGAGTGCCTCCACTCGGTAGCGTTCGATGACGGCTAAACCATGTGTTCAGTTTGTCGAGAGTGAACTCTTCACATCCCGAAAGTGCCCGTACGGCCTCCAAAAGTTCCATTTTTTCCTGGCGTGTTGGATAAGCTGACTCGTGTTTCATAAAATCTGACGTTGCAACACGTCTTTGAGTGATATGTAACAGAACAAGCCCTCAAACTTACCTGACAAGATGTTCGAGCCTGCCTTGGTCAACCTATGGCGTGCTTTCGTCAAGGAGCCCAAGCAATCTAATGCTTGCGTTGCCTCCATTGGGAGTATATAGTTGGGGCTTATGCAAAGAGAAGGCCTCTTCTGCTTCAAGATACAGAGAATATATATTGTAAGGGATGCCAAGCTTTGTCACTCATTACTTGAATCTCACCACTAAGCTATAAATATATTTCGGCCTAGGCCGGTTAATCATGTGCTTTGAAAAATAGCAACCTTTAAAGAAGTTACCTAAATTTTGCCAGCCATCAATGGGTGCTCCACGAGGAACCCCTGGAATTTAACAAAAGTGTTGCATGAGCGGGCATTGGAAACTTATGGTCTAACCTTCATTGACAAGGCCACGTTGGTTATAGGAAGCCCCTTATCAAGGGCCATCCATAGGCCATCCAGGTCCATCGTACCTGTGTGACTTGCAATAAAGGGAGAAAAAACAAAAGATTTCACGTGCACTCCGTATGTTCTTCACACGAATGGCTCTATGCGGATCACCGCGATCCAACGTATATTGGGTACTATAGCGAGCGAGATCGTGCACGAGGGGCATGCGTGCTACGATGGTCTAATCCCAAAGGAGACGAGCCGTTGGTCTTCTTCCCCTTGTTAACCGCGCTCTGCCAGGCTTTTTGTAGGGGCCCGACTTCTGTCTTCAGTTTATTTTCAATGATCATCTTTTCCATTTCTCGCGACAGAACACCCAGGAATTCCTCTGGTATTTTTTCACGGGAAGAACTCGGGAGATTAGATGAAGGCGTCGGCCGAAGACCTTCGACGGAGGAAAGTTCTATATTGAGCATAGTTGATACTCCATTGCCGCTAAGTACGTGATAAACGCTGATAACAAAAGCGCTCACATTCTCGGTCGGTTGCCTTGATTAAGCCAACCAATCTCTCTGATAATTTCCTTGCTGCTTGAGGATCCATCCCTAGTTCACCCTGGACGAGGGAAGGGAATAATATCGGCACCACTCGGGATAAAGCCACGGACATGAAAAAGAAGAGTTGATGCAAGAGAAGAATATGCTGATAGACCGTTCGACGAGGAAATAGAGCGTGTAGAACCATTCTGGAAGGAGAGACACTATCGACAAATAGGTCATCGATGGGTTCAGGCGAAAAAAGTGAGGGTGTCAATATGAGATACAATTCAGATGCGAGCAATGCAATGAACAACAGATAACGCCACTGGATATAGTCACAATTGTACTGAGTAAATCTTGCAATGGTACAAGTACAGATACATGCTTACAAGTGCAATTGGACTTGGTCTACCAATGGCTGAAAACACAAAAAGGCCCATACCTGTCATGATGTGATAGGGCGACGAAGACAGCAGGCCACGACGAAGATACTCTCGCATTGTCGTACAGTCTTTCCACTTCAGAACTTCGGGCCCAAATCTGGAGTCCTCGGCACGGAATCAGCTCAGGTCTTCATAAAGGAAGGAATCGTACTCACTTGTCATACGCAAACCTGATGACAGGGTCTTTCAGAGCTTCGAAAGCATCTCTGACCTGAATAAAGACATCTTCGCCCTGGGAGCCTACTCGGTCGGGATGATTTTTCTTTGCAAAAGCTCGAAATGCTAGCTTGAGCATGTTTTCGTTAGTATCCGGATAAACGCCCAATAGCTCATAAAAGTTGGGAGCCAAACTGCGTGAGGCCTCAAGAAGGTTATATGAGAGGTAGCACAGAACGACACCAGCAAAAGCGAAACGATATTGCGAGGCATAAACAGGAGTTCGTGGGACAGGAGGAGGTCGGTTGAATGCTGTATAAAATGTATAGTGGAAAACCCGTAGGACTTGTACCGTGACTAAATCAGGTAGATATGACCAGCCAGCAAAGCCGAGGAGAGCCTGCGTGGACATTTTCAATGTGGTTACTCCGGATAAACCTAGCAGTACAATTAAATCCGTCAGATTAATGAAACCTAAGCATACAGAAGGGAAATCAAAATAAGCTCAGGACTGGAAACCAGTCATAGGAGATCTCATCTCGCTGACAGTAAGACATTCTAACGTCTACTGCAATACCTGCACCAACGACTTGTATGCACGTAACCACGCATCGAAGCATTGTTCTCCGGCTTCGACGCTTGAAACGCGCAATGCTCCTGGAGTGAACCAGAGGCAGATGTAGCGTTAGAGAAATCCACATCTAGTGACCACCCATGACAGAGAAGATCTCTTCTGCCTAGGCTCGGCTAGTTAACGCGAAGGCCATTGTGTAACCTACACCCAATCATTTAAAAGGATGTAAGACACAAGACCCGAATTTTAGCTTGGCCTTTGCCGACAGGCTTTCGACATTACAGCCATGCCAGCCTAAAAGAAAGCTGTGATGTTGGTCCAGCCTTACGATGTACCACGAGAATCTCGCTGTGGCACATTGAGTAATAGACACACTGTCGGGTCCAGGTAAAGAAAGAAGATAAAGAATCTCAACGTCCACGTCGACCCTTTTACTAGAACATCATCGCAGAGAAAGTATAGCAAATGAACTCGCCTTACACAATCGGAAGAGATGGCCTTCAATGATATGGTATGGGTGAAGATATGGAACACGGATGTGAAAGAGTGACCACAAGCCTCCCGACGACGACAGCTCGATTCAGAGCATGGGTTTACTGGTGGAGGTAAGGTACGAAGAGATGGAATGTGGCGTCGAAATGATGCGTGGGACCGCCTTACATCATCCGAGCTGCACCCAGTTTACTTTCCTACACGTCGGCGTCGCGTCAGTCAACGTTTTCTCAACGACGCTCAATTCTGTCCTAGGTCGCCGTTCAAAGCCGTTTACCAAACACTCATAGAATATTGTCATGAATCTCTTTAGGCTGCTGGGTACGTTTCACAATAGTCGTACTGTTATGTGAAACCTGTTATCTTAACTGAACGGCGGATAACAGGGGACCTGGCCCATCTGGCTTCGATATTCATACTGGTCCACAAAATTCAGACCACGAGATCATGTCGAGGTACCCATTAAATCGCAACTTTATGTAATTGCTTTAAAATTGACCCTAATTCTGCTACCCAACCAGGTATTTCGTTTAAGACCCAAGCCCTCTACGTCCTCGTTTTCGTTGCACGATACATCGACCTTTTATACCGCTGGATTTCTTTCTACAACTTCATCATGAAGATATTCTTCATTGCAAGTAGTTGCTATATTCTGTATCTTATGAAGTCACGATTCCGGTAGGTCAATTCCCCTGACGTCTAGCTTCGGTCGCTAAAGTACCGCTCCGTCTCTACCCAGTCCAACACATGATCCATCCATCGACACATTCCGAGTCGAATACCTCCTTGGACCATGCTTAGTGCTTTCACTCATCTTCAACTATCACTTTGAGGTGGCGGAAATTCTGTGGACATTCTCTATATACCTAGAGTCTGTTGCTATACTCCCCCAGCTGTTTATGCTGCAACGCACCGGAGAAGCCGAGACCATCACTACTCATTATCTGGCTGCTTTGGGTATCTATCGTGCGCTTTACATTCCCAATTGGATATACAGGTTAGTGAAATGAGACCTTGTGGTGCTTTGCCTGTCACGGAGACAAATCTGGGTTTTCCTTTTATGCAATGTCTTAGAGCCAAATAATAAAACAGACACTAATTCTTTTGTTCTTGTCGATGTTGTAGATACTTTACCGAAGACCTGGTCGACCCCATAGCTATCACTGCTGGGCTAGTGCAAACAGGGCTTTACCTTGACTTTTTCTATGTCTACGTCACAAAGTACGTATTACTCTTTCAACACGGCTTCAACTATTTCATTGACCATACCCTCACATCTTCACGTCACTAATGGTGATTTTTCATGTACCCGGCTGCACGCTACACAGAGTATTACAAGGACAGAAATTTGAGTTACCAGCTTAAGATGGTTGCAGGTACACGATACACGCTGATATTTTGACCTCTTTTTGGTCGTACTGTCAATAATATATCGCATATTTTCGAATGAAACCGTAGTACTTATTCTAAGTTTTTGAGTGTTACCTAGTCAACATGCTCGGCATAGTTGACCGTGTGAATGTTGCGTTGGCAGACTCGTTCCGCGCCTGCTTAGCCATTTGAAGCTTCACATTATTGCATCTCAGGCTTTGCTACCACCTTGGGGCCCATACTATCATCTGGTCATACACTACCACTAGGCCATACGTTTTCTCCCCGTCCGGACGACATATTTGAACAACACACAGCCGCTCCATGGCTCTGCGTTTTATGATGATGACGCTAAACATCATTCTCGCTCTCTTATTTTGTATGCTACCTGGTGCACTGGCTGCAAGAGATGGGAGACTTGCTAACAGAACTATCGAAAGGGTGAGTTTCCTTCACTTTCAAGGAGTGCCATTCTATCTGCTGCAGTGCCCTTGATATTTCTGGGAGAAGCTATATGTATACAGCACTGATGTCAACGTTTTGGCATAAATGCGTCTGCATATCATGTCATCTTAGCATGCTCGGGCTCACTTCGAAATTTGTTTATTTCACCCAACCGCACGTGTACTTTCTTTCAGCTCGTGTACTCACCAAATTTCCCGCAGACCGTCCAACTACGCACTCACTCTATCTTCCCTCCTTATATCGACCAAGACCTTCAAAATCGGTGCGTGTATTCGTTGCATGTCTGTACTCTTTGTCCTCAAACACCTTTACAGATGGTGGGATTTCGGTGCAGACTCTTACGTTGTAAGTCACTAAGATTCAAGAATTTGGCTGCACGTGCTGATGTCAGAGGTAAGAATACCAACAAACATATACGATTAACTCGTGCTCGACCGTCCCAAATGGTATGCCTTTTGTTATTGTGTTTTCTTGTGACGGTAAATTAATATCTGGTAATTCTCACACTCTTTAGGGGTGGTTATGGTCGCGTCTCCCCATAACCGCGCAAAACTTTGTAATCGAAGTCGAATTCAAGGTAATTTTAATTGTTGTTGGTTGTCTCTTCGCCATTAATGTGGGTGTTCTACTATTGTGTAGATTTCAGGAGAATCAACTCATTTATTTGGAGACGGTATGGCTTTATGGCTAACCACAACCCGCGCAGAACCAGGACCTGTATTTGGTAGTATCGGTGAGTTGATATTGGTATCTACACCAACAGAAACTAATATGATTTCTTATCCATCAAGATAAATTCGAAGGTCTCGCTATATTCCTTGATACGTGAGATACAGACATGATGTTTCTACGGCGCCTTTTTCTGACATCTTGCTATCGCAGCTACGCAAATGCCCGTCATTCATATGGGTTTCCCCGTGTGTTGGCCATGATGGGTGATGGATCAACAAGTTATGATCAAGCGAATGATGGCGAAGCTAACAGCCTTGGGTCCTGTTCTGTGAGCACTTTATATCCCGGTATCAGTAGTGAATCATCGTTATTCATTAAACGGAAAGGCAAACTTCCGTCGGACCAACGGGGTCACGAAGTTAAAGATCACATACGTGAAGGACGGTTATATAGACGTGAGTTTTAATAAAACAACAAATTAGTGAGATAGGTGTTCACATTGTTTTTTTATTTTATGTCGCAGGTCAAAATGCATTATAGAGCATGTTCGTATCTGCCACTGCGAATCAAGTCTTAATCTGACTGATAATAATTCGCCAGGGGACGACTGGACTGACTGTTTCAGAATCGAAGGCGTCAACCTTCCTACGGCCCCTTACATAGGACTATCAGCCATGACTGGCGAAGTTTTCGATTCCCATGAGTATGTCGCTATTTAGAAACTTTTTCATCTATCCATTCTCTAACCATGCCCTGAATCTCACATTCCCATTGCGACTTTGGCAGTGTGATATCAGTAACGTCTTGGTCTGCTGTTCTTTCCTCAGAAGATGCCCCTCGTGACAAGCTTGGTGGACGGATATTCTCAAGTTCTCGAGGTTCGCAATCAGGATCCTGGTTTGGGTTCCTTTTCAAGCTATTCTTGTTTGCCGGTGTATGTGCCGGGGCGTTCTATGGATACAAGTCATACACGGTGAAAAACAACAACAGATACGGATACAGCGGTACCTTCGGATCGACTGGAGGTACTTTTGGTCAGTTAGGAGATAGGCTGGGATATACAAGTGGCAAACGATTTTGAAGCTTATGTTTTCCGGAACTGTGTAATGGGACGTCAGATTTTTGGGGACTTAAAATATCTTAGATCAAATGTTCATGCAGGTTTCAAGCCGCAGAGATAATGACATACATGCATTTATCTTTGGAATATTCAACTTGTGACCATCGATATCATGATTACGTGTGAAGTCTCGTCAATGAACGTTGGCAGCCTCTTGTTCATGTTTTGTACAGATATACAGCTATCTCTAACTATACAGCAAACACGATTGTACGTATATGATATGTGGTCACAATTTCATGTCAGTGTATGTATTCTGGTATGTAACTACTACTACTACTACTACTACTACTATGTATCTACGGAGTATGAGATGACAGCGAAAAGAAAGACTACTACTGATATACTAGCTACTAAAAAAGGCGAGGAATATACGACTCGGGTCAATTTCAGCTATCCTATGTTATGTAAATTCGGAACACTAAGAAGTTTGAAGATGTTGAGAAGAAGTTGTTGAATCAAGAAAAATGGAACCACTATTGCTACGAGAATATTCCGGGATGCAAGATAGAAGATAGGAGAGGAAAGGATAACTGGTGCGCCAGTTAACGTGGACTTTGATACAATGAACATTGATTTTGTCGTATTACATCTGCATCTAAACACCGTATCGTGTTGCTAGCCGCTCCTGGATCATGGGAGGGAACGCTGCTACCTGAGCAGCCCATCCAGCTTCGTCGTGACTTTTGAATCCAGAAAGCAACTGCTGAAACATGGCATTCAACTCAGCCGATGGTTGATTCCATCTTATTATCGCGTTACAGAACCATAAGAGGCTCTGTGCAAAGATTATCAAAAAGATCAATCAATGCAATATGTTCAAGACGGGCTCCACGAACCTTTGCAATGCCTGGAGGATTGGTTTGCACAAGAATACAGAATCCTCGGAAAGCTGAGTCTTTTTCCTCATTGTCCCGAATCTCATACAAAGCTTGACACCAAGCCTGAGCAAATTCAGAGAGATGAGGTGCCACAAGAGAGGGATGCATCAGTCCAATGCGGCCAATGGAAACTGCAGCATTCTCGTGCAAGCTCCGCGGTGCTTTCGGGTGCAGGAGGATAGGTATAAGACGGGCAATCAGAGGACCCGCCCATTGGTGAAACTCAGGATCATCTACAATAATCAAAGGTTTTATACCGAAGACAGAAATTTGGCACTAACGTCACGCACCTCGTCCATACCTCAAGGCCACTTCTCCAACGGACCATGCTGCATTATTACAAGCACTGATAAACTCAAGCTTGGGTTCAGGGTCAAGCTGTATTATCAACTCCGACATGATGCCAGGGAGATGGGGGCGTAACAGCGTGAAACATCCCATGGCCAAGTCTCCGACAAGTGCGTAGGCCGACTGTCTTACAGGTGCCTGTGGATGTTTAAGGCATACTGTAAGCAGGTTGAGGAGATTTGGCTGAGTCTGCGAAATCAGTGGCTCTAGAGTCATACTTAGGCCCTGCGTAAGCCCTGACAAAAGGTCAAGCGCAACTACCAAAAAAGATTTATCTGGCTCGTCGAGCTCGGGATTCTGCTGATAGGCTTGATACTGCAGTAAAGAATTGTGGATGATGTTGATGCACCTCTCGTAAACAGGTGTAGCGTAAGGCAAAAAACCTTGCCCCATAGCAATGGTTACAGATGCAAGGCACTGAATTTCAAAACTTGTCAGCACCTGCGCCGTAAGTTAAGGTCACAGAGAACTTACTTCCAGAAGTGGGATTAGATCCTCGTCATCATCCTTGAGCTTCCCCCATCGCTTGGTAAGAGGTGGCATTAATATTTCGATATACATCGGATTCTGTAAAGCTCGTCCGACAGCGTCTGCTAGCGTTCCGACAGCGTCGTAAAGAATGAGCATATTCTTATGCTGATACTTCTCGAACGCAAACACAAGATTCCGTAATACAGGTTCAAGATATGGGGCAAGCTCTGGGCCAGCATCTTCTTCCAGAGTCGCAAAAGCGCTACATCCGGCTTCTTGAACACGCTTATTGTCATCTAGTACCATTCGAAGGAGCTGAGATTTGGATTAAAAATCAAATTTGCCAAGATGAAACCGACAAACTTACACCTTCCATAGTCGGTACGAAGAATTGATTTTTGTGTTCTTCTGATATCGGTTGGGTACACCAACTAGCATAGCGACCTAACGTCCAGCAAGTGATCGAACGGACAAGGGGCTATGATAAGAAAAGATTGTGAGACGCAAGTTCATACTGAGAATTTACGTGAACAATGTTACCTTGGGGTCATTCAAGGTATTTATCAAATATGGGATGAGCGTTGATAAATGCTGCTCAATAGCATCAATACAGCCTTGAGATTGGTTGACGTCAGATTAACACAATGAGACATGGAAAGTTACTCACCTTCAGCCATGGCGCCTAAGGCGAGTATACCGCTTTCCCTCTCTAACCATTCCGTACTCCAGAGCTTGTCTTTTAGCGGACCCAAAAGCACATTCATCAACGTCGCCCCGAACCTAACAGCCAGCACATCCAACGCCGCAGCTGCACACTTCCTCAAATTCCACTCAGTTGACATCTCATCAGCAAAATCGTCGTCATCCAGTTCATATTCATCTTCTTCGTCAGAATCTATCGTTTCCTCGCCATATGCACCGCGCTTCGATTCATTACCATTACCTGCAGCTTCACGCTCAAGACCGTGAGACTTTCCACCATAATGACGGGGCTTGATGTCAGTTTCTTTGTCAGGAACTGTGGTATCTTCAGCATCGCCTTCTAACCAGAGGAGATCATCCTCCCCATAGACCATGCAGTCAAGAAGGACAGGTGCTACCCTCGGGAGCAGCGGATGTAAATATGGTGCAAGGTCAGGGTCCTCAGCGAAAGTCAACCAGAATTCGCAAGCCTCCAGCGCGACAGTTTCATTCTTGTCCTTTGTCGAATACAGCATATATTCAGCAACGTTCGACATTTCCGGCATTAGCTTTTCTGGACGAGCAGCGAGCAAAAGTACGAGTGCCTGGCATACGTGCCGACGGACTGCGGGGTCGTCGTCCGAAGCTCGTTTGAATAGACAAGCGATAAAAGCATCAATGTGAGCAAAAAGTGATTGTGAACCGATTGGCACAAAATATGAAAGGCAGGCAACGGCATGTGCTCGCATTTTTGACGAGGGATGTTCCGAAAGTAGAAGGAACTTGGGAATCATAAAATCTAGAGGCCGAGTCCCATTGATGTCGATATCCATTTTTCGGGGATAGTCCTCGCAAGCTTTTTCAAGCGTGTTAAATGCCGCCTGTAAGTGGATTCAAAAAGATCAATAAATCGACCATTTGAAGGGATACGAAGATCAAAATCGATGCACGTGTCAGAGGACTCTAATTAATGGGAATAATACACTGCTCGCTATACTTCTTCGTAATCAGATGAAATCAGGCATCTGAGCATACAATATACCGATGTGCCCAACCTAGCACACGTGGCACTTATTGATCGACAAACTCGTTGAAGCATGATAGTGCAACATTCTTGACATCCATCAGAAGCGATGCCCCAGAATAAAACATGTAACAAGATGGGAAGGTAGTAGAGGGGCTACTAGCAGTGGATAACCTAAGAAATGATCGAGCTCACCTCTTGAGAATCAGAGTCAGGAGAATCGAGCATGTTAACGAGTTGCTGCAAACATTCGGGCCAATTTTTAGGTTCAAGAACACCCAGAAAAGCTACAATGTCTTGTCCCGCCGCATTACGAATCATAGCAGGAGAGTCGTAGAATGCCTGCAGTACGGCTGATTTGACATAGTTTGCAACATCGGCGGTTGCATTGAGAATAAGACGTGAGTTGTTTTTGAGCAGGTATCCAGCGATAGTCCGAATCCGTGCTTCTTCTTGTGGCATGGCAGTCAAGATATATGCGAGATACGCAATGTAATCTGGTACACGCGTAAAGCTGTTCAATTTCTAGAAAGATGGCTGTAAACGCGGGGAATTTGAAACGACGAAGAGCTAGCCATACATGAGTGATGGCACGCTGAACTTTGTTCTGTGTATCTGTGGATTCGTGGATGGTTTGCAGGATTTCCTGCAAGCCAGCTGTCTGGGGCGACCAGGAAGACATTGTTACTGACAAAACGCGTTGAAGATACGAATGGAGGCAAACGCGCCGCAAGAAAGAAAGGATGAAGAATGTTGCCCATCCTTGGACCAAATTACGGGTGTATGTTACTGTTTACTGCCGTGGGAACATCACAAGAATAGCGTAATTAACTATTTTATTACAGTCAGGTCACGTTCTATGTCACGTTAATGTCACAGTTATCGCAGCTCTCCCATCGTTCCTGTGCACCGATCTTTTGATAAAACATCATCAGACATACAACATAACGACTTTCCTTGGTCTTACCTTTGCGTTTTGTCCTCAAGATCATTATCGACCGAGGATTTCACGAGCTCTCGGTATTCATATGGCTTGCCATCAGCATCGTGGTGCGGTATTACGAAGGTCAACATTCACGTCCTGGCAGGAGAAGCTCCGAAGGTATTTGATACTTATCTTAGCTTTCCTGTGGCAGAAGTCACACTCATCAAAGCTCATCAGTGTTCTTTTAGAAGCATCTGTGTTTCGGAAGATGTAGATCGATAAAAGCACTTCCAAATCAGTCTTATCAAGTCCGGTGGCGTGGCCCGCTGAAATACCCGCAGGCATTATTTAGTGCAGATCGGAACTGGCTGGCCTCGATGAGGTCCGTGTGATGCTCCTGATTTGGTCAGCATGGTCAGCATCGAAGTGCCAGAGTGGATTATTAGTCTCCTGCAAGGGGGCCCCCCAGAAAGAAGACTACGTTAACTGTACCTTCTAGGTGATTACCTGTCTTCTGAAGTTTATTTTCCTATTTGGCATAGTCACTGGAGTCATATATTGCGAAAGCCTTTTTCGACGTATCGGATGTATATATTACCGCTCTATTTCTAATCAAAGCAGTCTGACCGCTGGTCAAAGTAAATCAGTGGGTCTGTTGCACATCTTGCAGTCAAGGGTATAAGTGCGGCCCAATAACCCTTACATACCTTCGGCATGCCAGTGAGTTCCTCAGCTTCTGTATAGTTGTGGGACTTTCGAAGTCATGCACGAGGTAGGAGAACAGGTTACAATGGGGATGTAAATGCGATTCCTCTGAGAAAATCCATCTATGGCATTAACATGAGGCGTTCAATACGGTAGGTTGGTTATGACTTCCAATAGTACGTTTGGTTATCGCATGACTAGTACGACATCGCGGATTATTATCAAGGTCAGACGCATGAGTGTGGTACGGAGTGCATTGGAACTAAGGCAACGATTTCGATGGTCAATTTATGGAACGAAATAGTAAAAAGCATATAACGTACGGCGTCCGGCACATGGCGAGCACCATTCCATCATGTAATCGTATAAGAGCTTCTGCCATTTGACTGCTGGGGGGACGAAATGACCTAATATATCGGTAAGGGATACAGTAAGCAGTTTGATAGAATGTTTGGTTAAATATTTCGCACCACCGGGATGTTCCTCTACTCTCCCATTGGTGGACCAACTGATGAATGGTTCAGCATTGTCAACGACAACATCGGTCTTCCCACTAAGATGAAGCGTGGCAGTCGAATATGGTAAGCTCATTACGTGACGAATGAGAGGATGTGTTGGAATAGCTGGAGAGATAGATATACAGAATTGACTGATCAGACAACAGTAAGCCAAGATAAATTATCTTATGATACCACACGAATGACAATACTTACAATGGAGGATGAGGAGCTTGGCCATTGTGCGAAAACGAGGGGTACAGAGAAGGTTTTTCTAGCTATATATCAATATCACAGAAGGTTGGATATGAATTTTCTCTTTATTGAAAACAGAGGTGGAACCCACCAGAGCAGCGAGCAACAAGGCAGTGGTTGCTCCTTGGCTTACTCAGTAACAGATCAGACACTATCACGTAAAACCTGCAAACAATACGAAACCACGGTTCTCACCTAAAACCGAGAACACCCTGGCATAGAGGGGAAAAGTCTTCATTAACACCTCTGATAAACTTACAAAGTGAACGAAACCCACTGCAAAATGGTTACCCATTAGAACCTCCTTGAGCATCATTAAACACTCCTCTAAGCCATATGTCAGTATCTTGCTTGCCATGTCCACGCCCCACCAGGCTCGGAATTCGCGATCTTGTGCTGGTCCGTGCGCAGGAAAAGGCTCTGAATTGGTGGACACTGGGTGAAGCTTGAAAGGTCCGTCGATAAACACTAAGACAAAAGGTAAGTACAAGACAAATATTTATCAGCGCATCGCTTACCAAGTTCATATTGCTCTTTACACAGCTCGCGAAGATTCTTGAGCTGTACGACGCGTTGTATTGTGTAAACAGATTCCAGATCAGAAATTGAATATTTAATTACCTTCTTGCTAAAATATATAGCGTTTTGCGCTTGCCTTCGATTTTACAATCGATTGTGAAAAGGGAAAACAAGGATCAGCATCATTTCACGACGATTATGGCTTTCTAAGCCCTTACCCGTGAAGCACTAGCACCTTCGGTCGTGGTCCAGAAGACGTCATGCTAGCAATCATACAGTTGAAACTTGTAAAAACTGGCGTTGACCTTGGTACTTATATGTTCGGGATGGAATTCACAGTCTCAAACCCACGATGGTCTCCCAGCTTCTGGACTAACCCAAAGACAGTTATTGTTAGATTGTAAAACATATTTTATACCTCGGATACTTACCTCGGCTGATTTCCATTTTTCATGCGCCAACCTTCATAGTATGTTTCTTCCAATTTATTTGTTTAATACCCTTGATTTATACAGTAGGCTTCATATTCGCGTCCCAGGTATTCGAATTGACCGCGGTGACTATGAAAAAAAAAACTTCCTACGCATTATTAGGGAACAGTTGAATAATAAATAGCATCCTGCTGAGATAGATTGGCACTTACTAGGGTTATACTAGCCATAGTGCCGTCAGCATATCCAATTCGTATCGGTCCTTACCAATAAAATATCTTTTTCGTCCTCCCGAGACAACGGTCAACCTGCTGTTCACATTCAACCAGAATACAAGCCAAGTTCCGAGCGCGACTTGGAGAACCTTGTTCACCCCAAGTTCTGTGGCGGGCCGGTGTACCTCACCGATCCTTCTGACTCCAAGGGACACGAATATAACACGTAAACATTGGATTGTAGTGCAGGATTTATGTTATCGCCCACACATACAAACATAATCTAAGCTGAGAATCACGCTGGTTCTGATCGGGCGACATAGTGAAGAGTCCAGGACGGATGATATGCTGAGTGGCATCTGGATGATAGTGGTCAGTCTTGTAAAAATACAGTCGATTTGAGCATTCTCTAATAATCTACTGCAGAACGGGTTTCTAGGTGCTTCACAGGTTGGCATTTGGGCCGTTCGCGGGATCAGAGGTCATTGGAGTTGCTGCACCGGAACTTGTCACTGACGAAGTTCCAGGGGAGGCGACGCTCCCTCCTGGGTTGTGGAAGTAGTCACGGAAGAAGTTCCTCCAGTTAGCCTTTGAAGGCACAAAATGCCCTACAGCACATTAACGAGTGTGTTTATGTATGGTTAAAGACAATGGTCCTGAAAGTGACAAGGACGAACCTCCGCCATGTTCTTCTTTTCTTGCGTTAGTGGAAAGTTCAAGTAGCACTTTAGATCGCTCCTCTGTGACTATGAAATCTGTCCTGCCAATGACATGAACTGTTGGGGTGGAGAAAGGCGAGCTGAAAACTTCAGCACTGAGGGCTCCGGGTGCCCTGAACCCTGATACCGAAACACAAAATTGGCTTTGCAAGACTCAGTTAAGCCTCACCTATACATGGGGAAACGGACGTACAACGGTGGGTGGAGAGGTTGACCATCGACAAGAAATGGAGGGTACAAGTGAGGTCTTTCGAGCTATAGAGGAACGTAAAAAGTCCAGCATCCACATGAAGCTCTAGAAAGAGGAAACTGAATACAAACCAAAGCTGCAAGCAGAGCTGCCATGGCTGCCCCTTGACTGACGTACTCCCCTTCATTGGCGCCAGATTATACATAGTAAGCTGGACTCACCTGAAACCAAAGACACCCTGCAGCCCAATCGGATAAAAAAAAAGTGTTCAGTGATTAAGATGAAACACAACTCACATCGAACCGATCGCGCTTTAATACTTCTTTAAGCATAAGCAAAGATTCATCTAACCCATGCGCCACTGTTCGTTCTGGGTTAGACCTCCACCATGCCCGTGGTGTGAGGGAGGGATCTGAATCTGCTGCAGAAGCTTCAGGCGCTCCCAAAGCATCCAGCGATGTCGTCGGGAACGATAAGCCCACAAGGTCAATGGGGTGGAGAACAGTTTGTCCATCCACAAATACTATAATAAATATAAGCAAAGTACCATGAATTTGATACGACATCGATATACCCAGTTCGATCTCTTTCCCAAGAGACTTGCGGAGTGCTCCCAGCTTCACATATGGACCCCACGATGTAAATTAGCAGAATCATTCAAAACGAGCATTGTAATGACTAACGCGTTTACTGAAAATAATCGCATTTTGGGAGTACCTGTCAATTCAACACTCATTGCAATGAAAATATAACCATCTTTTAAGGTGACTTGCCCGTGTAGCATCAGGATCTTCCTTGGTACTCCGGACATGTCGTTCAAGTTAAGATGCAGAATCGACTTGTTGTCCTCTAAGACCAGCTGTAGGTGACGGTAAACCAAAGTTTGAAAGCTTAGTAGCAGTAGCCGGTATGGTGTTGAGAACTTCCAGGGTCAACTTTGAGCCTGAGGTTGCTGGAGATGTCTTGATAGCCGGCTACACGGCCCGGGCCTAAACAGTGAAAATTCCCCCAAGGCCAAACTTGACACTAAACCAAACCTCTCAAGTTGTGGTTATACAATACTATGGGTATCACACATTACAGCGTTATCATCCTGTCATAGGTCGCTCGACCATAAAAAGTCCTACATTATCCTACAATCACTCCGAATAGTGGTCCTCGCTCGTGGTTACTTTCAACTTCTCGATCATCGTGCTCACTCGTTCGTACACTGCGAATACAATCGCCTGCCCAGGTGCAACTCGCAACACACGTGGGGTTATTCCCTTGTAGAAGGATCTGACACCCTCTTGCCGCCACATATCAGAGGCGATCAGCTGTATTCGCTGAAACGCAGATTGCCCTGGCTCCGCCGTGGCCTTCTGTAATCCTTATATAAACAATAATTAGAAGGTTGTTTGTTTTGGCAGGAGGCTTCCCACTTACGTGTTTTTATCGTGTCTATTGGAGCGTTGGAGAATGGCCCCATAGCCCCGGAAATGAGACCGATGATCATGTGCTGGTAAGATGGTAGCTCTTGAAGTTCAGGTTGATATCGATGGGCTAACTTCTTGATTTCTTGGTAGGCAGTGAAATTGGCACCTGCAAATACACTATTCAGCCACTTCTCCCTGGAAGTCAAAGTCGTGATGAATGTTTAGCTCTCACCTTGATTAGTGGCTTGCCGCAGAGCTGTAAGAGAGACACCTCGGTATAGTGTTGCTATTCCTTCCTCTCGAATTATTGTGTACACCGCATGTCCTGCATTGCGGTACCGGGGTGCTTCTAGTGGATCAGCGAGAGAATGCTGCTGGGCCTGTAGGCGGATTTTCACCACCTCCATTGGCGTAACTACAGCTACCGCTTCAGTAGTCCCTGCAGCGAGACCAGCTGATGGATACCCCTGTTTAGGATTTCTTTTCCAAAAGGAGGCAACACAACTAACCAATAAAGATGGAACCGACGCTGGTATTTCCAGTTGTTTTGTCGGCCAACCAGCCTTTGTATGTTTCAAAGCTTGCAAAACGAATGGCCATTTTTGGCACGATTCCCGAAAGAACAGCTCCAAGACCTTTATACAAAGCCAATGGTGTTTCACGTCTCACAATCAAGATACCAGTGGCAATAAAACCCCTGGGTTTCGTCTATCGCAGGATTTCCCTGGTCAATCAGCTTCTCGTTACTCATAGCCAGGGAGTCTTGCTTGCACTTACCCCAGGTGCCAACCCCGACTTGGATAACTGCATTCTCACCTTGATGGTGTCCAGCGGCTGACAACACAGCTGAACAAATGTTCAAACACAATCAGCTACAATACCATTAACGAGATCTTTTCTATTACTCACCGCCTCCATTCCCCCTGCTAGTCCACCAGCGGTAATGTGCGTTGCAAAACCTACTGGTTTCTTTTTCCCTGCTCGAGACATAGCTAAGCGCTCTCTGTTGTTCTAGATTCGCGACCTGGATATTGCAAGGATGAGTCACCAGCCCTGGTAAGCTAGCGCTAGTACTAAGGTAAAGGAGCAATGAATAATGGACTATGTCCCATCCGACCTCTTCAGAGCGGACATAAACATGTGAATTCTCAACATTTCCTATTTAGGAAAGAGCCGCATTAGTCCCGACGCAGTTCAGTCTTTCATTGGCCTCATGCACGGACAATGGCAGGCCAAAAGACTTGTCCTCCCCCGCTCTTAGTCCGCTATACGCATGCATTCTCGTGGTATACAACTCGCTACCACCACTATCTCCAAATCCACCTATACAAACATGTACATATTTACCGCCCTTGTCGGCCTTTGGTTTTAACTTGCATGTTCCGCTGAGGTCCGACGGTGCCATGATCTTCCGTTCCGCTGGAACAGAGAGCGAGCCAGCACATTACTGTACTAGCATTCTTGTCAACGCTGACCCCTGTTGTATCCTAGATTATCATATGATACAATGAAACCCTCTTACTTCACAGCGAGTCGCCGACTCCGAGTTTCACATGCCAGCGTCCCAGGTTGTCATATCTGTGGCAAGTATCACGACCTCTGGTGCTATTGAGATAAGCCACTTGATCGACATCGTCTTACAACGAGTAATATGAAATGCAACTGTACTGTGTATTAGTAGTAACTCTGCAGGGTACGTATCCAACGTTAATGTCCACGGTGTACGTAGCACACATCAATTGAATGTGCAATGATCACTGCTAGCGGTAAAAATGAGTGTCCGAAACAAGGTCCATAAGTCTAAGGAAGTGACCAATGCAGTCTAAATCTAGGTCTGTAGCTTGAAGATAATCTAACGGCAAGTCCATGGGATGGAGCAAACAAAGAAAGCAACGGCCATGTAGAGCACCGGGATTCCACAAAGTTACCCTCTAAAGATGATGTACAACGAAAAGACTTGGAACGAATATCATTCAGGATGGTGGAGGCGGCGATGAAGGTGTTGAAGGTGTTGAGGGCGAGTCCGTAGGTTTCTCTGAATCCACAGCAGACGACGATGACTCTATGCTAGAGGACTCCGGACTCAGAGGTTTTGTTTCCTCTGGCGAAACCACAGTACCGACGGATATTTCATCGTCACGCGGGGATTTACGAGAAAAGGTATGTGGAAACAAACGATGTTGCATGTATGCGAAAGCAGGACTGTATTAAGCACAAAGGATTAGAAAGAATCCGAAGAAATACTTTTAAAAGTAACACACGTGAGAGCTAAAGAAATCGCAAGTAAAATCGGAGTCGTTTTGGGAGGTTCATAGCCGTTATTCAATATATACTGGACAATATTGTCAACAAGCAGTCTATCGCGAGGAGATAACGACATACCACCAAATGCGAAGGATTTCTATCAAAGAGATATCGGAGACCGCAACTCAGACCAGACTGTTTGTTGATGATTAGGTCTAAACCCAAACAACAAAGAAACGTTCCTATCGAGGCAGAACCAAGTGTCTGTCGTAGCATCCACAATTTAGCAGTCATCATAGGATGAAAGCAGAACGACTCACAATTCCAGCCCTTTGTCTTAAAAGGATCAATGATATGCCAAGAAGACCAACCAGTGCGATTAATAACCAGTTAAGGACGTAAAGGCGTGTTCCTGTTATCAAAAGACCGGGACGAAGTAATATAATGCGAATCCCTAGAGCCAGTCCACCAAGGATTCCCAAAAGTAACAATCCGGCTATGCGCCCTGCTTCTAGAAGGCCTAGAGCGAAGCCGAAGCCGAACAAAACCAATACAAGGATCGTCAGCACTAAGTCTGAGATTCCACCACCGCTCATAGTATTTGTGAACGCGGCCCATGCTGTTTCGAAGGTCTCAGCATGTTAAACCTCAGAAGTAAGAATAGGAATATACAAACAGCAAACGGCGATAGTCAGCCCTAGAGCAGTTCCAGTTGTGAAACGCCATCCTCGAATGCCCGCTAGCATGAGCGGAGCACCAGTCGTGAAAGAGAAAGCTACCCAGAGTATAGCCGGAATTGAGAAACCACTTCCACTTCCATCGGAGGCGACCCCTTGAGGGACTTGCTGACTGGTAGTGGGGTTGTAAACACCTGTAGCGCCAGCCGAGTTGGTCTGGACGACGTCACGCTGGAAGTTGGATAATTGGCTATACGTGTATGCACCATGACCTTCTCTAGTTGGCGTCGGAGTGGCAAGGGCGGTGCTGGCAAGGAAAAGTAAGAGCCATACAGCAGACAGAACGTTGAACTTGAAGCAGGTTGTGACTGCGGAAGGTTTAGACATGATAATGAACGATTCCGGATTAAACACGAAAAGAGTGGACAGCCGGATTGCTGTAATGCAAATGCCAGCTAAAAAGAGAGATACCGACCAGCTTGGGTCACGGTTGGACGGCGGAAAACAGTGTAAGTAACTGTAGAAAGAAAAAGATGAAAATATGTGATTTGTTTCACAGCGAAAAGGGGAAATGTGCGATACTAGGTGTTTGCGGTAATCATAATACTGTGACAGTACCTGTTTACTTTTCGGCTGCAGCGGCGTGTAGTAATGCCAGAAAGATAAATTTGGATGGTTGCCTAGTGTGCGGTTATGGTGGCAATGGAATCACGTGAATATACGCGACGCGTCTGCTTCACGTGACTGTGACTTTCAGCTCGATGAGCCTTCAGCTACCCGCCACAACCTACGAACATAACAATATGGTTTCTTCAGAGAACTGTCAGGAACAGCTAGCGTCTTTATTGAATCATCTCGGAGGTCCTTCAATATCACCCACAGATATCGAGTGGGCTCTGGATCTTCCATCTGGAAAGAGATTAATTCAGTTCTTCGTGGATCAGCTTGCGGACGGTGAAGTTGGCTTGGAACACATTACGGATTGTGAAGATGGAATATCAAGCACGCAGTACAGAACATCCTTACAACATCTTGCTTTAGAATCCGAGGAGGTACAGAGGTCCGTATCATAGATAATGGAACTCAAACAGATATCTGACATCGCAAAAGTCTAAAGCGAGCATCGTCCATTGGACTTTGCGATAACCTTGACTTGGAAAGTGAAATTATGTTGCCTGCTCCTCCTGGATATCAAACAACTGCAGTTTTAAAGTATGTTCCATCATACATTATCCAGCGGCAGCGGCATTATGAACCATGTATGTTAAGGTCACAGACGGAGTTTATGAATTCAGAATCTGAACTATTGGAGGAGCATGTGCAACGTTTGAGACATAGACTACAACTAACCAAGGGAGTGAAAATATCGAACCATTCGATCTGTAAGGACTTATGTTGTCTCCATTTCATTCTATTTAGGATCGCGTCAGAGAAGGCAAGAAGTACATCCAAGGATCTTCGAGCCATCATTAATCACAAAGAGGACAGCATAAGGCTTAGACAAGATTCCATACAAGATCTGTCTTTCAGTGTCAGTATTTGTTAAGATGAGCAGCATATATTCACTCATTTCCTTTCTTCAACAGGCAGATGGAGTAAGCGCTTCGGCAGTCGATGCCGCTATAGGTTTGATCGATGTGGTTGACATTGATAACAAGAGGGAGCGAAGTAAACTTCTTAACTGGCTTGAGCTGAATGTACGCTAAAGAGCTCATCTACAGAACTTTCGCGTGAAGCATTCTCTTCCCTCGATGACTTAAGATCGTCACTCGCGTCAATTTACGACATTCGTTCCCAAATAATTTGCTTGCTCGAATCAAGGCTACATGCCATTAAAACGGTCTATGGAAATCTGCCATCTACGGAACAAGTGAAGCAAGATGCTGCGAGGCTGCAGCGGATTTTCAGCGAAAAGGCGCATAGAGCTAATACATGTCCTGTGACTCTGGCAGAAGCAGCCCAGGACGCTGTTTATAAGCAACAACTGACCTCCGCAGATGAGATTTTGAGTGGCGAATTAAAGACCTCTGTCTTAGAAGTACTGGGCAACTTAGGAACCAGTTTAGAGAGTTCTTGGCCTGATGGTGATAATGGCACTAGCCTAAACATTGACATTGAAGCGGAACTAGAGAGTGCGTGGAACAACGATCAAATTGATATTCTTGAGGCACATGAGGCACTGTTGAATGAAGTAAGTATATTTCTTCTCTTGTCGTCTGATAATTTTCTAAATCCGATTTTTACTCATTTGAAGGTTGGGACGGAGCTGACGACTCATCTGCTACCACCATTAGAGGATATTTCAGAGAATCTGCGTACCCTCAATGACATTGCATATGAAGCACAAGCCCTCGTTGGAGCACTTGTTGAAGAATTAGAAGAGATCGTCGATGATTCTCATAAGGGAATAGAGATTCATAACAAGATGAGCGAGGACAGGAACGCTGCTGATGACAATAGTCAATCTTTAGAGGTGAAGATGATGAACTTACTGAAACGACTGAAAGGTAATTTGACTTCCAATGTCTCATCTTCCGCTAGCGTTAAATTTCTCCTGACGTTGATAGATATAAGAATCGCGCACTCTCCATTAATATTGCTAACTCGCGAGGATCTATCACAAGAACTTCAGAGTTTGGCGCACAAGGCGCAAGATGTATCTCGGAAACAACAGGAATGGGTCAATTCCCTTCCTATGAGCCTGGCAGACTTGTGAGTCTTGGATAACTTAAAGCCAGATCATCACATGGTTGAAAAATCATTATCTATAAAGGTGCGGCTACCAGCATCCGCCTCTCGCTGCAACTTATAAATGTTCCCCAATGAACTCATCACATCCTTACTCGCTACCACGCGAGCTCAGGGCATTGCGGAATGATACCTGTGACAAGAGTGATGCCCTAAGAGCAGACATAGTAAGACTACAAAGGGTACGTCACATGGTTTTCTTTTCAGTGAACATCCAAAATTTATCCGAATCACTCCAAGGACGCCGATAGCATGATGACCGGCAGAGTCAAAAGGAAACTAGAGTCTTTCTCAGTGAAATGGGGAACTAGATCTGATCAGAAGTAGTTCTGGCTAGACAGATATTAGCGGGGGCCGTAGAAAGGAGCTTATCGGATCCTGCTACTGTGACATGCCGCCGATCCTATCCAAATAGACCAGCTCAAATAAATTGCCGAAACTGAAGTGCTGAGGTGCAGAGCTATCCATTGGCTGATAAGTAGGGGTTTGTATGACTGTGGCTTCAACAATAATTCCTTGACTTCACGTTTTTAGCCATATTTGGATATCTTTGATCATCTTTACAAGTGGTATCAATCACCTCATACTAAAACGGTCGTTCGAGTTGTACACTGGCAACTACACGACTATTATATCGGATATAGATGGAAGACGCTGTAACTAGCTTCAGTCATGACATCCTTATTGAAGAAAAGGCACAAGTGATGGAAAGCATCCGAAAGGAATCTCAGGATCTGTACAATCGCCTTCATTCCATTGCTGAAGATGCTACCTTTGTTGAACAAGCTCAAAGAGCATATCCCGACCTTCCGCTTTTGCGTAGGTCATAGTTTTGCGGTGCTTTTGATTCATATTATCTGATTAGAAGCTCAGCTAATCTACGTTGCGGTGCTTGGTATGCAGACCCGACTACCACTGGCCATGTGAGGATTCACGCTGTCGATACTCTCCTTTTATTCTCTGATTCTCTCTAACGACAGAGTTTCTCGCACTGGGCATATTTCAAATCCACAGACGGGCATACAGGCAACTGGGGTTTCAATTTGCGACGGCCTAACTTGCATATTCTGCCGCTGTTGGCGCAGCATCGAGGGTAAGTCGCTCATAAAAATGACATATAGAGTACTTCCCTCATTTTGCACTCACCATTGTGCATTCATATTTTGTGCATAGAATTGTACTGGTAGACTCAACTAGGGCTGGAAAACGTATGCCTGATTCACTATCAAAGACGGTACCAATATGGTGTGCCGTAATTAATCGGGCTATCCACAGGTTAAAACCGAGTTCGGAGACTGCGAATTGGAACAATAAGCTCTATACACCTCCTGGCGTGGTCAGTGCTCAAGAGCACGACCGGATAGAGAGTAGATTGGATGGCTGGGCTGATGATTTGGTGGTGAATCACATTATTCCCAGTAATATGTTCCTGTTTCCTCAAATTATCTTCAATAGGCCTCTTTCTACCGTTTACCGGAGCTCACGCTACCATTAAGGCCGATCTGGATCACACCTTCCACTTCAGTATTTCCAGAATTCTTGGATGTCGGTGACCGGAAATACATCCCAGTGATCTGTCTTTCGGCTTCCAAGCAGATCTTTGATGGAATGGAAAGGCGAGCCCATGCATTTACATATATACAAGGCTCAGGAGATGACCATGAGCTTTGGGGAATGGTACGTATTTGAAAGTCTTAGCGTCCGAAAGTCCTCATCAGCTTCGAATCATAGGGTTTGACACCAGATCTATTCTGGCAGAATCGGGAGAAAATCTTGAACGAGAGCCGAGAAGGGCTCCCAGTGCTCGTTCGTTCTATAGTATCTGCTTCGAGAGAAGAGCTTGTCCCCACAGGTTGTGACAACCTTCGTACCCCTATCACACAAGTCAGCGGCTTGATCATGCTTTGTTCAAACTCGGAATGCTCGAACTCTTCGAATCATAAAATACCATCCCGCGCTCAAGGTGACGCTGACATCGCTCATCTCCAGCTGAGCTCCTTGGAATTTCCCCCTATTTCAGTTCCTGATAAGCCTGCAGCGCCCTACATACTTCAGATCGTCACACCCTTTGGGAAGAAGGGACAGATACACTATCTGCAGGTCGTTCTGCCACGATCTATGATTTTCATTGAATCTCACATCAAGAGTGGGCGCCCGGTTTGTATTTCCTGTGACACAGGAAAGGATGTTAGTGTAGGCGTTGCTCTCGCAGCTCTATCCAAATTATTTGACGACACAGGTAGCATGAGGAGAAGTAATGATAACCAAAACCTGAGTGCGTGTGCAAATACTTTAGCCAAAATATGGACCCAATTAACAATTACAAACGACAGTGAGCAAACAGACCATCAAAACCCGCCTGCAATGGATTATATCCAGTTGTCCTGTTGCAAATCCTTCTCGAACGACGCTAAAAAGGACGAACGAATTTCTTCTTTCTCCACTCTCTTTTCGTTCTGCTCCGGAACCATCACCATTGAATGCATGATAACACTATATGCCTTTCTCCCTTTGTACGACATTCAAACCTGGCGCCGTACTGTATAAGATCATTCTGAATGCTACTTGAATGCCTGGGTTGTATGTTGATGGCACAAGTAAATATACCCCAGTTGCCAGCGACACCTGAGGAATGTCTACGCCTGAAACCGCATCGGAATATGGTCCAGAAGTTGCTATACATTGACCTAGAGCCACATCAGAGGATTGAAAGAGAGAAAGGTTGACTGAAATGGAGGGGGACGCTTTCACCAGCTGAAGACGAGCTCTGGGAGGGGTCAGGTTAACTGGAAGTTGAAGGAGTACTAGAATGACGTCAATCACGTACTTGAACTTTGTTGTAGAGGGAACTTTAATTTGATATATTGGATTGTGTGAGTAACGTTCATGACTGGGGCCCCCAGCAGCCGAGTGTGCGTTCCTGGAGATAACACATCAGCAGGTGTAGCGATCTTCTGAAAGTTCACGAAGTGAATCACCATTCTCCACGAACGACCCTGTTGTACATCCCTGCTCCTTCTTGAGGAATAGGCTTCAAATCGAAACGATTTGTACTATCGACCTTTAACTTGAATGGACCCAGATGATCTGATTCGAAAGCTGACAAGATAATCGTGTAATCGCCAGCTGAGAACGTTTAGTCAGAAAATTATAAATTATAAAATGAAGTTTACCTGGAAGCTCGATCCCAATCCTAGCAAGGCCATAACTATATGCTCCAGAGTTGGCTGCTACTTCTTTCCTTGACAACCTATTTTCATCAAATCAATGATTGGAAGATACTACAAGATACTACTCAACCTACTCTATTGTCCTCTCCCCTTGTGACCAGACAAGGGTGAGATTAAGAGGTATATCTCTAGAAGCCTGAGCAACGATGACCATGTTGGATCTGAGTCCTGCACGATGGCTCTCCAGTCCCTCTGGATATATCCGCAGATGGTACTGAGGATTGACCATGTATGTTGGATACGTACAGTTACCACCAGCGTTCTTGCTTGTCAAACTACCATCGACCTGGCGTCTTTCAGTAAGTCAATAAAACGGCGTAATCTTGGGAACCACCTTTGTACTGTGGAATGGAGATGGAACACTTTTATCCCACTGGATTTCGAGGGACGAGTATGCGCTAACGGTAAAACAAACATCTTCCGAAGGACCATCATAGGACACTAGAATTGAAAGGGTGCCAGATACTTTATCCACACGTGTTCGCACCTACCATTTTTCTTTCAGTAACCTGTAACAGATGAACACCTCCAGGGCTTACAAGGACATGCACACTGTTTGTATATGTTCCCTATGGATGAAGAATTGTGATAGTTCGTCTGACGTTCAGGAAAAGCGTACCTTGGATGCAATTTTATTGATATCCATTGGCGCTATGTTACCTTCTTCGTTCTGGACATTAAGAGCAATATAATCGGATGTTTGGCGGGAATTGACGATATGTCTGGTCAGCAATATCCAGATCTCTTGTAGTTCGGATTGATCTCGACAGGCACAGAGTTGAAGTCGCAGGTGGTGGCTTGACGCTTGGGAATAAGAATTCAATCGCACAGCACGAACTAATGACATCCCTCATGACATACATTGTCCTTTATCTTCTACTTTGTTATGCCTCCAAATGCTGTATCATGGTCAGTATGATAGTACCAAAAGACACTAATCATATACCCATGGAAGACGACCGAATATTTGAATCGATCTGGATTCCAGCTAACATAGACGCCTTCAAAGATGCCGCAGATATCACTCCAAGACATATTCAGAATCCCTTAGGGATGGTGAGATTGACTATAAGAGCGACAGCTTTGCTACATACTTGAGCTATCAGCTGGAGGGTCTTCAGAAGGTGTGCATCCTTTTTCAGCTGAGTCCACTCGCACCCGGGAATCGAGCAATGTTAAGAAGCGTTCCTCGTGTACCTCCCGAATATCTATTTAGTCAGTTGGATACTAATATATCCTACGTTTGACCAAAAGTTCATACCTATTACTGCGTAATCATGTGATGGTAACAGCTGAAAGCCATCAATATGTATTCGATCATCGGTACCAACTGTGAGCACGCAGTGCCCTTGAAAACGACTGTTTATCAACATTTACTTTGATTTCGAACAAAGCGTTACCTTTGGTGAAGCCATCATATATGCGCGACCATGTCTTCTCCCGTTCAAATGTAGGACTAGTCATTTTGATTGTGGTTACTTCTCGAATATATAGCACACAATACACTCACCTTTTTACCTCAATATGCTCCGGTATCCATGCAGCAAGGGCGCTGGTGTGTAAGTGAATATGTACAGAACTGAGAAGGTTGAATACGAAAGCTTACTGAAGATCGATGCCTGAATTTCTGAAAATGATGGTGATTACAGGGTGAAGATGCAAATTACCAGCACTCACGATCCAGGAAAGTCGTAACCTCCCATCAGTTTCATATACTACGAGTACTTTAGACATAATGCTCCGAGAATGGCCTCCTGACTTACGGCTTTCTCAATAACGGATGGCCATAATTGGAGTTTGCTGCCAGTTGACAAACCTATGAGCACCCCGTCGCAATTGAACGGCAGTTTGTCGTCAACGACTAGAGTTCATGCTTTGTTAGTCAGGGCAAGATTGTATAATGAAGTAGTATCATGGTATGCTCACCAATCTAGATATCAATTTAATCAACGACTGAAGCGATTGATTAATACGTTAGCACCTGGCTTTGCAACTTACTCGGCGGTACTCCCCATTGACGAATATTTTGACGTCATATCTGCCCTCGGGTGACAGCACAGGCATTGAATCTTGGCCTTGAGGGAATAATGACGATAAGAGCAGCTACAATTGCAGAAGGTAAGAAATGAGGATGCGTGTGGTATATCGACGTACCCTTGATTGAAAGCGACGATTATGTACAAGACACACTGCAATAGAAGCACAAACCGAGCAGTCGTTCACTATGTGCTGTATAATATCTTCTGGAAGGAGAGGGAGAGATGCCATAGATGCCTCCGATAGGACTTCACTTGGTCTTTGCCAGCAGGTCAGAACTTCCTGTTGCTCAGCAGAAAGTTCAGGTTGTTCAACTTCTCTACGGTAAGATGCTTCACGTGAATATTGATGATTAAGTTGTCTTCGACTTTCTGCACGTACCTGTATAAAACATTATGTTGCCGTTGATTGGAAGATTCATTCCAAGAAAGGTATCGTTTGCCATTTATTAATGAAGATTTCTTGAGCACAAAATATTGCTCCTCTATTAAAAACTAGTTCATTATCTGCAGATTGCTGGTAAAAGTGAATTAACTCGCGTTCAGAGAAGCGGTTTACTGCCACCGGCGCCAAATCATGCTTCAATGCCTTGATTTTCTCCGCTCGTTCGAGTGCCTTGCCTGCACTAGATTTGCATCTCCCCCGAAGAGCATCTTCGACTCTAGTGCGGCTGAAATGGAGAAAGCCCTCTGCAGCTTCAACGTACAAACGAAATGCCTGACTCCAGTCCTGGTCCAACTCGGCCTTGGCAGCTTTGGAGTAGCATGTCTAGATGTATGACACCGTTATGTTATCATTAAAATTCCAGAATGCTGGGAACGCACTTCCACGTCCTGAATAGTCGTGAATGGCTTGGGTGCCATGGGCTGAGTGATCGTCCTGATGGCGACCCTCAGCCAAGAAATCTCAGGGTGCACTGATACTCCGGCACGTGTAAGGCACGTGTTCTGTCAGTGTGGTGACGCTGCGTGACAGGAGTCACAATAGGTTATATGAGTTTTACGTAATAATAATGGCACAAACAATAGTAATTAAAGGCACCTGCCTTTTTCGGATTGTGGCTGCTTTTGTTGCGGTACTCATTGTTCTGTGGCCATCACAGTGAAGGGTCCATAAGTAATTATGTCTTGTCCACGCCTTATTGTACTTTTAACCGGTATTACTTCTGAACCTATTCCTCATTTATCTCACTCACCACCACAGTCTTTTCGACACGACCGCACCAATGAGCTCCAAATTTCGAGAGCACTTATCAATATCTTTACCCACTACCAACCTCCACGTCGAGAAATCGCAGTTCTCTCCCGCATCTACAGTCGCTCCTTCACGTTTCAGCATCTCTTCTAAATCTATCATGCGCAACTCATCTCCCAAAGACATCGAGGCCGGTGTTCAGACCCCATCCCCAGGCGGAGTCCGGGATCGATTCACCAAACTGTTCTTCGACATTCGAACGTTGGGTCAGGACTCAGAGCTTGATTCGCAACCAAAGCTGCAACAGTGGCCTCCTTTACACGTAGAGAAGCGCCGTTGCAACTGCCACACCAAATCAGACAAGCAACGCAAGCGCAGGAGATGGTGTCTCGTTCTCCTGATCATCATTCTGCTATTCTTGCTCGGAAATACCATATTCTTGAATGTAAAGGTGCTGTCAATGTCTAGCACCTCAAGTTCTGATTCGGGCTCGACGTCTTCGACTTCGACATCTTCTACACTATCTACAAACGCCCAACAATGCTTATCGCAGTACACGTTGAATGCTCCTTCGAGTCCGTCTTCGTATCCATGCTCTACCTGCTTGCCGACGTTGCAAGCTGTCCCATCCAGTTTCCTTAATACCGATACCCAGGATGGTCAACAGATACAGAATGCCATCCAATTCTGTGGTCTGCGTGCTGTATTTGAAACAGCTAACGCCGCAGGACAGGCCACTCTGGGTAATGGAAGCTGGGTCCAAGATGTCAAGTTCTGTGCATGGACTGGTGTAACGTGCGATGGGTCCGGCCAAGTCTCCAATTTGTATGTCGATATAAATATTCTTCTCCCTGGATAACGCTAATTTTGATTTGATTTGATTTTGTTTAGGAAACTCACTTTCCCTGGAGTACCAGCAGCACTCCCATCGGAAATTGGAAGTCTTACTAGTCTGCAATCGCTGCAGGTTGTTGGTGGAAACACAATACCAGGTATGTCTTCTTGTTAAGAGCCCTTTTGCAAGATACTAATTTACGGTTATTTAGCCGGATCATTACCTGCGTCATTCACGAACTTGACCGCGATGACAAACCTTCAACTGGAGGCTACTGCTATAACAGCGTTTCCAGATAATATTTTCCAGTCGTTGAAAGCAATAACCACTCTCACACTGGTCAACAACAAGATGATGGGAACATCTTTACCTTCCAGCTTAGCAACGTTGTCACTACAGAATCTGTAAGTCCTATTTCCCCTCGTCATTCTATCATCCGTACTGACATATTTGTAGTGTCATCAATTCACAGCAAATTAGCAATCCGCTATCTACTCTCTCGTCTAGTTCATCCCTTCAATCTTCTCTTCAGCTGCTGTACGTGTAATCCCCTGTTTCACTCACTATTATATAACTGACATTTGTGCCTGCAGCGACCTTGCATCCACTTCGATCACTGGCACCATTCCTTCATCCATCTCGTCCTTCTCCGCATTAACCCAACTACTGCTATCTTCCAATAATCTCCAGCCACCTCTGCCTTCTAATTTCCCGCCGTCTCTCCAGATTATCTCCCTTCAGAATAATACTGCGCTCACTGGGACCGTCCCGACTTTACTCTGTTCATCTTCTTCGTTGAAGAGTTGCTCATTGCAGAATACGGGGCTGAACGCAACTGGCGGGTGTGGGTCCTGTCAATTTTCGTCATGATCTATCATATGTGGACTTGTGTACTTCACGCTAACGCCTTCTCCTTCATCTGGACTTGATACGCCTAGGACATGTTCTTTGTAAGGTGTAACGATGAATTGTATCTCGTAGTGTAGATCTCGTTACATTCTCTACTGACTGCTTGTAGCTTTAGACAACGGACCTCAATATAATACATAGTGATATAAGTAAAGCCATATATTTAGAAACAGCGTATACACCGGTGTTTCTGTCAATGAATGTGATTGTAAAGCAATATTGTTAACAGTCAATGTGGTCTGATTCGCCGTCAACATATAATATCCAAAACAACTATCACTGCTGGACAGTTTTCTTATGCCTTCTTCTTTTCTTTTTCCTTGGTCCGTCGTTTTCCTGAGTAGCGACATCATTTCCCGCTGTTTCCTCTATTTTGTCCTCGTCTTCCGCTTTTCGTTTCCGTTGGTCGGCTACCTTTACGACGCCTTGAACGTCGTCAGGATTTTCTGGCTCTTCTGTTCCACCAACACCTTTCAGCCGTTGCCGTTCTTTCTTTCCCATTCGCTTTTTCGCGGGCCTTTCCCCAGCATCAGTCCTCCCCTCTTTGTTTAAAACACTGGAGTTCCCAGTGCGCTCGGTTATTTTATCTCTAAGTTCCTTCAACCGTGCACCCCGGTTGTGGTCCCAGCCCTCCGCGCGATATGGGGCATATCTTTTTACGCTCATAAACTGATTCAACTCTGCGTCCGTGGCTGTTAATATTTCTGCGGGTGTCAGCGAGTAAGTCTGCGAAGCCACAGGGGCATATTTGAAGCGTGTCGGCATGCCAGCCACCTGTGCACGAAAGGGTGTGTGTGAACATGCTGTACGATGTCAAGAAAGAAGCGGATAGTAGACATACCATGTCATTGAAGTCCAGCCCATACACTTCATCCATATATTCCTGTATTTTCCGCTTTCGCATTTCTTCCGTACCGTCCCACTCCTCCTCGTCGGGATCACGTTCTACTTCGGCATCCATGGCATCAACATCTACACCATCTGGCTCATCGTCCTCTTTCCCTTTCCCCTTCTTTTTGTCCTTTTTCTTTTTCTTCTTTTTCTTGTCTTTAGAAAGCTCGTTCTCCTCGTCTTGTTCTGGGGGGATTATGTCGTCGATATCAATATCATCATCCCATGTGGGCTTCTCGAGGTCAATATCGGATGCATTGTCATTATCACCCCCATCCCCATATATGCCATCCATCTGTCTATCATGTGCATCCGGGTCCCAGTCCGCATCTAGGTCCAGATCTTGCAAAGCTTCACATGCCATTCAGATTAGTACTCCTGAAAACCTACAGAACGTCTAAAGATAGGCTGAAACTTACCTGCGTCTGTGCCATCCTGCAACGCCAGTCCTCCCTCACGTCCAATTCGCTCTAGCTTGCGGCGAACCTCCCGCATTTTCAGTGCTTTTAGCCTTTTTATCTCTTCTCGCTTTTTCTCCAGTTCCTCTTCTTTGCGTTGTCGCCGCCGTTCACGCGCTTCCTTCCTAGATGTGTCTTCTCGACGTACAGTCATCGGAATAGAACGAGGGAAGGACTTGATCTCGGCAGCATCACTAAACAGTACAAATCATAAATGCTTCAGAATACAATAATAGAATAGAAAGAGAAGTGTAGGCCAGGGAAACTTACGGCTCTTCGAATCGGAAATTGTACGAGCTCTCAAAGCGCTCTGCAATTTCATCAAAATCGTCGTCGAGCTCTTCTACATTATCTCCTTCCGGTGCTTGATCGATATCGTCACTGGAGTGCTCTGTTTCCCCTGTCTTCGATTTTGATTTTTGGGATCCAACGATTTCTCCATAGGTTGGAACGCGACGACTTGCTCGATCAATCCAGCCACGATTAAGGATATAGCTATCGCAGAAACTCCAATAAGTACCTACGACATATGACCACACGCAAAGAAATCGACTTACTTCAGAAGAAACTCCTGATCTTGGTTTTGCTTGGACTTTCCTTTTCCCTTACTTCCTTCCGACGTACTTTTTGCCTTCTTTTTGGACTTCTTCCCACTTTCCGCTTTTGCTTCCTCTTCATCCTCACCGTCCGTGCTGGACATTACTGCACCGCTTTCGACTGTGACAAGCTGCTCCAACTCGTGTCCAACTTCCCGTGCCAAGAATGCGCGGTAATCTTCTTCTTCTCTCTCCATTTCATCAAGCGTTTTCTCACGAGGGACCAGGATGTCTTCGTCGTCCCCACTATCAGCGACGATGGCATCGTGGAATGCGCTTCGCATTTCATCGCGTAATGCACGTTGCTCCTCAACATGAGTCAAAGGTTCTGGTGAAGGAGTTCGGGAGCCAGAAGCGGCGTTAAGAGCAGATGCGAGCGTTGCTTGTTGTATATTGATAGGTTTCGACTTCGACTAATCATGTAGAATACACGGGGTAAGTGCCTTTGTGGTCGGGATTGAAGGGTATACACACCTTCTCTTTGCGTGCCTTATTCACAACAGGATGCTTGGTTGTTCGTGTCTGCTCCTCTGTTAAGCATCTGAATCAGCCGAAAGGGATTTAAGTCCTGCACGAAAAAACGTACCTTCGAATATACTCTTGCTTGAATTATATATTTCTGGATCACGGTTTTTTATTCGCGCAAGCGTACGCAGAATCGCGGCATCCACCTGAGGGGTAAGCTCCTCCCCATCTTCATCCTCTGATTCTGCATCCTCCGAATCCTCTTCATCTTCATTTGAGTCATAGTCAGACCCATATTTTTCTTTCACTGTATAGCTGATATAAGTTTGTCCACGGTTCAAGCAGGAGGAACATACATTTTGAGAGCTCCTCTCGCTCCTTTTTGTACTGAAAAGCCTTGGCAAAGTGCTCATTTATGGTGAGCCTGTCGATGTCCTCGACGTCGGACTCATCCTCGAACATAGTTTATGTAGTGTACAAAACCGATAATATTTTTCTACAGTATGAGCAGCATAAAATTGCACAGCCACGATATGCGTTCCCACGATAGTTGGACACACAAGCGCCTCTCTCTGGTTTAAAACCGGTATAGATTATCAGATGCAAGGCTATGGAGCCATTTGATAGCTTTCACCCCGAACCAAACCACCCAATAAATGGTCTCTCTGCCGTCGTCTGTGTCTGCCAGTCCTTCTCCTAATGTTCGTGCTGTCCTTGCCCTTATAAATCACTTGGAATCATGGCACACCTACGAGTCGGCTGAACAGCGTCTAGCTGTCCATTCCGCACTCCTCGCACCGACGCTTCAGCACCATATCCTGCCTCGTTCCTTCGGCCAGCCTGTTCGGAATAAGCAAGAGTGTCTCGAGTTCTCTAGGCAGGTGATGGGTATGTTTGTAGAGTTAAAGGTGATCCCGTTTATTTAGTAAGTCAACGGCAGAGAGGATAGGCACTGACGCCAAATAACTCCCATAGGTCACTGTATATGAGCTTATAGAGGGTGATCACTCCATATCTATGCATGTAAGTTCATTTACCATCCTACACCAGTAGTCACTGTACGAGTCTGAATCGTTCTCAGGCTTCTTCACAAGGGCTGTCTGTAACAGGCGCAGCCTACACGAACGAATACATGATGACATTCAACTTTGTCGAATCCGAAGCTGGACCAGATGCATTGCCCCAGATTTCCGTCTTCAAGGAGTTCCTAGACAGCGATTTTTCCAAAGGATTTTTCCAAGGAGAACGCGAACGTGCTGCTACTTCAGGTGCGGCCAGCATATGAATTATACTGAAAAGAAGGGAGGTTAGAACTGTGACATACACTTGTATTTCTAGGATCACAGCCACATTAACATTGTTTTTCTCACGCCCCTTGTTCATGTTCTTATCTAATCATTATAATTTGCTTCCGGGCTCCTCATTACCACCAACAGCGACAACAATGTCCTCCTCGTCGTGGCAGCCGTCTCCTAACGCCTCTCCAAAGGTCCGTGTTGCCGTATCGTACGTAGATGCGTTGTCTTCATGGACACACCATGACTCCCCTGCACGCCGCCGTGATTCCTTTGCTGCTCTCTTTGCCCCAAATCTAGAGCACCGCATACTTCCTCGGTGCCTTAGCAGACCTGTCCTTAACAAGAAGCAGTATATCGAGTACATAGAGCAACTCATGCCCATGTTCGCTGAAATACAGGTACGTTGTCTTATATTCACAATATTTGTGTTAGTTGACGATGTAATCTGGAAATTGACCTATTGCAGTTCACGATACACGAGCTTTTAGAAATCGACGACGTGGTCGTGTTCCATGTAAGCTCTACTCTATCACTTCTAGAACGTAATTGATTTTGGAATGACTTGCGCACTGGCCAATATTTTTCCTTCATCTCCCTCGTTTATCAGGGTTCATCAAAAGGATGGTCCGTCACGAACTCACCGTACGAAAATGAGTTCATGGTCATCCTTCAATTCACTACACTCGAAGATGACCTCAATCTACCGCCCCAAATAGTTCGTGCTAAGGAGTTCGTTGATAGCGAGACTTGTAGGGCATTCTTCAAAGCCGAGCGTGAGCGCATCAAAACAGCCTCGCGGTCAACGGCAGCGGGTTCATGAATTACGAATCACGCAGATAGGTCGCCCCAAACGCAAATAGAACAAGCCCCTGCTACAAATACATCGTTATAAAATGTAAGGAAACCATAATACACAGGATCAGATGCATAATTATGATAGCATGGGTACTTGGGATGTATCGAGTATATAAAACTATGCCATAACTAGGAAAACAAAGATATATAAATCAGTATAAAAAGCCTGCCCACATACATAAAGGCGATATATTAAACAATGTAAACGTTTTCCTTAGCAATCTGGTAGCCCTCCAGTTTCTTGAAGTATTCTAATCGCGCTTGCCGTTCTCTCTCGTACTTCTGCGATCGAATACATTGAGTTAAAACTTGGGAACTAAAAAGTAAGTTGTGGACACATACCTCTTTTACGTCACCATCTAAGTCTATGTCTTCTTCGTTGGCCCTGGCTTTCCCTTTCCCTTTATGCCCTCCCTTGGAAGGCGGGGCGCGTTTCTTCTTCGGCGCCACTTTCCCTCGCTTTCTGTCGTCGTCATTATCATCACCTTGCATCATTATTCTGGCTTTCGCTTTACGTGCTGCTGCGAGACGCGTTCTCGTTGGTCTGGTTGGTAACAATGCTTCTAATCTCCTCACAGCTCGCTTTGGGCTCTCTCCACTATTATCAGATCCGTCTTTCACTTTCCGTCTTGATTTGATAGGCTTGATTTTAGGCTTCTTTGTTGGCGTTTCGTCGGCACTTTCATTTTCGATGCCACTTGCATCATCCTCATCAAACATAGGGGGAGGTGTTGTCCTTCTTTCCCGAGGCTTTGGGACGGACTGTGTCCTCACCTTGACAGGTGATGGGCTAGATGGTGGAGTGCTGGAGTGGGGAGTCATCAATGGCGGCGACAAAGCTTCAAGAGGTTTGCGTTTGCGTTTCCTTGGTGTTCGAAGAGGATCAGGAAACGTCTGTGCGACATCGACCTCCTCGAGAAACTGAGTCGACGCTGGCTCTAGTGCTGTTGCTCGAGCTAACAAGGGCACAAAAACGGGAGCAGGAATGGGTGGCTGGTTCTCATCCATCTCAGCATACAAATCATCAAAGTCCTCGTCATTGGTGGGCCGAGGAGTAGGAGCACGATCCGACTGTGATTGGAGACGTTGTGTAGTTTTGAGACGCGAAGAGGAAGGAGCAGGTTTAGAAACAGGTTTCTGCACCCGTTTTGCACGGAGTCTCTTCTCGGCAGCAAGAATTCCAAATGGATCAGAGCCTTGTTGCGGGGTGGGAGCGTATACATGAGCCTGCTTTCGTGGCGCAACAGTGCGCAACGTTTCCCGCCGAGGGCGAGGAAGTGACTGCGGCTCGTATGTCGATGTGGAGGGAAATGGGGAGGATGGCGGAAGGGGAGAGAAAGCCTGCAGTTTAGGTGCGAGGGAGCGAGATAGTACGGGTTTCTTTGATTTGCGCACTTCCCGCCAGTTTTGAGGAGGTGCAGCGGGAGATGGCGAGTCTGGATGCTTATCACGAAATTGATCTGTGATATCGCGCAGGACGGGGTCAGGTGGTCGCAGACTCTGGCGCAGACCTGCGCCATATCGCGGGAGATCTACAGTATGGGACTTGAATGCATTCTCGTCGTTCTCGACACTCACGCTGTCATCAAAGAATGTACCCGACGCCTTGTTCTCATCGACCCCCTCGTTGTCATTCTGTGCTTTGTCGCTGTCTGGAACGACGTCGGCGACCTTTGTTCTTTGTCTTTGACTTCGGGTGCGAGGCGGCATGATGGTTTGGTGTAAGGGGCGTGGGAAGCGATCATCAATAACGCGCTGAATCACGTGCTGTAACTTTAGAATATTCACATGGTGTGACGGTGGCGTGTGTCGGGCATGCGGTGCCGAGTCCGGTGTGGAACGGTGGCTTGAAGTTTCACAAGTGTGCCATCGGGTGCAACAAAATCGTGTGCCATCAGACGTTTTCAAACGAGCCTGCTTGCTCTATTCCAGGTCTTCTCACAAAAAAGCGATGGCATGATTTTATGAGCCAGGACACTGCCAACACCATTGTATAAATTGTATTCAATAAGTGTCTACACGTCTGTCATCTGCCCTTCAATGTCTCTCATCGGGATCAGCAGAGTCTTTCGTCCAGGTTCATGCAGAGGCGATGTTCGGCGCTGGATGAGCGTGCATTCATCGCAGTATAACAAGAAAGCTGTCGACGGATCTTCCAGTATGTCCCATTGAATCAATTACTCGTACTGATTATCTGATTATCTTCGTCTACAAGCGCCCCGCAAGAAAGTGACGATTCAAAGCCTTTACAATCAACATGCAACAGGCATTCCCATTACTATGCTCACAGCTTACGACTTTCCTACCGCTCGGGCTTGCGAGGTTCACGGAATAGACATCACCCTTGTCGGTGATTCTCTTGCACAAGTTTGCCTCGGCTACGATTCGACTGTCAATTTGACGATGACGGAGATGATCCATCATTGTCGGGCTGTTGTCCGTGGCACCGTCGCACCTCTTCTTGTCGCCGATATGCCTTTTGGTTCCTATTACACCGGCCCAGAAGATGCCATTCGTAGTGCTATCCGTATGCGTCAAGAAGGTGGGGTAGAATGTCTGAAAATAGAAGGAGGGGAAGAAATTGTTGATTCTGTTCGGGCTCTCACAACCTTCGGCTTCCCTGTTATGGGTCACATTGGTCTGCTTCCCCAACGCCATACAGCTCTTTCGGGCTACAAAGTCCAAGGCCGTACAGCAGAGTCCGCTCATACAATTTTGCGTGCCGCGCTCGCACTCCAGGATGCGGGAGTATTTGCTCTTGTGCTAGAGGCAATTCCGCATCAGTTAGCAACATACATTACCAGCCGACTGCGTGTGCCTACGATTGGGATCGGTGCTGGACCTGGTACTAGTGGACAGGTACTAGTTTGGGATGACATGATGTCGACGTGGCATGGACATAAAGCAAAGTTTGTCAGGCATTTTGGGAATGTGGGTGCTGAGGTAGGGAAAGGTATCCAAGAATATGTTTCGGCAGTGCGGGATCGGTCGTTCCCTGACGTGAAGAAGGAGAGCTATGAAATGGAGCAGGGAGAGTGGGAACGATTATTATCAATGAAGCAGGACCAAAATTGAGATATTTTGACAATCTGTCAGCGGGTGTGTTACTAGTAGAAGTAAACCAATTGTAGTACTATCGCTTACGATCGTTGCGGCTGTACTGAAGTCGCAGTCACATGAAGTCACAGAATAACACAGGTCGTCACAGGCAACGAATTCACATTCCGCTCAATATACCGTACGCCAAAGGTCTCAAATATATTACTAGCTCCGCTACGGCAGTGACACTCAATAAAAAGCATTAGCCAGGAATAGTCGCCTGTACTGTCAGGGGGTTCAGATGATATCAATTATCTATGTTGCACTTACCATAGTCATTAGATATTTTATCCAGTGGTTTTCTACTGTGAGGCAACGATAAACTATAATAAAAACGAAACCTGTCTCCTTCTGCACTTGCAGGGAGTAAGGGGTTCAATGAGCTTGAGGTCGACAGACACTAGTAAATATAGCGAGTAGAGGACTTTGAGAGGTAAGCTTCAAAGGTTCTTGTTGAGGAGTAAAGCGGGTAAATTCAGTAATAGAAAACTAAGGAGCCATACATGAATAGGTAAGGCTTTATATAGTGAACTGTCCGTTCCTCAGACCGAAAGGAGAATATACGAAAAGTGGTCTGAGGAATCAATCGACCAATAAGAAAAAGGGAGAGTAACTATCGTACAACTTTTGACTTGATTAATCAGCAGGTGAGAGACTTGTACTAATAATAGAGGATTGTCACGCGTGTTCAGGAACCGTATTCTCATAATGAGGTACGATCCTGAATAAGGCGTTATTAGTATAACCAGGCCTTACTGGGGCTTGGAGCTGGTTGGCGAGATGCCTACTACCAGTCCCTACCCAGTGTGCTGGCTGGCTGGGAGCGATACCCAGTCTCTGATCTGTGATATAAAATGGTAGTGATGATTAAGAAAGCCTGTGAGGGCTATGAGAAGTAAAACGGCAAAGGATACCTCTAGCCCTAGAGCCAGAGGTGTAACAGGTAAGGCGTTTGAGAACCAAGACATAGCAAAGATAAGAAAATCTTGAAATGGTCCTTACATCTACAACCTAAAAGACCCCCTCCAACATGTTTTCAGCTTCAAATTTGAAGTATTTGGTGAGTTAAGTATTTTGCATGACTTTTGTGACTCTCAAACAATAGAGCTGTTCACTCTGAAAGGCGGGTTCTAACTCAGCCTTGGTGTGGTTCCAATTTGTCTGACTCAACAATTGATTGCAATGAACTCTTGATCATAATTAGATGCAGTCTTGTGAATCAGACATCCAAAATGGGAGAAGGGGTCAGAACCCAAGTGAGCCACTGTGGCAACACCAACAAGGTACTACCTTGGGGCACAAGAGCACAACCACAGAAACTACAACTCGAAGAAATAATGGTACAACTTATCAAGAGAGGGAGCTTATCATACTAGTGTTGGTATACACTAAGGAGAGGACTTGCTAAGTCTTTCCCCATGTGTTGCTCCAGTAAATACTACAATACATAAGGTACTATACAGTTGATAAATAAAGTTTAAAGTCTGATGTCCAGCATGTGACCAATTACATGTTGAATCTAGACACTGGTTAGGTGATGTGTCATGTGATTGATCATATGACTATGAAAAGTTCTAAAAGTAAAGTAAAGTAAATGGTCATGTGATCAGTCATGTGACTTGAAAAATAAAAAAGTAAAAGTACAGTAAAAGTAAAGTAAGTGCCAAGGTAGGTGCTGGAAGTGTCTATCGTAACAGCCATATCTCTAGGATGTCTGGAGACTTTTGATATATGACACCCACATCAAGTCATGTCTGTGCCTCCATGCTGCTCAAATAGGAAATTAGTTTCCTGATATATTAATTTGATCTTTATTGTAAGCTTTCAGCGAAACTACAAGCTGGCTTTCTGTATATACAAAAAAAAACCATACTACAACACTATAATAACACAACCATACTCTTTTAATACCCTCTTTTCTCAGCCAACCTTCCACCAAGAAAGAGAAAGAAAATCCTATGTTAATCTAGTCAATGCTCACATCAAGTCCCAAGTTACTTAATCTGGGTATTCTAGCTCTAATAATTGACAGACCCTCAAGCATGCAGTCTAGTCAGCTTTCAATCAACAGGCACTATATGTTTGACAAGTTAATGCCAGTGAAGCCTTTCATCTTGGGTTGGATTGTGTTATATAAGCTGGCACAGGTGCAGAGCATTGAGGGGTGAGGTGACAATGGTGATCTTCCTTTTGTTGATGAAGGATGGCATAATAAATAGTAAGGTTTTCCTTGAGGAAGATCATGTATGAATATAATGGTGACCTATACACTCATATTAATATCAGCAAAATAGGCACAACAGTTTAATAAGATGGGATTTAGCAGTATAGTTATCAACTTGCAAACTTACACACTGGATATCCATGAAGACCTAGGAAAATGCAAATATCAAATTATATTAACATCACCTGAGATGTGTTTCAAAAATGTGTGGTTCACGACCCTAATAACTGTTTCAACCAAAGCTTGTATACTCTAGCACTCCACAAGAACAAGCAGAAAGTGGTAAGTGGAGGAGAGGATATTCTCTCTTAAGGTAGGACTGAGTTTGTTGTGGGTAAACAATAGGAGGACTCGCTGAGGGGTCTCCTGGATCTATGGGGTATTTATACTATTACAGGTTATTTGTACATGCTATACTATACAGTTGATAAAGCAGTGGCTGATAATGTCATAGGGCACAGCCCGTGTGACCAGCTCTAGAGAGAGTTGTATCTACAAATACATAAAAGAAAGCAGTGCAGTGTAAGAAAGTGGTGTTTGAACAAAAGAAAAGTGCAGCATGGCACAATGTCACGATCCTATCCAATATGTACTGATAACTCTCAGATCGAACATCTTATCTCTCCATATCTAATCACTTGATCTTATCTATATATTTATCTTATCTCATCAGGTGACCTTAAGTCACATGACTACTTACTAAAGCACCATGCTACAACCTCATGTACATCAGTTAGCGCCTCAAGGCTGACACTGTCGATGATGAGAACTGTAGTTAGAAAACCACCCACAAAACAAACTAACACACAATCCTCCCAGATTCCATGGAACTTGTGTATGGGCTTTGCCTCCTAGAACAGTGGAGTGGTCTGGTTGTTTGTGGGGTGGTATGTATGATGATCCTTCAAAGTAAAACCCAGAGATGTATGGGTGTGGGTTTTGAGGAGGAGGGATAGTTGAATTATAGAAGATAGGGGCTTAGTGATGAGTATGGACAAGCACTACCTTGCTAATTGTAGCACAAGGTAGGTTTGAGAACGACAATATGACGAGGTTCCCAGTGATAGCAGGCTCCTGACGCACAAACTGTAGTGCTCAGAAGGACTCTAATCGAAAGGGATGACAATGACTTCAAAAGTGGGAAGTGACGATGACAGCAGTTGACAGTGGTAGCAGTGGGAAGTGTTGTGACCACACTGGATCACAAGCAGCAGAGTAGTAAACTTGAAATTAGAGAAGAAGTCTGGAATTGAGTTCTTGTTTTTTTTTTTTACAAGGTAAAATACAGGGGTTTATATAGTAAAAGAAAAGTAGGCTATGCACAGTATAGCTGTGCAAAAAGAATGAGAAAGAACATGAAGGAAGGAATGTACGCTGACAAATCCTGCGTAGGTAGTACAGGATAAGATTGTCAAAATAAGGAAAAAAAAGAGATAGAACAATGAATGCTGTGTAAGTAATGTTACAGGTTTGTACAGCCATAAAGTAAAGTCCAATAGCAGAAAGAGAGCAAGAAAATCATGATGTCATGGGAAGATGCAGTAAAAAAAGGGCAAGGCAAAACACTATCAGTATCAACACAGTTCCTTTATTGTCAGTCAGACATTCTAAAAAAAATATGTGTCCATAAAAATGATTCAAAAATCAAAAATAATTGCACTGTAAATGAATGTTCTGCTGAAAAAAAAGAAACTGGAGCCACCAGTCCACCACCTAGTCCAAATCTGACAGTTCCATGGCCTTAACAATGGACTGGTTGTGTTGGACCACCTGATCAAACGAGGGAGGGAGAGGAGTAGTTCCAATTTGGAACAAGTGAGTCCCAGGCAGCGTGTGGTAGGTGTAGCTGTAGCGAAGACGATGGACAAATGATAAGTGTACCCAAGTGAATGGGACAGCAATGAACATGGGTGACGCAAGGGGATGAACCTTCTCCAGCTCAAAAACTACCCACCCACGCTCCAACCAGGCAAGACGAGCGACCAATGTTTTGATAGTATATGATGGTAGATCGACGTCATAAAGATGGACCTGTTGCCCTATTTGAACCGGCCGCCGGGGCTTTGCTGATATCAGCAGTGGCACATGGTAGTCAACGGATCGGCGACGGAAGCGGATAGGAAGTGTTGACATCAGAAATGGTGGGGGAGCAAAGAAGATGAGGAGGAGGAGGCTGGAGGTGACGAGGAGGTGAACTACAATGGGGATCCAGAAACGACCGTCAGGTGAGAATAAAAAGGAGAGGAAGGGGCCCATGGTGGGGCTAGGCAAAGGAAGGGGAGTAAGGGAAACAACAAAAGCGAGGGCGCAATGCAATGTGTAGCCAGTGGCGACGCGAAAATTTGCCGAAATGCCGAAACGTGGAAAGTACCGGATGGAAAAGCAAAGGTGAGCGTGACTGGATTGCCTAATAGAGGTGATGCTGATCAGCCACAAGTTCAAAAAGGGCAATATTAATTACTATTCCACGTGGCACTGTGCCTGTGTGGCGCAAAGGGGAGTCTTTTGAATATTCGCTTCATTATTGACACCTGTCCATGCTACCAATCAACTTTGGTGCATGACACCGCTCGTAATGTTCTTTGGATTAACAAATTCATGTGCCACGTTCCAAACAATGATAAAATCTATTTTCAGAGAACTAATTGATGAAGGGAAGGTAGTGATATACCTGGATGATATTATGATCTTCACAAAGACCAGAGAAGAACACCGAGCAATGACGTGATATGTACTTCAAATCCTTAGGGAGAACCAATTATATCTGAAACCAGAAAAATGTGATTTTGAAGAGACAGAAACAGAGTATTTGGGATTAATCATCTCAGAAAATGAAATCCACATGGATCCGGTTAAAGTTAAAGGAATCCTAGAATGGCCAGAATGCAAAAACAAAAAGAAGTACAAGCCTTTTTAGGATTCATTAACTTTTACAGACGGTTTATACAAGGATTCAGGTCAATTGCGAAACCGCTGACAAAGCTCACAGGAAAAGAAGAGTTTGTATGGGGAACTGAGCAAACAAAGGCATTCCAAGAGATAAAAGAAAAAATCAGTTCAACCCCAGTACTCGCCTTACCGACCAATGACAGTCAATACAGAGTAGAAGCGGATAGTAGCAACTATGCTCTAGGAGCAGTCCTCTCCCAAGAGCAGAACAGTGTCTGGAAACCAATAGCTTATTTATCGGAATCTCTCAATCCCACTGAAAGAAACTATGAGATTCATGATAAAGAACTATTGGTGATAATGTCAGCTTTAGAGGAATGGCGCCATTATTTAATGGATGCAACAAAAGAGTTTGAGATTTGGACGGACCATCAAAATCTCACTTATTTTAAACAACCTCAGAAGCTGAATAGAAGACAAGCAAGATGGGTTAGCAAACTGGCAAATTATCATTTTACCTTGTATCACAAACCAGGAGCTACTCACATCAAAGCCGATCTTATATCAAGATGACCAGACCATAATAAGGGACAGAGCAACAACAAAACATAATAGTACTCAAAGACAGCTGATCTTATATCAAGATGACCAGACCATAATAAGGGACAGAGCAACAACAAAGACATAATAGTACTCAAAGACAATCTATTTAGAATCAATATGTCTCTGACAGGAAAACAAAGACAAGAGATAGCTGGAGCAGAAGAAAAGACTATTGAAATATTTAAATGGATCAAAAAGAGAATGGGAAATGTTGACAAAGTCATAAAGAAGGTTGAGGATAAAATATGAAACCACCAAGACGGTTGGTGGACCGATGAAGGACACGTATACTTCAAAGGTTGTATGTATGTTCCAAAAGACCAAAAACTAAGAGAAAAGATCATCAAGGATCATCACAATTCCATTGTGGCTGGTCATCCAGGCCGGTATAAAACAAGGGAATTGATCACCAGAATGTATTGGTGGCCATACATGGACAAAGATGTCCAAGAATATGTAATGGGGTGCAAAACTTGCCAAAGAACCAAAACAGATCACCAGGCAAAGGCAGCACCATTACATCCGAATAAGATCCCGAGCCACCCCTGGCAGATCATATCAACAGATCTCATTGGACCATTACCAGAATCCAAAGGCTATAATACAATAATGGTCATCATAGATTGATTCTCAAAAATGATTGAATTGATACCAACACATGCCAAATTAAACTCTGAAGGAGTAGCAAGAATATTCAGAGATACTGTATTCCGATATAACGGACTACCCAAAAAAGTGATATCTGACAGAGGAGTACAGTTTGTCTCAAATTTTATAAAGGATCTTTATACTCTACTACAGATAAAGGGAAACCCGTCAACAGCATACCACCCTCAGACAGAGAGATTGAATAATATCTCCGAATATTCATAAACCATAAACAAAACGACTGGAAGGAATGGTTACCTTTAGCGGGATTTTCCTATAACAATAAAAAACATTCGGCAATTGGATATAGCTCATTTTATCTCGATAATGGCCAGCATCCAAAGGTAGACACAGAAGAGAGGAGAGAAGTAAAAAGTGAGAGTGCGGAAGAATTTGTAGAAAGGATGAAAGAGACGAGGAAAGAAGCAGAAAAATCTCTAGCAAAGGCAGCAGAGATTATAATAAAAACAAGAGAAAGAGTATTGAATACCAACCGGGAGATAAAGTTCATGTTGAAGCCAAACATATCACCACAGATCAGCCATCAAAGAAGCTGGATGATAAAAGACACGGACCATTTACCATTGAAAAGAAAGTTGGTCCAGCAGCATATAAACTTAAACTCCCTGGAAAATGGAAAAATGTATACCCAGTTTTTAATGGAAAAATTACTACACCCCTATAAAAAACCAATGTTTCCTGGACAAAAGAAACCGAAACCCCCACCACCAGCAGAAGTAGATGGCCAACAAGAATATGTAGTAGAGCAAATACTTGACTCACGACTGAAACGTGGCAAGTTAGAATATCTACTACATTGGAAAGGTTATGGCAAAGAAGAATGTACATGGGAACCAGAGGCTCACATAAAAAATGCCTCAGAATTAGTAAAAGATTTTCATGATCATTTCCCAAGTGCACCAAGGCGTATTAACTTTGCCCTTCATTTCCAGCCCTTCAAAAACCTCACCGAACCATCTCATAATTATAACATCTATAATTAATGGGAAACTTGAACCAACCTTTCGGGATGGAAGTCCTGACGGGGGGGGAATGTCACGATCCTATCCAATATGTACTGATAACTCTCAGATCGAACATCTTATCTCTCCATATCTAATCACTTGATCTTATCTATATATTTATCTTATCTCATCAGGTGACCTTAAGTCACATGACTACTTACTAAAGCACCATGCTACAACCTCATGTACATCAGTTAGCGCCTCAAGGCTGACACTGTCGATGATGAGAACTGTAGTTAGAAAACCACCCACAAAACAAACTAACACACAATCCTCCCAGATTCCATGGAACTTGTGTATGGGCTTTGCCTCCTAGAACAGTGGAGTGGTCTGGTTGTTTGTGGGGTGGTATGTATGATGATCCTTCAAAGTAAAACCCAGAGATGTATGGGTGTGGGTTTTGAGGAGGAGGGATAGTTGAATTATAGAAGATAGGGGCTTAGTGATGAGTATGGACAAGCACTACCTTGCTAATTGTAGCACAAGGTAGGTTTGAGAACGACAAGATGATGGGGTGACGAGGTTCCCAGTGATAGTAGGCTCCTGACACACAGACTGTAGTGCTCAGAAGGACTCTAATCGAAAGGGATGACAATGACTTCAAAAATGGGAAGTGACGATGACAGCAGTTGACAGTAGTAGCAGTGGGAAGTGTTGTGACCACACTGGATCACAAGTAGCAGAGAGTAGTGAACTTGAGATTGGAGAAGAAGTCTGGATTGGAGTTGGTAAAATACAGGGGTTTATATAGTAAAAGAAAGGTAGGCTATGCACAGTATAGCTGTGCAAAAAGAATGAGAAAGAACATGAAGGAAGGAATGTACGCTGACAAATCCTGCGTAGGTAGTACAGGATAAGATTGTCAAAATAAGGGAAAAAAAGAGATAGAACAATGAATGCTGTGTAAGTAATGTTACAGGTTTGTACAGCCATAAAGTAAAGTCCAATAGCAGAAAGACTCTGATCCTCTAGCCCACCATGGCTATCACTTTGGTACAACCATCTATACTATGTGTAATCTAAAGACACTACTCTGAAATGGTGTTTCACCTATGAAGGAATAAGAAAGGAGCTCCGGCTGATCCAGTGTACTAACCCCTCAGTTTGTTCTCTATCTATTTACTACTTTCAGCTCTTACTTTGCACTTGTAGTGAAATGAATAAACAGTGGGTATTTAGTTCTCTCCTCAATATGATACCAGGGCTTCAGGCGCATTTGGAGAACAGTTCAGTAGAAGAAACTGATTTGATTAGCAGCTTGGTTTGTAATCTTACCTTTCTGTATATGCCCATATAATCTTTAGCTAGATCTACAGATACAGTAAGGAGCATCAAACACTAGGTCAGATAGTATAAAGAGCTTGAAGAGTGCTATTCTCGACTGGATTGCTCCTGGGGGTCAACTTGACCCACCATTGGCTCAAAATGTGAAGGCACAGAACATGGTTTCAAACATGGATAAGCGGGCTTGCTTCTTTGTGCAGCTGGCGTTGATTGGTCAAATGTGGAGTCTGTATTCTATCTTTCCCTTCCTTCACTTTTCTGACCCTTTCACTTCACAATGCTGTTGTTTAAAAGATATTGTATACAGTATAAAATCACTCTAAAAATGTGTCTAAGGCCATATTTGGTAGCATCATTTTGAAGATGATGGTGTTAGAACATTGTTGTGCTGGGTGGCTTGACAGTGCCAAATGCCAAACAGGCTGGTCATAGGGTGATACAGAATTGGGCGTCTTTGAAGATAGAACACCTGTATTAATACCATTAAATTACCCACCAAGCAACCCTATCAATGGCACAAAGGTCAGCCAGCAGCAGGCTTTTCCAAGCCTCCATAACACTACCCTGTATGATCATTGAAAATGATGAGCATCAACAACACAAGTAATCAAACAACCACAAAGAAGAAAAAGGGGCCAAAGGCCATATGGACCATAGCAGATTTGAAGAAACTCATGGATATTGCTGTAGAGCATTGAGGGCTCCTTGGAGAGGGGGGGAATTTCAAACCCCAGTTCTACACTGCTGCTGAAGATGTGTTAGGGCCTATAACAACAAGAGGAGCCCAAAAGACCACCAATTCTATCCACACAAAGTGGTTCAGTGTTAGTACTCTAGCGTCCATCATGTCATGGCTCTTACTAACAAGCCTGATAGCTCAAGAAGAGGTTTATTTGTGCTGGAGACTTGTTAAATATGTCTGGGCCCAGATTTAGCATTAAAAGGGGCTTGAAGATCACAAATGTAAACCAACATGTCTAGGATGCACTTCTCAAGGTAAGTAGTGTTTAATTTCCTATTCCCACACATGAACTCACCATTTTCAGAGTAAAAACAAAGAGACAAAGGCAATTATCACTTGTTTAGCTACAGATAGATGTAAATGGTATGGTGAGGTTGCGGGAATTTTACCCAGTTAGGTGAAAGGAACTCACACATTTCAAGCCTCACAAGCGCAGTCTTTGAAGACACCCACCACATTACTGAGGGAGGAGGCTACAGTTTTGGATGGAGAGATAGAAAACAACAAGGAGGAGGAGAGGAGGATCATGGTGGCAAGGACATGGCTGTGGATGGGCAAAAGAGTGCCAGCAATTCTGGTACCTACCTCAATACAAGTAGTGCCCAATCCAAACCTATCAGCATGTCTATGAGTGTTACATTGTCATAATCAGCTGTTGAATCCATCTCTGTAGTCTCAGCCACTTCTAGCAAAGCCCCACGCTCATCAGGTGTTGCCATTAATGGTATGAAAGAGCAAGTCCAGCGGATGGTGGACAACCGGGGAAAGCACAACAAAAAATGTTACAAGTACAAGGATTGACTCACCAACACTTTAAAGCATGCCTTCACAGGGAAAGCAGCTCAGCCAAGTTCTTCTGCTTCAACTGCACCTACGCAGTCATTGGAACCTGCGGCGATGAGGAGCTTGGCTATCAAGACTGTGGGGCAGCTGGAGGTGCAGCTAAATGACAAAGGGAAAGTGGTGTTGATTGATATGTTGCATGCTGATAGTGAGCTGGTCTCCAATTATCTGGACATGGCTACACAGGAGCCAAGCCTCCAGATGACATGGGTAGGTAAGCTGCCGGGGCAGAACACTGCATTTCCTCCCAAGTTGCTGTAGCTATATTCATTTTTGAACCGTTTTCATACCACAAATTTGTTAGAATATACTCTGACATACCAATACTCCATAGGATAATACCTCTGATTTGTAAGCCAGCCCAGTATGCAGCAGCTATTCTGTGTAAGACGTCCATGGTTGCATGTCATGTTTAAGATCCTACATTGTATAACCTTGGCCATATAGCTTAATTGGTAGAGCAGCTGGCATGTATCCAGAAGGTTCCAGGTTCAATCCCTGGTCTGGTCATTATCCAATTTTATCAAAATTGTATTATGCTGTAAAGTTGTTACAAATGTTCCAAATAAGAAACAATTTTTTATTATTTGCATGTTTACAAATACATTACAAGAAAACAATACCGGCAATGTCTATACAGCACCTCTAGCCTGCAACTCAGCATAGGATGACACCCACATGTCCATTGCTATTCTGTTGTGGCACAGATTGGCTTCAAGTTGGTTCAGTTCAGTTGGCAGCCCATCAGATAAAGAACCGGTGCTGACCAATGATGGCACATCTTCAGAAAATTTGTGGATGTTGTCAGGATTGTGCATCTGGATGTAGTTGTGCAGTATGCACAGGGAGGATGTGATGCAAGCCTGTATGTCCATATTAAATTTGGGTGGACAGAGGAGGATCCAAAAACAATGCTTGAAGATGCTGAAAATGCGCTCAATACAGTTGCGCACTTGAGTGTGTTGCAAGTTAAAGAGCTCTTCTTTGCTCCTAGGCCTGTTGAATAATCAGAATTAGTATATAGAAGAGCAAAGTACTCACCTGAGCCCCACTTAACCCCACTTAGCGGAATAATAGTGTTCTCCTCGGTAAGGAACCAAAAGCTGTGGGGAAGAAGCAATACCAGCAGAAACACAAAGATTGTGTTGGCAAGCATCATTGTAGGTAGCTGCATCAGCAGCCAAACCCTCCCAGCCAGTAAAAATGTAGAGAAATTCGAGGTCAAAGCTACAACACGCCAGGCAGTTTTGGGTGACACTGCCCTTTTGATGTTATGAGAGATGGTGTTCTTGTTACAATTAAACATACCAGCACCTACTTACGCTTCACTTTTGTACTTCTACTTTTATTTTCCAAGTCACATGACCAGTCATGTGACCATTTACCTTACTTTTCATTTTCGGACCTTTCCTTTGATTTTCATTCTCCGCTTTAACCTTGTACTGTAGTTTTCACACTGTGCCATGTGGCATTTCCCCTTTTAGTTCAAACTCCACCTTTCTCACGCGGCGCTGCCTTTATTCTTATTTTAGCTACAAGTATCTCATGCAGTGGAGCTGGTCACATGGGCTAGGCCCCATGACATCAGCAGCCACTGCCTCTAGCAACTGTACAGTACATATGTACAAACAAACATGTATTCAGTATATATACAGGAGCAATACATGGGGAAGGACTCAGCGAGTCCTCCTGTTGTATACCAACTAACTCTCTGCATCTTAAGGGGTAACCACTCCCTCTTCATTTTCTCTATAGTGTGTTCCTGTGTGCGCCGGAGTAACTAACTCTTGGTAGTTACAGTTCTGCAGTGGATGGGGCACAGGTGATATGTGTCCCATCAATGGCACCAATTGCATCTGAAAAAAAGGGATAAAACTTTGGGTTATTCAGGACTTTGGGAGGCATAGGGTCGTTGGCAGATGGTAGATGTACATAATTAGTGTAGATGGGTGTGGACGAAAACACGAATAGAATTTCCTTGAAATACCTGCAAAATTATTAGAAAAAATGAGTAAAACATAAGATACAAAGAACCTACTTTGATATAGTGTCATTGGCACATTGAAAATGTTCACAACATGTCTGACAGTGAGCCCAGTCACACTCATGTATAAAAACATAGCAAGCTTCTCCTCCAAAGACACACTCTTTGAATTGGTATGCCCTGCTTCTCTCAAAGTCCTAACCAGCTCATCAAATATCTCTCTCTTGACCCCAAGCTCACTCTAATTTGTTCCGGATGCCCATCAATCAATTCTTGAATCCAGCCATGGCCAGAGACTGATGTATGATATGGGGTCTTGTTAAAGAGAGGCTCTGCATAGAAGATGGCTGCCTGGGACACTGTGGTAATCACAATATCTTCTTCATCTTTGACCACAATATCTTCCTCGTCCAACAGTCTTTCTTCAAGGAGGTAGATGCCAACCTTTGCCCTTAGGTCACTCAATTCAGTCGACATGGTACTTTGTAAACTGTTATCTAAATCAGTGCCAATAACCCAAAGTCATACTTCAAGCTCCGATTTACCATCTGTAATTTTGAACATGATATAATCTTCAAAATGATGCTACCAAACATGGCCTAATTCACTTGAGATGGCACACATGAAAATCATTAGAAAAATCACCAGCTGAACAGTTGAATTTGATGAGACGATAGAGGCAGCAAGCATCAGTTGAATTTGGCCATAAAAGAGTTGATTTTAACACATTTTCATAATTATATATTTGGTGAATTATCCCACATAATTGTGCATTTTTCATCTCATGATGAGTTGATATACAGGGTAAATTTCACCGGGTCGCACAGTGAGGCCTTCAGATGGACAGATGCAGTGGCAATTTATAACGAAGGGGACAGTGGTCCAAAAAGTCGTGTGCGGCACACGTGGGAGCACATTTTTTCGCTTAGTTCCGCTCGCATGGTTTTCGGTTAGCAGTAGAGGGTAGGTAGTGCAGTAGTAACGAGGCAGTGAAAATTGTCGCCACATTGAAAATTCTCACGGTTATAAGAACATTCAACAATTGTAGTGAAAATTGTAGCCACATTAAAAATTCTCGCGCTTAATCGTTTTTACTACAAAACGCAATATAGTGGACACCAAAACTCACGCCTGTGGCACAATGTGACACAACTCAACCAAACAAACCTCTTTTCCTATTATGTGGGGAAGTGGTCTGGCCCTACACACAAAACAAATTGTTGTCGAGAATTTGCACATTTTGCACTACAAAAATTAACAGCCATTATTGACCACACTGTGGTGTGCATAAAAATAAAATCAAAGACCCTTCCCCACACATAAAAACACAGCTTACACAATGTGAGTTTATAACAGTTTATGGTGTTGATTCAATTAAAACTGACACATTGATTACAGAAGCCCAAATTATCAATAAATCAGTGCACATAGCAAACACATAAATATGAATATGAGCAATTCAAATATGCAATATCTGTAGCATTGTTAATGTGTCATTAACCATTAACTGATATGTTGATGTGATTTGTAGACATATTCCACAGACTCCTGAACGAGAATGTGGTGAACATTGCGATAGAGATTGCATACAACATCATCAACAGATGACATCACCAAGTATACAACGAGAGCACCTCTTGGGTCGTAGAGATTTGAGAAATAGAAATATTGCGCAACCAAATTTTGGAGGACCTGTGGATGATAATAACATGCCTCAGCCATTAGCTGGACCTGCACACCCTCAATTGCAGCCCCCTTTTCAAATGTGGCAGGGTAACCAGTTGCTTGCTACCCATGGTGTTGACTACAATGAAAGGCTATTAGATGGGTTTCAAAACCGACATGCAGAACAGGTTAATCAATGGCGTAATAGACTAAGAGGGCAGGAGCAGGTCGAGGATTAGGCAATTCAGCAACAGGAGGCATTACGGCTACAAAGGCAAGAACAGCAGTTGGCTGAGGATCATGTTTTCTAGGAAAGAGAAGTTCAACGGCAGGAGGCAGTTAGGTGACAGGTACAGCGGCAGGCTCAGCATGCTGACCTCCAATATGAAGAGGAACAAGCTGAGCAAGTTCGTAGGGTGCAGAGAGCTGCTCAAAAAGAGCTTGAAAGGAGGGAAGAGGAGCTAGCAGATCAGGCTCACAGGGCTGCCAGGGATGCTGTAGACCGAGGCGGGGACTTAAATGAACCGGTACCTGCCAGAAATGCACCAAGAATGCCAAGACCTCAATGACTTGCAAATGAACAAAATATTGCCAACCGCCGCCAAGCACAGGTGATACGTCAGGAGGCCCAATGTTGATGATGAGAAGTGTAGTTAGAAAACCACCCACAAAACAAACTAACACACAATCCTCCCAGATTCCATGGAACTTGTGTATGGGCTTTGCCTCCTAGAACAGTGGAGTGGTCTGGTTGTTTGTGGGGTGGTATGTATGATGATCCTTCAAAGTAAAACCCAGAGATGTATGGGTGTGGGTTTTGAGGAGGAGGGATAGTTGGAATATAGAAAGATAGGGGCTTTGTGGCGAGTGTAGACGAGCACTACCTTGCTAATTGTAGCATAAGGTAGGTTTGAGAACGACAATATGACGAGGTTCCCAGTGATAGCAGGCTCCTGACGCACAAACTGTAGTGCTCAGAAGGACTCTAATCGAAAGGGATGACAATGACTTCAAAAGTGGGAAGTGACGATGACAGCAGTTGACAGTGGTAGCAGTGGGAAGTGTTGTGACCACACTGGATCACAAGCAGCAGAGTAGTAAACTTGAAATTAGAGAAGAAGTCTGGAATTGAGTTCTTGTTTTTTTTTTTTACAAGGTAAAATACAGGGGTTTATATAGTAAAAGAAAAGTAGGCTATGCACAGTATAGCTGTGCAAAAAGAATGAGAAAGAACATGAAGGAAGGAATGTACGCTGACAAATCCTGCGTAGGTAGTACAGGATAAGATTGTCAAAATAAGGAAAAAAAAGAGATAGAACAATGAATGCTGTGTAAGTAATGTTACAGGTTTGTACAGCCATAAAGTAAAGTCCAATAGCAGAAAGAGAGCAAGAAAATCATGATGTCATGGGAAGATGCAGTAAAAAAAGGGCAAGGCAAAACACTATCAGTATCAACACAGTTCCTTTATTGTCAGTCAGACATTCTAAAAAAAATATGTGTCCATAAAAATGATTCAAAAATCAAAAATAATTGCACTGTAAATGAATGTTCTGCTGAAAAAAAAGAAACTGGAGCCACCAGTCCACCACCTAGTCCAAATCTGACAGTTCCATGGCCTTAACAATGGACTGGTTGTGTTGGACCACCTGATCAAACGAGGGAGGGAGAGGAGTAGTTCCAATTTGGAACAAGTGAGTCCCAGGCAGCGTGTGGTAGGTGTAGCTGTAGCGAAGACGATGGACAAATGATAAGTGTACCCAAGTGAATGGGACAGCAATGAACATGGGTGACGCAAGGGGATGAACCTTCTCCAGCTCAAAAACTACCCACCCACGCTCCAACCAGGCAAGACGAGCGACCAATGTTTTGATAGTATATGATGGTAGATCGACGTCATAAAGATGGACCTGTTGCCCTATTTGAACCGGCCGCCGGGGCTTTGCTGATATCAGCAGTGGCACATGGTAGTCAACGGATCGGCGACGGAAGCGGATAGGAAGTGTTGACATCAGAAATGGTGGGGGAGCAAAGAAGATGAGGAGGAGGAGGCTGGAGGTGACGAGGAGGTGAACTACAATGGGGATCCAGAAACGACCGTCAGGTGAGAATAAAAACGAGAGTAAGGGACCCATGGTGGGGTTAGGCAAAGGAAGGGAAGTGAAGGAAACGACAAAAACGAGGGCGCAATGCAATGTGTAGCCAGTGGCGACGTGAAAATTTGCCGAAATGCCAAAACGCGGAAAGTACCGGATGGAAAAGCAAAGGTGAGCGTGACTGGATTGCCTAATAGAGGTGATGCTGATCAGCCACAAGTTCGAAAAAGGCAATATTAATTACTATTCCATGTGGCACTGTGCCTGTGTGGCGCAAAGGCGAGTCTTTTCGAATATTCGCTTTGTTATTAACACCTGTCAATGCTACCAATCAACTTTGGTGCATGACACCGACACCCATATGTAGAGCCTCTATACTATCATACTTTACGCAACATGGAAGTAGAGTGCCGTAATTGTGGAGCGTTACACTGGGATACCGAGAGACTCACAAGTTCCTCCAGGATCCATCCAAAATTTGGTGTGTGCTGCCTTCAAGGTCAAGTTAGGCTGAATCCTTTCCAGGAAGCACCTGCTGCGCTACGCCGTCTGTTCTGTGGGGTTGACATTACTGCACGTGAATTCCGCGACAAAGTTTGCTCATACAACAATGCCTTTGCATTTACATCTTTGGGTGTCAAGATAGACCATGTTGTCACAAGTGCTGCAGGACCTTATAGTTTCCGTATCCATGGAGGCCTTCATCATAGCATCAGCGCATTCCATCCACCTGAAGGTGAGACTCCCTCTTTTGGCCAGCTTTACATTCACAACTCACAGACCGCCCTTTTTTTATGTAATGAGAATAATCAGGAGCATAGCACTACACCAGCAACCATGCTGGAGATCCAGGATACCCTGGGGCAATTCAATCCATTCATCCCTTTGTACAAGCAAGCTTATCAGATCATCATGGAAAAGCCTGAAGCAGAATGTGCCAACATAACAGCCCATATAGCTCTTATCAAACTCTGGACCAACGTCGTTATAATCTTCCTACTGCAGATGAAGTTGCTGCTGTTATCCCTGGAGATGGAGAACAAGATGTTGATGAGCACCGTGATATTGTTTTGCAGCTGAAGCAATTTGATCATGGTGGTGGTCTCAAGCATATCAGCCATTTGCACCCCCTTTATTCACCTCTGCATTATGTCCTCCTATTTCCCTTTGGAGAACAAGGGTGGCATAGGACAATACGGTCCATTCAAAATGCTGATGGAAATATATGCAGTGAATATGTCTTCCAGCGGTGTTATTATGCATACTGTCTCTATCCCCGGAGAACCAATCAATCCAATCTCTTCTATGGTGGAAAACTACTTCAGGAGTATTGCATTGATGCATGGGCTTCCACACAAGAAAGTGAATTGAAGTGGGTCCGTCATCATCAAAAAGACATAAGGGCAGATCTTTACCAAGGTGTTAAAGATGCTATGGATCAAAATGATGGGGAAATAGATTTGGGTCAACAGGGCCAGAACATTGTCCTACCATCTTCTCATTCTGGCAGTACATGGCACATGTACCAGCTTTTCCAGGACTCCATGGCTATATGTCGCCATTGCCATAAACCCGATATTTTCCTTACAATGACAGCAAACACCAACTGGCCTGAAATTCAAGAGGCTTTGCTGGAATACAACAATGCCGGTGAAGTAGATGATGACCCCGATATGCCTACAAGAAAACAGATTGCTGCAGACCATCCTGACATTGTTGCATGTGTCTTCTATCAGAAAAAGAAGGCACTGTTGAAGGAAGTCAAAGATGGGACCTTTGGAAAGACTTTGGGATCTGTTTACACTGTGGAATACCAAAAGCGGGGTTTGCCACACATGTATCTTCTCATATTCTTGGAAGATCAATATAAAATCTGTGATGCCACCCAGGTTGACTCTGTTGTCTCTGCTCAAATTCCTGATCCTGTCACACAACCAAAGTTATATTCAATGGTCACAAAGTGTATGATGCACGGTCTGTGTGGACCTGAGCACCCTGGAGCCCGGTGCATGAAGAATAGAGCATGCTCAAAGCACTATCGCAAAGAGTTTTGTGCTGAAACCAGATTTGGTGATGATGGTTATCCAGAATATATAAGGCCCGACAATGGGAGGGCTTATACAGCTCCAAGTGGTCATGTTTTTGACAACCGTGATGTCATCCCTTACAATGCATATCTCTCTGCCAAATATGACTGTCACATCAATGTTGAAATCTGTGCATCCGTTAAAGCCGTCAAATATATTCATAAATATATTTATAAGGGCCATAATCAAGCTTCAGTTGTGGTGGGAGGACAAGGTGAAGATGTAGGAATTGTGCATGGAGATGCAAGGCAGCCGAGGGATGATATTCAGGAATATATTGATGGTCGCTATATTGGTCCTGTGGAAGCATGCTGGCATCCCTTGGAGTTCCCTATGCATGAAGAAAAACCAACGGTATTGCGCCTTCCCGTTCACTTAAAGGATCAGCAAACTGTATTCTTCAATGCCCATGATGATGCAGAGAATATAATCAATAACGACCGTACATCAAAGGCTCAACTCACAGAATGGTTCACTGCCAATAAAGATCACCCTGAAGGCCGTCACATACCTTATCAGGATTATCCTCAATACTTTGTCTGGAACAAAGGTGCCAAAAAATGGACTCCAAGAAAACAACAATTTGCTATAGGGAGAATGATGTTTGTCCATCCAAGCCAAGGGGAGCAATTCTACCTCCGTACACTGCTCACTGTGGTCCCTGGAGCAGAGAGTTGGGAAGATTTGCACACATGTGATGGGGTTTTACATCCAACTTACAAAGCTGCATGTGCTGCACGTGGCCTGTTAGAAGATGATGGTGAATGGGATCAGTGTTTGGCAGAAGCAGGAGATATGCAGACAGGCCCTGAACTCTGTGCTCTCTTTGCAGTTATTTTACTGCAATGTCTCCCAAATGAGCCTGCAAACCTTTGGAACCGGCACAAACACAAGATTTGTGATGATTTACACCATCGCCTTCTTCAAAGAGGGATTGCCCAACCTTCAGAAGACCAGATTTATGATCATGGACTATTCTTGCTGGAATCCATACTTACTCAAGCCAACAAGTGTCTTTCAAACTTCCCACCAATGCCTTTTCCTCAGCAACAATGGGAACCTATCATTGCAAACAATCTTCTCCACAAGCAGCAAAATTATGACAGATTTGATCTTACTTTGGAGGTTGAAGATAATGTAGAGAGGCTGAATCAAGAGCAGCGGAATGCTTTTGATACCATTATGCAGTCAATCCACCATAATGAGGGAACAACTTTCTTTATTCACAGTGCTGGAGGTGGGGGCAAAACATATCTCTGTAATACAATTGCAGCCGCCGTTCGAGCAAGGGATAATCATAATGTTGCTCTATGTGTAGCATCCCTGCTCTTGGAGGGTGGCTGCACAGCTCATTCACGCTTTGGAATCCCTATTCCTGTACATGAAATATCCACATGCAGGATTCCAAAAAACTCTGACCTCCATGAGGTATTGAGACATACTGGAGTTATAGTCTGGGATGAAGTGCCGATGCAACACTGTCATGGGATTGAAGCATTAGACCGTACATTAACAACACCTGTTGTTCCAAGAGGGTCAAGGCAACACATTATTTCTGCCTCTCTTAGAAGATCACGACTGTGGACAAATATCCATGTCTGCTATCTCACACAGAACATGCGCCTGGACCGTACTCCAGAAAGTGAAGCCTTTGCTAGCTGGCTCCTGGATGTTGGTGGTGGTCGTGGAATTGCAGGAGATGGAACTATTGAGCTTCCCGCCAACATGCTTATGCCAGAAAACACCATAGACTCATTAGTCGACACTACCTATCCTGGAATTGCAAATGGAGACAAAGATGACCATTATTTCCTCCACCGCACTATCCTCTCCGCAAAAAATGATGCCGTTAGCAACCTTAATTCAGCAATCCTCACAAAATTCCCTGGAGAAGAGTTAGTAGCTCTGTCAATTGATAAAGTGGTTGGAGAGGGGCATGAACATTATCCTGTGGAATTCTTGAACTCCTTGCAAGTATCTGGCCTTCCTGAAGCACACCTCAAACTTAAAGCTGGATGTCCACTTATGCTCCTCCGCAATATTGATCCCCTAAATGGACTCTGTAATGGAACACACATGATTTTGATAGAGATGAAGAGAAGAGTATTGAAGTGCCATGTCTTGGGAGGAAAACATGCAGGAAAGATAGCTTTTATTCCACGCCTCACATTGGAACCTTCATCAGAAGAATTGCCCATCAAGCTATCACATTGTCAATTCCCTGTCCATGTTGCCTTTTCCATGACCATCAACAAGTCTCAAGGTCAATCAGTGACACAGGTTAGGGTGGATTTACGTGTTTTAGTGTTTTCACATGGGCAACTTTACGTTGCATTGTCTCGCTGCACTTCAGGAGAGAGAATAAAAGTGCTATTTCCACATGGTTCAAATGACAGACGTGCCGTCAATATGGTGTATCCCAAAATTCTGACTGGCTTTACCTGTGACTGGCAAGTAGATTTATCCCCAATTCTCACCCTTTTTACTAAAGTGTTTTATTCTCAGATCATATTTTCATCCATTACCATTTCTGGAGTCTCTTTTTTTATTTCTCATCAATTTATCAATGTAATACCATAGACTTTTTACGTTACAATATATGTTGATGTTTGTAAAGATTCAATGAACCATCTGCTTGATTCAGTATACTGTGCAAGTTTAGGGCAGGCTTATAAGGACATTCAATGACTGCAAGTCACATGCATCATAGGATTCAAAGACTTAACATACATTACAGACAGCATAAGTTCACTGACTTAACATTTTGATCACTTAACAGTATTATTATTATTATTATTTATCATATAGCAAAAACATTGCACCAGTGGCAGAGCCACGGGCTGGACCTCGTAAACCGGACCGACCCAGCTGACTCTGACTAGCATACACTGCCACGAGATGATCGCGGTGATCGAGGCAACATCGTGGCACTGGATTGACTCGGACGATGCAAGGCACAGGATAAGTCAGCACGAACGAATACTAGCAGTCATATATCACTTTCAACCAATTGCAAAAGTAAAGTCTTCTGGGTACTTTACTCAAGTCTCTGGCATTTCACTGTGACCGCCACAGTAATTTGCCTTCGAGTCGCTCGTTGTTGCTGCCAATGAGTACGATGGATGTTCCAATTGAGATATTCGCACACATCATCGAGCTTGTCATCGATCGCCGTGATCTGTGTTCGATTTGTCTGGCGTCCCACACCCTCAATGCGATAGCAACGCCGCTCCTATACCACACCCTCGACTCCCGCACAATCTCACGCAACCACAATACCTTCCTTTGCCATCCTTCTTCCACTCTCCTCAGAAAACCACACCTAGCAAAGCATGTTCGTCATGTCACAGAAACCGGTCAGTCCTCTCTCTTCCAAAAAAAAAAACTACTCACTTCTTCCCTATCAGGAGCGGTCCACGCTCTCTCGCCCTCCACTTCTGATTCCATCTTCGATTCTCTCCGTCTCTGCACATCACTCTATTCATTCACCTGGATAGACAATGACCAGTCTCCGTCTCATGCCATCCATAACATCATCACCATTCTCTCCTCCCTCCCTCTCCGTGCCCTCACCATCCGCACCCGCGCAGACCTCGGGCAACACGTGTGGAAGCGCATCTCAGACTTCAAAAACCTTCAGTCGGTCGCCGTCTGGTCTATGGAAGGCCCTCCTCGCGTATTGCAAGGCTGGGCAGAACACCTTTCACACTCCCTCACGCACCTTGAACTTGGCGTATGTATTCTTCTCTCCCCTCTCTCTTTCTCATTCTTATTCACCGTCCCCAGCGCTGTGCAGGCGTGCCTCCCTCGATCCTTATATCCATATTTTCTCACCTGCCCCTTCTCACCTCCCTCCTCTTAAAGGGGGCAAATTCATCCTCCATCCCTCCTATCCTCGCTCTTCTTCCAAACCTCGTATTTCTCGATACAGACTTTCTCCCCACTTCCCTCTCCAGATCACCTTTCACGGTATCTCCTATCCCACCCCGACTTACCCATCTCACAATTCGTACAGGCTCTGTAGACCTCCTAGGCCCTCAAAATCTCTGGTGGTGGATTAGCAATCTTGTTCCACACAAGAACACTCTCCATTCCTTCACACTGAACGCGTTCACGGTTCAAGGAGCCATCCACGTCCCGCGTGGATTCCTCCTGGATCTTGCCAAAACTCACTCTTTGACCCTCTCCCATTTCGTTGTCGGCGTCGCTCAGCTCGCTTTACCAGATCTCTCTGCCCTTTGCTACCACTGCACCGAAATCCAAACCATCGGCTGCGGTGTCGCTAGCCCAGATGTGGTAAGTACAGCTTACTGTTCCGTTGCATCACACACCTTGATTATACCCTGGCACTTTGCCTATCCCTCTTCCTTCTTTACAATGCCTCCAACCCATATGCTTCGCATCACAGTCCTCTATCGCCCGCGCCACAGCCAGCGCACACAACCTTCGTACTCTCAAGCTCCATGTTCGATGGATGCCACAAGTAGCTTCTACTCCCTCCCACAAGGACGAGGAGGAGGAGGAGGAGGCATCCCTCACAGACGATACCAACCCAGCCCCTTTTCACGATAACCACATGCATCAGCCCAGTCCACTTCCCGCCCTTTCTCTCCCGTCTACTCCGACAGCTTCTTCTCCCGGTACATTAGAGTTAAATTCCAGTCATCCACGCCCTTCTGGTGACCTCCATCCACCTGTTCTTTCCTGGCCCCGCTTTGACACTCTCCTATCGAGTGACGGCCTGATGCTTTCTAATTCCTTACAGCGCTTTAATTACAATTTCCCTGTAAACCAGTTCCATTTTCCTGTTCACCGCCAATCTCCCGCATCTACTTCCTCGCACGACACCGATTCGCATACCCTCGCCGATGTACGCGCACTTATGCTCCGCCCTGACTCGTCACTAAGAACAGTAGGAATGGGGGAGGAAATCTATACGGTATGTCCACCAAATAGAATTTGTTTTAGTCTTGGTCGTCCGCCAGTTGCCCGCTCCCTTTGTGCCAATTTCCTCAAAAATATATGCGCGTTCTTTGGACCATTTCGGTTGGCACGAAGGATACTTGAAAGTTGGATCTTATCTTTCAAGCAAAGTCGCCCTTTTCAAGAAGAAGCGGCGGACGAAATCAAGCCTCCTCGTGTTTCCGCATTACTTCCGTCGTCTGTTATCCCTTTGTTTCCTTCCTCATACGTTGTATTTGATGAAACAACATCAACGGATCTCTGACCTTTTTTCTACCCAGGGTCGATGGGTACTAAAAACAGATGCTGGACAGGGGTCTGAGATCGTGTTCGAAGTCGAGAGGGACCTCGATCATGAGCGGTGAGGTTGAGGTGTTTGACTAGGAGTGGTTCGAGCACCCCCTGACTTGCTGGGGGGAAGTACCACACACATACATTGAACGGACAGTACAACGACGAGCCGTAAGAGGTGATGGTGGATCTGTAACAAGAGGTGCTGTCGTGTTATTCGTATTATATACATGGACTTGTTTACTCCTGTCATTGCTTAAGATCTGCGTTGCCATTTATGTGCACGCAGCGATCCTCCTAATTTATTGATCTTTCAACACCAGTCTTGATGGCGTGCAACAAAATAGAACTCGGACGAGTCTGCACCAAGTTACAAGTTACAATACATAGACTTGTGTACAACGTTGACCGACAAGGTTCTCATTTCTCTTTGACAGAAAATCGATGAGGGAGGGGAAAGAGATGAATCTGCCATGGCTAAAGATTGCGATGGAACAATGATAATGCGAGGATATGTATATGTATAGACTTTTGATCGCTTCTTTCTGCTCCAGGAAACCCAAACAAAGTTCGAACGAATGGAAACAAATGACCCCATCAAACGAGAAAACCACCCGGGTCCTACTCGATAACTACACCTAGCTCGACGATCATGAATGTGATCCTATAGGCCCTACGCTCCCCGTCCACGACCGCGTCCACCTCTTTGTGGGCCACCTCTCGATGCGCCGCGTCCTATAGAACAGTGGAGAAAGCAGAGTCAGCGTGAGATAGACATGTGAACGTTGGGGGAAAGGAAGAAAAGAGAAGAAAGGTTTTACCTCGTGGTGGTGCTCCTCGTCCTGCAGATTACAATCACAACATAGCGAACAAAAATGGCGGGTTATTAGGTGATCGGTTGTAGGAGTTGGGACGGTGCATGAATACAAGTTTGATAAGAATTTTCAGGGGGTAAAGCAAGAAGAAAAAAGCAAAACAATAAAGATCTGTGAGACACCAAAAAATCGTTCGATATCGAGTAAACATTGCTCACCCCTGCTACCAGCACCGGATCCCCTCGCACTCCGCCCAGCCTCGCGTGCACGTGTCTGCTCATCTTTCACGGCGTCAAGTAGGGTGTCAGGGACGCGGAGGTATTTTATCTACGGGATGAGTTAAGATAAGCTTCATCCGTGATGTTACCAGACTGAGTGGAAACTAAAGAACAGGAACAGTCGTGTATGCTTTGGCTCAAACGGGGAATGGTGGTCTTCTATCACGTTCATTGGACTCGTGGACCACCAATAAATGACGTAGTTGTCACTGCGCCCGCCTCAAGACACCGACATGTTCAACTGCTGGACAGAAACAAAAGTGGAAGCAACCGATGTTAAGAATACACATACCGTACTGCCCCTGATATAGCACTCTCTTAGTTTCCAAAAGCGATCACCCTCCGCGCTGGTCTGATATACTTCTCTGAGCGTTATGTTCATGAAATTGTCGCAGTTGACGAGATGGCCGTTGAATGTCTCTCCATTCTTAAGTTCAACCAACTTTGATTGCCCAGACATCATGTAGAGGTGACGTAGGTTATATGTGAATCAAAGACGAATTCAATATGAGCTGGATGGAGAAGATGGGTAACGATTGTTGCACTTACCATTGGCTTGTTCTGCGCAGCATTCAGTAGTGAAAGAGGCAACTGTACGATGGCAAAGAAAAAGTATTTAGTTCAAAATGGGTACAAAACAACAGGATGTGGTTATATTTGCGCCATACCATTCCCGTATCAGAGTTGCTGGAAATTCCAACTAATGGCCTTGTAAATGTGTTTGATAACGATATCCAGATGGAAGTGTCGAATCCAAAGGAGTGCCAGTGTCACGGCCACGATCAGGTCACGATCCGGGAACGCGTCGGTGGCGGTGCTTTGGGTTCAATACGTATGCGCCACTGACTAGTACTGACTACTCATAACTTAACTAAAAGTGCGTCAAATATTACTCAAAGCCATGCCATGATGCTTGTAACTCATAAACTGCATCCACAGTTCATCGCAGATCTTTGGATACGTCAAAGTCGCCGCGCCCTTGAAGTTCTCTGATTCGTGTTCATTGCCACTACCCATTTTCCCCGCGAGTAAATGATCACGGTGAGGTGCAAAATTTTATAGCAGAGTGCCAGTCCGTTTTCAACTAAATGGGTGATGAGTCAAATCATGGCACTGGCACTCAGTGTGCAGTTGCTAGCATCTGGCCATCGTCAGAATATGTGGATTGGGTCTCGAAATGCTCGAATGCTAGTGTCGTACTAAGCATCCATTTGGACACGATGAAGCGAGGAATAGGATCATAGGAGTACAAGATCACTTGCATTTTTTCAGCATTCGTTACAGCTAGTTTCAATAATAATAGTACAGCAAGTAGAAAGATAAAGAACATATTATGAATTCCATATAGCCATGCAATCAATACGAAAGACCTTACTACTCAGACGGAAAGCTTGATGGGTGAATTGGACGTCTTAACCTCAACCTGGCTTGACTGTGCTCCCACTCCACGAGGTTGCCAATATACTGACCCTTTCAAATGACCCTTTCTCTGCGTGGTCTGCTCCACAACCCGCCTTCTCCCTCTTCCTGAAGGATCCAGAGTATTACTTTTAACCACTGTGGGCGCGAGACGAGATGTATCAAGAGTGTAATCGCCCTCATAAGCACCATGCAATGATACAAAAGCGGGCGCATTGGAGGTACGTGCGGAAAGGTTTAGAATAGAGTTGACTGGAGAAGTCGCATGGGAAAGGTCGATGTGTCCATTAGAGGTGCGGGCAGAGACTTTGAAGGCGCCACCAGTGAGATACTCGGACTGGAGAGAAAAGCTTGATTCAATAGGGCTAATAACTTATCAGTAAAAGCTACCATTCGTAGCATGGTAGTGTACAAACCTGTTGCTCGTCTTAAATGTAGCCTCAGTAGGAGAAGAAGCATCATCGTTCAAAAGGCCGGCTTCCACCTCAATCGGTGCGTTGGACGTTATGAGTTCTAACGAAGTAGAAGTATTAAATGTACCCTTGATCGGCGCGTTACTGGACTTGAACTTTCCCTTGTCTGCAAAGATGGACTAAAGAATTCAGTAAGTATATGCTTTCACAGTGTAAGGAGAGAAATCGGGACGGCCTACTTTGGCAGAAATGGGCACATTGGAAGTTCGTACGGAGATAGCATTGAAGTATACTGACTTCTGGAGGTCTCCAATTTCGTGGGCGTATAAGGATGCATCGCTTTCGAAGCTTTTGATCCTCAAAGGCTCATCATCCGAAGAAGCGGGAAGTGAAATGGTGACTTCAAATTGCACGCGGTCTTGCTGTCCATGGGGGTACCAGTTTCGGGGTGTCTAACGAGACATTTAAGACACGTCTAGAGGCCAATAGCAAGCGAATTACTCACAAAAATGCCAACACCTTGCTCGTCTTCACCTCTTTTCAACAGACAGAGGGTGGCACGATCCAATGCGCTCTGGTAGTAGAAATGTGCGCGCACAGTGACATCAGCGGTATCTTTGACGATTTCCGAGTTTACAATCTTCACGATGCCAGCATTCCAATTGCCGCGAGTTAGGAAGAATAGTGCGTCAGAGTCAACGGGAAGTTCGAATGTAGTTTCAGCACCATGGGGAAAATGCGACCACGTAGGGTTATCGATGTACTCGGACCATTCAGAACCACTGATACAACGTCGAACGATACCATCTGCAGGTGTAGGCCATCCGGCTTGGTCGCCACTCCAGCCGAGCTGTGATTCCTCAGTATTCGGCACTTAGAAACCAATATAAAGACATGGACATACCCTGCTGCGACCGTAACTCCCTACCTCAAACATACTCTCCGTGAAAACAGCAAAAAGGAACCAGATGGTTACAGCTATTCCAAATGCTTTCCAGAACCGTTTGAAAGTCGATTCGGACTGTACCACATAGGGCTCTGGGGTGTAGGGTTGATAAGTATTTTGATACGGTTGTACTGGAGGGGCTGTATAAGAATACATTGGCGGAGGTAAAGGAGGCTGGCTGCTCCCACTGGCAGCCTCTTGACTGCCGGTGTTAGGGTCATCTTTAGAGTCTGGGCCACGTTTGGGGGTGTTTTCTTGCACGATCATTGTACTTTACAGACGGCTGTGGTGGTCGTGGCACTGTTATCATCAGCTTTTATGTGCCTAATTATATGGAGCTTTTAGGTGACATATGTCGTTGCACATGGCGCAACCGCAGCGTTTTGACTGCGCCGCGGTAAGGTTTCCTAATCAAGGCATGTTATTACTTTCAACAATCAGCAGCGAGCGCCTCTGAACTGCCTTGAACCATATTTGCCACCCCCGAGGAGGTCAGAACCAAACTGAATCGCCTTTTAGCCAATGCTATCCTTGGCATCCTTTGGTAGTCACTTGTTATATAGGTTTATGCAATTCGATACTACAAGCCTGCTATACCATGTATACGTTCATAGTTCATATATAAAAGTTCCGGAACCGCAGCGATGAGAAACTTCAAGGACTGCGCGAACAAAGGCTGCGGTGATGTGGCCGGTCTTCATGAGAATCTTTGTAAGTTCCTGAACACGAAGCGTAAACTGAATAATGAACATCAATTTGAGCATAACATCCTGCTGCAGCATGTAGTGTGCATGTCCATAATACGAAAGGGGCAAAGCGCCAGTAAATGGCTGGCTTGCAAGAAGACATTCAGGCAAAATCATCAAATCGTCGAAGACAGTCCTAGTCATAAAACTATCCTATACAGTATATGTTACGGGTGATACAGGACCATGACAGAAGGAGGCTATGCTCACCATTCTTGTAATTCCATACGGTTCCACTGTGCCCACCAACTTCTGAACCAGGCTCAATAATCATGTTAAGCGTAATGGGATGGATACATTGTTTCATTTGTTCCCCTTTCCGCATGACTGCCATTCCTTACACCTGCCTCCGACAGCAGCCATCATGACGAATAGTGGACATGACTTCTTGCCCTTTATCGCAGAGATATGGTACAGGGGCGCAAGCGAGCTGAATGAAACACAGCCGAATATGTGAAGCTTGTGCCGCCGGTTTACCACCCACTACTCGGTAATTAAACCTCGACTTGAATCAGGTGGATTGTGTTCAGGTTCATGTCCACGGGAAAGTATATTCTAGGTTTGCTTGTTTTTATAATGGCACAGGAGCGAGTAGTATCACGGTCGCCATGAAAAAGTTATCCGTCGTCGGCGCGATCAGCCTTTTCTTGATAACTCGCTACATTTTGACCATGGAACCGCAGCTTTTGTAATTGATCAACTCACCTCAGGAGATGGTTCCCAAAGCGTTGAAAGTCATCCAATTCAGTGAGTCCAGCACAGCACTGGTTGTCTTTACATTTGCGACTGCCATTCAGTAAAGTTCGTAGACATATTCGGCTAGAAAGAGACGTACAATTATTTCTTTTCGTCCTTTCCAAGCTTTCCAAGGAACTTTCATTGCACGATGAATTGAAACGAAAAAAGGGAAAGTGGAAGCACACTAGGGTCTGCTTGTTAGGTAAATATTCGCGGAGTTTTGGACATCTGATTCTAGCTAGTTTCCATTTGCGGCTACTAGCTAGTAGTCTAGTGCAGCCGCTGCATCGTTACTTCTACCCTTTCTACGATCTTCACTCGACGTAGTAATTTTATATTTATACTAGTACTCCTACTGGGTAAGTATGATCATCTGAGAATCTCCTGAGTCTGCTCAAAATAGCTATCTGCCTTGTCAAGTTTCCAGATTACACCCCTGTTACACGTCAAAGCCTTTCCTGTACAATATTGCAGAAATGTAATAATGAGAGTGAAATGGATGCCGCTCGCACGATGCACAGTTTACTGTTAAGTCTTCAGCTTTGCTAATAGTATGAAATTGTATCAGCCGATTCTTTTTGTTTCACTTTGACGATAGGCTGGAGATATTTGGAGACGAGAGCATCCGATATGACTGCTTCCACTGCATCACCTAGATTCGCCAACTTTATTCTTGGACGTTCGGTCGACAAACACGGCTGTATTCCTCCGCATTTCCACAAAAAAGCCATCGAGTGCGACGACAATGACATAGTCGAGCTCGAGCCCGCCATTCTCTGTTCGCGCGAGACAGGCCGAGAGGCTTGATACTGCGGTTCTCCCTTATCTGCCTTGCTTCGTCTTCAACACAACCATGACGCCTAGAGTCCAGGGGGGCAACATAATCAACTCTCGGAATACGAAAATTTCGACACGCTGAGCTGAAAACTAAACTCTCACTCAAAGGTAAAAGGTTACGATCGCCAAAATGAAATAATACACGGAATACACGGAACACACATTATGACCGGCGGTCCAATCAATATGATTGACATTTAAGGCGACGAGGTTCTTCGAGCTGCCCATTCGGACCCCGAGAAAGTACTGGTGTTACTGTACTACATCTCTAAAGCTTGAGATTTTTTTGCTGGTCTCATGAGCCAATTGACCCTGTCCCGAAATACATATACAGGGTTTTCTTAATGAAAATACATTCACGATCATCCATCATTCGTCCTATAGTTACTTCAATACATTGCATTTTTGGTATGTACGCATCACGGCCAACTACTAATGCAAACGTTAGAAACGAAGATTTGCATAGATATATGTATACGGGTTCCTACTCTAAAATTTGGGTCGTGAGATCACGAAGAAGGGGGAACTAGGATGGAATAGGAGCGCATAAAAAAATGACCAGACATCGCCTTCACATATCAAAATAATAATGCGATGATTCCTTATACCCCCGAAATGTTATGATATTTGTGCAGCTTGTTAAGTACATTATTGTAAAGGGAGACCACCCGAAGGGATGGGCTTTAGCGCCATGCGTTTGTAATCCGCAGCTACGAGCTCAAGTAAGTATATGCAGATATGGGATATGGGGTAATACGTACTCTCCAGGTAAACCGAATTTCCCCACCAGTTGAGATCAATGCCACCTTTTGGAAACTATGATAACACAATAAATCATTTAAATAAAAATTTCAACACTGCGAGAGACTTACTTGGAGAGTGAAAAATATCACAATAAGAGACAACACCGTGCCTACGATGACATCGTCAACCAAGAGTAGATTGGGAGTCGTAAATAAGAAGACTTACCACTGTCCAAAGCAGCACTTGTCACATAATTGAACTTGCTCCACCACGCAAAGTTCCTCTTCCTGATCAGATACTGGAATACAAAGCCAACAGCGAACCATGCTGAATAGTTGATGCCCGTGGCAGGTGGGATATACGACACGCCATTCAGCACCACTGGAGTGCTCACGAACTTAATCCATGAATTTGGATACCGGCGCTGCCAAAGCCAAAAGGGTATCGGTAGGACCACACCAACGATGATGGCGTATAATTCAGCATGATAGAGTGCTCCAGCACCGAATTGTCGAGTTGGTCCGATAAGTCCCCTACGCTCGCACATTAGGATGATAGCAACGTAGATACGCGAATATACATACCAAATGGCCGATGCAGTGAAGTAAACTTGGTTGTGAGGGCACGTCATGGAGCCAGCTTGGTCGGGTGCACAAATATCTTTTACGTTATGGAAAATCCATTGCTTTACGCCAACTTGAACAAATGATGCCATAAGAGTCCCAATGGACTGCACTAAAGGAAGAAATCATAGACGCTTGAGTCGAGAAACATAAATCTTTCGTAGATATTAACTTACCCCAGAAGGTAGCTCGTGGGGGAACTTTGACATAGTGACCTAGCTTCAAGTCTTGAACGAAGGACGTAGCTTCAGTCAACGTTTGCACAGAGTACGCCTTGAAGAGCTACAAATAATAGTGAGTCGCGTGCACATCTCGCACAAACAAACAGGAATAAAAGTACCATATTTGCTATCGGGTTGCCTGCTAAAAGTGTGCCAGGGATGATTTGGGCTAATATGTTCAACGTGATCTGAGGTGGATACATAAGGACTTGAAAGATGGTTATCCATTTGCAGCGCCACATACCCCTTGTCCCGTCATCGCATATATAAACCCGGAAGGCAAGACATATAGAACTGGTAATAAGATAGAGAGCACAAGTGCCCAAACCGGCACCGATGTATGCCACACCTAATAAAAATAATATTTAGTCAGTCAACTACACTTCGATTTCTGAAACAACTCACCTCCACAGCTAACACCATCACCAGGAAGAAAATTATGAATGACAGTAAATACCACCAATCTGGGACTTCTGGATAATTCCTCATGAGCTTAGCATGAATATCATCTGGTTCAACTCTAATCCTCTTGACGCCGTTGAGAAGACTGCGGCCGTGATACAATATAGTATGCACAATGACACAGGTGGACAACGCGAAAGCTAGAAGGTATGTGACAGCGTAGGTAGCAGGTAGGTAAAGAGGGGAGTACTCGTCGTATGCCGTCTGGTTGAAAAGACCCTGAGGAGTGAGCACACGTGAGACATCATAGAGCTTCCCGAAGCGATCATATGGGCTGTCATCAGAAATGGGGAAATACGCCAGTTGCCATGTCTGCAAACCATCAATAAAACAGGGGGTACACAAAGATGATAAAAGCCTTACATTGGTGTAGTACAATATGGGTGTCAATATCCAGAAGAACATCACAAAACCCACAAAAATGTGAGCTTCAGCCCACCACGGAAACATCAAAGGGCTGCCAATCCACGAAATTTGGGTCCAGTCGAAAGTCAATACGCTCATACCCAGCCCAGTTTCAACTCCAAATAGCTGGTTAACAGGAACGTTCTCTGGGACAATCCAGCAGATGAAGGAGAATACTGATAATGCTTGGAAGAGGTAGCCTAGTATGCGTGTGTTAGCAAGGCAGACTTGATTCATCGATAGCGATGACTTTACCAGGAATGAAGAAGAAAAAGAATGCTCCACCAAGGACAATCAAGAAGAAACGATACCTCGTTATGCCACCAGAATCTTCATCCTCTTCAGCGTGCAAGGTGTTCAGCAAGGTACAGGCGACCAGATTTTGGGGCCAAACCATACTAGCTGGCCACACCAAGAATCGTCTACACATCCCCGCCAGGCCAAATCCGGTAAGTTGCGTAGCAAGGACCAGGAGAACACTGAACCAGTAATTGTAATAAATGCCATAGTTTATTTGAGCAACGACGATAGCATTTAGCGCATATGCAGGACCTATCGCGACGTTCGCCATGATAAAGACAAGTACGTGTTCCTTGATATTCCAAGGCCCTGGATTGAGAGAAAACTCGACAGAACCGAGGAATCGTGGAAGACGATAGGTAGTGATCGGCAAAACAAAAGCCAAAAACTTGCCGACAGGGTATGATAGGAGGAGAAGGGCCATGGGAGATACGGAAGGGGCAGGTTGCCGGAAATTGAAGAAAACGTTCAAGGCACTGGAAATGATAAGGACTTCGTTGAAAAAACAAGAGGATAAAACTCACCCGCCGACCATAGAAAGAAGAAGCCCAACAATCCACATGCGTATGGTCATAGCAGGCATGTCAGGATCATCGATATTTGATACGGATGCACGAACTTCTGGGAACGGACTGTCCTCCTCATTGATGGCATCAAAGTCAAACTCCATTCTTAGAATTACAAAACAGTTTATTTAACAAATTTAACCAAGAAGAATATGAAGATCGAGATAGATAAGCTCACTTTATGGAGCCGTCGCGACTATCTTCTTCGAGCATGCTGGGTGTCAAACTTAGGCTATCACCAATGGTTGAAGATGGGTGACGCTTGCTCCTCGATGATTCGGCAAAGGTATCTTCCTCTTTCTCCGGTGGAGTAGGCAGACGGACGGGTATCTCTCTCGAACTGATAGCGCTAGTTCTAGATGGGCGAGTGTCAGTGGTAGATGTGAGCGCCGTGCTAAGTCTGCGCATTCTATACGGATCATCTTGGCCTGGCTGAGATGAAGTTGAAGGGGGGCTCTCAACTGGAGTGTGTGATAGATGGGGGGGAAAGGGACCGGAAGGACCAGCTGGGACGTCAGCGGGGAAACGAGCGTGTGGATCAAATGTAGGCGAGGGATACGTTACTGATGGCATATGAGAGGGGGAAGCATTGGCGAAGATGTGATCGTAGCTGGGGGATGGATGAGAATAGGGCTGCGATTGCTGGGCCTTTTCCTGGGGGTGGTCGGGAGTCGATGGGGGTAAAAAAGCAAAGAGATCCTCGGTGTCGCTCTCTTCCTCCTCGTCTTCCTCCTCGTAATAGGCATTGTCATAGGTAAATTGAGACTCGTGTCCAAATCCAGCAGCTGTTGTCGGACGACCTGTGGATGGACGAAAGGCTGAAGCAGTGAATGGGCGAGAGCCGCCAGCTGATGACGGAGGACGGCGGGACATTGTGGAGAGCGGGTGGAGGACGTGCTCGACGATGGCGACTGCGACGAGGTCGACAGGTGCGACGACGAGGAAGGGGGTCGCGGGGACGATACTTGTTGTTCTGGGGAAATGGGGAGGGTATAAGAGAAAAGGACTCGAGGTGGTGGGAGCACCCAAGGGCAGTCAAGGATCAGCGGTCAACCAATCATCTTTCCCAGGCACATCACCGGTTCCTGAGACTCAAATTTTCATTTTCTGCGTGTTAATTATATAATATCGCTGCTACGCCCTTTTATGGACATCGTGCCACCGCCCGCCGGCATACCCCGGCTGAGCGCCGTCCTCTTCGCTCGCTTCCCTGCAGCGCTGCGTGCTCACTGTTAGTAGCCATAGCAGCGCTAGTCCAGCATATCACCCATGTTTGCCCAGTATTCTGCAGGAGTGATGCGAGCCGGCGTTACTGGCGTTTCCACGCATGTGCCTGGCTCGTAAAAGTGCAGGCGCCCTAATAAAGCCTCGTTTCAGATCTGTAGGCAGGTACCGCACACTATTCGCATGATCTCGTCGATTTTTGTCATTTCTTGACATGCCTTTTCCTCTCTCGTCCCGGCTTCTTGAATTCCTGTTGCTTTCCCCTTTCTGCGCTTCATATGAGCACCACTAATGCATCTCTGGTGCCCTAGATCTACACCATCGCACGCCTAGACTGCCTCACTTGTCTGCTGCATTTATCGATGGTCCGTCGTATATCAAATATTGTGCTCGCAAGTGTCCACTTGACTATCTTCACTTGAGACCAGGAACTGACACTCGCACACCGGACCTGACACCGGGTCTCACCAGGCCCTCTCGATTCGCAGCCAAGTCTGTTGCAAAGGAACAGTTGTCAGTCAAGCTTATCGAAGTGTCTATTATCGCAGCATGCCGCGACACGCCCTCGACGCGTTCTCCAAATTCCCGGCACATACTTATTGACTTTTGCTCTACTATGATCGATCATCCATTCATTGGACCTGTCCAGCATAGCCCTATATCCAGAGCAGTAGTCTGAATAACAATTCCTTATCCTTTTTCAATTTGGATATCCACTGTATCAACACGCACAACTCTGCATTTTCACACTTCCTGGTGAGCGGTACTATTGAGTAAATTTAAACGTGTTTTTCACGTTCAATAGGGAGTTCAGTTCCCCCCCCCCACCATGACTGGCCCTTCTATAATAGACTCTTTTCTGTTGACTTACTGCCGTTCTATTGACAAGGTTGATCCTAACACTGTGGAGCCTTTCATTCTCGTACATCGTACCACGACTTAAGGAACTGGACCCTATTTAAGACTCCCCCACCCACCGATTTATTGGTAGTTTCCGCATTTATAAACGCCGTCCAATCACAGTGCCTTACACTGTGCGATCGTTCGTACTCATTCCCATTCCGCCTGACACTGACCGAGGTGCAACAAATGCATGTCCATTTCTCACATTATGTCTAATTGTGTAATGAAATATCAGGTTCAGGATAAGCCTTTTGCGCAAATCTCAGCCGAGAAAATTCTCCACGTCATTCAAAACTTCAAACGGCATACCGTCCATCAAGGTACTCTTGATAAAAATTGACATGCGCTTGACATCCAGATGGGACAACCCAGCCACCTGAGCTCTCCGCAGTCATGCTAATTCAATCTCAATTGCACTGAGAGAGCCAATAATAGCCCTTATCATCATCACATCACCATCGCGATTGAAGAACATACCCGCAGAGATGACGCACTAAAATAACTACCAGATGTTGATATGTTCGAATGCGGGCCAACATATCAACGAGGGAGAATGCATGTTGCGTTCTTGCCGCGAAGGCATAACAAAGCACTATAAACAGGTCAATCCTCACGTTCATGAAAAAACATGCTGGCAACATATTCTTATAGCACCTAAGAACAGACGTCCAGAAGTCCTCGTGAGACGAAATCCGATTCCCGGTATAATTAAGACAAGAAAGACGCACAGGGTCTAATAGTACAAGTTTCAAATGGAGTACAATCGGCCCACCAGTGCCGTGGCGAAGACAGACATTCAGTTTGGCGGAGTCAATGCGTGTGACGTGCAGGTTGAATCTATTAAGACGACTATGACCTGAAACAAAACTTTGGAAAGAATGGCAACATGAAACGAACTTGGCTTATAATCAAGCGGCCGACGAACCAGGATCATGTGAGGAGACAGAAGTAATATTGAAAGGTGTGATAATGGGCGGATCTAGGAAGATGATGACGAGCAGTGTTTTTGCCATCCGGTTTACGAAACTCTTCTGTTCGGAGTTATTAAGCTATAGTCTAGCGGGTCCTATGAGCCAAACTATTCACCCTGAAGAAAGTTCAAGTAAGTTGGTCGTAGACATGATCTGTCAATGTCCTAAGGGCTGACATAACGAGCTACATAATGTTGGAAGATGGCTTACAGTCTCTGGTTAGTAGCAATGCGATCATTCATAGTAAATCGGCACCATTATGATATTGCATTTGATGATGATATTGCATTTGATGATGATCCTTCATCGGAGCCTTGATGTAATTGCCTTGTGGAAATGATTCGAAATGCAAGCGCCAACTTGGCAAAGGGGCGGTTCATCACGAAGGTCGAGATGATCCCTGGCTTTAACAATTGCACAGCGAGCGAGCTGATGAAGCTTGCGGACCGTTGTTGGTGAGTTCATCCAGTTCTGCAAGTGTTACTGTTACTATTATTGTTAGCCTACAGCTTTTAGGGCCTTGACTCACCAGCTATACTGAAGCAAACCAGAGATTATACATCTTCCCCAAAATAGAGCCTCTTTCCTTGCATGCGGAACCCATTGACACTATTTCAGTCAACTTAATTGCCACCATACGCTGAAACTCGTTAAGGGCGTATTCGCAATAGTCTACCAACCCAACAAGGGTAACAAGCGGAGGAAGGAGTTGGGGTACAGAATTGTGTTGTTAAACTGACCTGAGGGTGGAAGCTGTGGCTGTCTTGTGCAGCAGCTTCCAATGCACCCACTGAGATTTTGAGCTAATCACTCACTTTTGTCTAGCTTTCCAAAATCAAGCAAATTACATAGTTCCCGATGGCGAGCTACATCAATATTATGATATATGTCGGAACGTCATCGAATCGAAGGAGTAGCCAAATGCAAATGCGGCGTAGATGTCGACCAAGAATGTCGACCAAGGAGAAAAGCGCGAAGATATTGAGAGTAATAGCTCTTAAAAGCTTACCTTACCGTAGGTACGTAGAAGCTGCGATTGCATATAGCAAAGACCGCAGCATTGGCTTCATGACAGCTTGCGACCTCGTACTTTGCCCGCCTGAACCCACCAATAACGGACGAGAGACAGATATCCGGTCACGATCGCTACTGCCAAAGAGATAACCACACCAAACCAGTGGTAAGGACCGCCAGGAATTGTATTTGCAGGCACCATTACGTTCATCGAAAAAATACCTGTACACCAAGTGATTGGTTACCACTATGACAGCCTGAGGTTCAAAAGTATACAACATACCGTACAAGGTTTGAACACATATAACACCTAGACTCACGAGAGTGAGCATCAGAAGCGCTTTATCCGTCCCAGACTTGGTTTTCGACACGCTCATTCCAAGCTGGAAAAGGTAGGCAGGGTGAACTTGACTGAGCATACGTTCGTAATGCGTAAGCGAATGTTGCAACGTCAAGATATGATCTGGGATAGCAACAATGATTCGACCTTCTGGTATTTCCATTCGTGAAAAACAACACACCTTGGACATCCCCCATGTGTATCGCAATCTCTATATCGTCGTTGTTAACTGATCCGTTACCAGGTCCAGATTGTCCCACTGTCAAGAACCTCTTCCTAACCTGAGAGACCACCTGCGATTTAGTCGCAAGTAGGCGTGTAAGGGACGTAACTAGCCGTCGAGTTCTGGCCATACGACGCAATGTGGTAGCGGTAGCGTTTTGTGATGGTTTCACTCGTAAGTTGCGACCGGGCAACCAAAGTGAAATAAACTGAAGCTTCCTCTTTACGCGGCAAAAGAAAAGCAGAGCAGGAGCATGTGGTGGTGAAAATCGCGCTCGCTTCATGGGAGCTGGACTCGTAGGCTTCTCATCATATTTTTCTTCTATCACAACGGCGATTTGCTCAATATCTGGCTGAACCTCCGCTGGCTCTTTGCGAAGTATAGGTCGAGTTTCCGGGGTAGTGACTTGTCGCTGAGGGGTATCACATGTATCCTTGATTGAGAATACAAGCTGCTCGACCGTGGTCACCTCTTTGTCTATTTCATCTAAAAAAGGAAAGAAGGAATCTACGATTGAATCCAAAATCCCATGAGCAATCCAATCTTGAGATAATCAATCAGATTTTGTGCAGATTTCCAGCTAAAAGGGCAAACCTGAAGTCATGTAAAAGCTATCTCTGAGCACCCTGAGACGGTTTCGTACTCGCTCCGTGTGGTCTAGCTCAGACAGTCAGCGAATAATTACTGAGTAGAGAGCAGCATGTATTACCAGAAATATCTGAAAAATGAAACTGAAAACGAAACATTTAGTCAAACTATCAAAAACACATTGTAACAGACTAACAGTACAAATGCCTTCCCTAAAGACGACAAGGTAAATGTTCACTTCATTTATGCTACCTCCATCATCGAGATAGCTATCTCCCTCGATGCCAGACTGTGTAGCACCTTGTATAGCTTTAAAGACAATGAAGTGATAACCGAGCTTAGGAAAAAGCTCCAACTTCTCTCGCGGCTCTTGCTGTAGGATATCTTCCAGAGTCAAGGGATGAAGATGCAGAAGCTAGAAGAGAACGAAGTCAAGCGTCATCAAAGCAGTGTAATAAATGTATGGAATTACTTTTCCAATGGCACGCATATCATCCCAGGTGGGGCTAGATACATCGAGCCACCAACCTCTTGGAGCTCTATGGCTCTTGAAAGGACTGGACGAGACGGATCTAAGGGAATCGGGCGATGAAGCATTATTCTGTTCTCTTTGCTTTCCCTTGTTCAGAAGGTGGAGTGTAGGTATATCGGTGAATGAGGCAGGGCGACTGGGCGCCTTCATAGGATCGGATAGCATATAGTCATGATGCTGGAAGGAGGGAGGTACAGGTACAGTGGATTGGCGGGCCTTATGTCCACCACGTGTGCTCCTTGCAGACCTTCTTAGAGCCGACTCGAGCTGGGGGAGGATGAGAGCCAGGGAAGACGTCCTTGAAACTTGTTCGATTGTGTCCTGTGCGTGAGTGGACGCCGATCGCAGTGATTGAGGTCTCTCAAGGCTGGACATTGGAGGGATATAGAGATAGAATTCTCTAGGAATTTGCCTCGATTCTTGCCTTGCCTTCAAACGAGCTGCAACATCGCGCTCTGACTGCGCAGTGCAAATACTGGACCCAGTACGCCTTCCCCTCCTTCTCCGTCGTCGAGTGGTGCGAGTTGGGGCAAGTGAATTCCTAGAAGAACGAGAGGACGAAGAGGACGAAGATGAGCTGGACGACGACGAGCGAGAAGAATTGCGGGCCCATCGAGAAATGGCAAGCTCCACGACTGCAGCAAGTGCCCCAAGACGTCCGCCAGCGAACGAGGACGAGGAGGAGGAGGATACCGAGGATATGGACTGCACATCTTCAGTCGTTGCGCGATGGCGAGATGGTGGTCGTCCTCGATAGATGTCGCTGTCGTCCTCGACGTCTGGCTCGCTCTGGAGAAACGTGCCAGGCTGTAGTGACAACATGTAAAAGTATGGATGGCTGCGCTGTCAATGGGTATACGACAAACTGCAAGGCTTATAGAACAACTGGTAGTAGGTCGGAGTGTCGCAGTTTAAGTTGCCAAATATGGAAAAGTCCACTATACCTAAGCAAAACTACAGCGCTACAGCAGGCTACAGCTGCAGTAAGTACGAGTACAACAGAAAATATATAAAATACGATATTATGTACAAAGCGACATTCTAGCCATAAATACATACTCCATCTATCTTGCACCTCCTTCCTACACATACATTGTATCTTAATAACCATCTTCACCGCACACCACCTATTCATACATTAGAATAAATATTTTCCCTTCTCTTACGCTCAGTATTACAGCTCCCTGCGACTGATCAATGTTTATCGTCTCCACACTGTCAAGGTCCAGTTCGTCCGGAATATCCAGTGTGCGCACAACACCAGTGCTTGCAGAGTCCTGGCCACCACTTCGATGCGTAGACGCCAATGGTGTAGTCGACGACGAACCACGATCCCTCTTCGCGCAATATGACGATTCTTTCGAAGATCCAACAGCGGGGAAGGTTACGAATCGAAGACATTTCGTCTGCTTTTTCTTCCCCTTGCCCTTTTTGGCGCCAACTCGCTCTTTTCCTTTTCCATTCGGCTTTCCATTTCTCTTTTCCACCACGTTACTAATCCTCGCCTGTATGTCTAGCTCCCCCTCTTCACTGTCTTCATACCCGGTCTCTTCACCCACTTTCGCTCCGCAAAACTCTCTCTGCCCGCAAGCATGGCGTTCACCACAATGCTCTACCCACACTGCATGCCCAAAATCAACAGCTACCAGTGGGCGGGGCCGCTCGTTCACCCCGTGGATATCCGACTCATCGTCATCATCTCCTCCATCTGCATTTATGTCGTCACCGGCTGTCTGTATACCTACACCATTGTTAGCCTTTCCTTCCAATTGATCGCCGTTGGTTATGTCGAACGCACCATTTTGCGCCAGACCATCATGTGCAGGAGCGGCAGTCTCATCATTTTTCCCCTCACTCGTCCCATTTTCCTCTGTTCTATCCAATACACAAACGACTTCAAACGGAGTGCTGACATACCACAACTTGAGCATATCGTCTTCTTCGTTTGCCTCTCTGTGCTCATGCACGCCGCTTTCTCCCGTGCTTCCTTCTTGCTCTCCTTCCACACTCTGACCTGTAACGGGCACACCAAAATAGTGCTGCGCGAGCACAAACCTTGTTCTATGATTTATGGGATTGTGTGCAGCAAGTAAAACGACTGTGCAACTCATTCTCCGAACTCCTGGCAGTGTAGGCCACCACTGGCGCACAAAGTGGGCTGATTCGGGGTAGTAAGGTGGAAATGGATACGGATTGGGATTGAGCTCTGAAGGTGCCTCAGGCGTCTGGGTACTGGAATCGGAGGGGGCAGTTTCCGACGTTTGGGTGGAGGTCGAAGCAAAAGGAGGAGTTTCGTGTTGATACACATTCTGTGTGGGATCGGAGGGCGTCAAGCCTGCAAGCTGAAGTTGAATATGTTGGTAAATTTCGTTATCAGTGAGGTTGATGGGTCCCACATTCCCAAATTGAAATTCGTGTTGGTGTTGTTGCTCTTCGTGAGTGTGATGGTGGATGGGTGTCTGCACTGAGCTGGGCGACATGACGGTCATGACAGCTCCTTGCTCCCTGTCCTCCCTGCTGCTGCCGTTTGAAGCTGGATGATGGCCTTCATCACTTCCATCGTGGTCTTCACGTGCCTCAGCCACCCACCCGCCAGGACCAGTGGCCTCTTCACCTCCACCCTCAATCGACCGAAATGATGAGTAAAATACGGCTTCTTGGACTTCATCTTCCTCATTTTCCTCTCCACCAGGTACATCTAAACCAGTCCCATCTTGCCCAAAAAGACTCTCCTCCCCTCTTACGTCAAGATTGTGTCCATCAACAATGGTCTCATATCCACCTTGCAGATCCTCGGCCACGAATTCGACTTCATCATGTTGTTGCCCCGGATACCCAATTATATCTGCATCAGCGACGTGATCTGATTGACCTGGGTGCAACAGCGTGATTTCATCGGGTTGAAAAGTAGTAGCATGCGGGGCGATAAGGTCTGACATGATGTATTCGTGCTGGTGACCGGGAACAAGAACGCCATGGGGGAAGTGGCCGTGTTGTTCTACATGACCATGACCGCCACCAACACCTGGAAACCTAAACTTCCTTTTGACCGTACGCTCAGGTAAAAGACGGGTCGCAATAGATGGAGGAGCTCGACGGCGGGGCGGTATTCTCGGATTTGCATTTTGCTTTGACTTGTCCCAGCGGTCACGTGCGTCGTCCTGTACTCCATCGTGCAATTCGTTGTCTATGCTTTCATCTCCTCCAGTTACGTTTATACCACATCTACTGCATGCGCTTCCGGCAGACTCTCCCAGCTCGCCGTACGGCTTCACAAGCGTTTGCAATAACTCGAGGGGATAAAAGTGTTGATAGGCGGCATCGCTTTCTTCGCAATGGATGACAATTTGGTTTTCGTGGAGGATGCAGGACCAGTTCGAGGAAATTAGCTATGAAAAACAACACGTCAGTGAGCCTTTCAGTGTATGCCAAGACTAAAAATATAAAGATTGTGAAATTTTCAGCCCAATTGCAAAGCGTGAATATGGTATCTTTTTTTTATCAATCAAAAAATGGAGAAATAGAACTATGATCCCCGATCGAAGTACTCACACAAACAACTCCTGTATCGACAAAGACATACTCGTCCTTTGCCCAATCAAGGAGGACGTACAGCCCGATGGTGTTAGATGCAGAGACCCATACAAAGGCCGAAAGGAGGCGGTTGGGGGGATCAAGCAAAAATACATTCATGACTACACCAGTGGTTGGAAACGCGGATAAATAACTGAAGACGGGAGCAGAAGGGGGTGGGGCGGGGTGAGAGGGGTTGGTAGTCGACAAGGTGACTGGATCCTCGGGAAAGTGAAGAGACATGAGGATGAACTCCATGATTCGTCCGTCGTCGTAACTGAAATATGTCAGAAGGCAGGAAGAAATATCAGATGCTGAATACTCACGATCCGCTGATGAGCTTTGCCATCGTAAAGTAAACGGTTCTTTCCTCAAATTCGACCCTACATTTCCAGAGTTCCCACTTTTCGCCAGGGTTCCACTCTGCAAGGCAAACATCTCTCTGTACATCCCAGCACACGACTTTACCGCTCTTTGTGGCACAAAGGGTATAACTTGAAGTGATGGGGGACAGCCAGTCCACTTCCTCACCTGGTGGTGCTCTGATGACCTTGTACCATTTCTGATTTGAAGGTACATTGATTGGATGGGGTGCACGGACCCGCCAAGCTCGCTCGAAACGATAAGCCCTATTGACAGACTGAATGAGCTGTTGTGTGGGGAGATCGGATAGCTTTTGGAATCCTTTGAGTGGGAGTGGGCGTGAGCGAGAAAGGAGAATATTTGCGATATCGCGGTAGACAGGCCTAGTATTTGTGAAGTCATGCAGAGATTTGCTTGTCTATCGTATGAAGAGATGAGATGCGGGTATTTGACGGCGGAAAGAAAGAGATACGCACCAACTGGAGGGCGTAGACATCGCGAATATCGAGATACTGAGATATATTAAACAGGAGATCGTAGGGAAGAGTATGTAGAGGCATCGTCGTTGGCGTTGTGCTCGTGTGTCTTGTCGCTGTTGGGGACAACGAGCTCGCGATGTGGGAACTTGGAAATCACATCAGATTAAAGCACACGCGGACGGTGGCTGATAGCAATGACGTGCTGTCACAGAGTCACGTCACATTCTGCATCTCGGCAATGTGACTAAGCGTGATGATGGTTTGAGCTAGCGCGGCGATTCCAGACTACGAATTCGCCACATTGTACTACTAGTAGTACACCATGGACACGAAAGGAAAGAAAGCAGACTAGAGGGATAATTCACATAGATATCCGTTCTCCTAATCCAAGGGGATGCTGACGAGTCACCTGTCGCTTTAGGTGCTATAGGCGCCCACTGGCAGCATATTAAAGTAACGTTAGGGGAGTCGCAGACCATGCTACGACGTGGTACACTAGCAGACGATAAACTTTCGCCTTTCGCCGCACGATGGATCCCTTCAGCCTCAGCCTCAGCTTCAGCGCAGCATGGATTCTCTCTGGAACATTGTTGGCATCGGTGATCCTCAAGATTGTGGTCAACAAATATGTGTCTCTTCAGAGGGCCTTCAAAGTGATATCGTACGTCCTCAGCTCATTTTTGTATATTTGAATTCAAGGACATGAATTCATGACTCTGTCAAACCGAGATGCCGGGTCTGAAGGATTTACAGCCGCTTTTATTTCAATAAAATATTCTGAGCTACTATCTAAAACAATTGTCTTGTAGTGAATACCCAGGGCGTCGTCTCCTTTGGCTTGACCCACTCTATCCCTTGGCCGTCGTTCTCGCGCCTGTCTTTCCACGACCAGGCAGCGTAGGACATATTCAAGGCAAATTATCGCGTAAGTGCTTTACGATAACCAAGTGTATTATTATTTTCATACTTTCATCTTATAGTGTACAGGCAGTTTGGCAGTACTGCATTTGCTTCCGTGAAATTTTCCAACTCCCAGCCATATTTCTGGTTCGCAGATATGGATGCAATCAAAGCAATAACCTCCGATCGCGTCACATTCCGCAAGGATGCTGTCTCAGTAAGTTATTTTTCCACAATACTTAGAATTCATGGCTTATCCAATCACAGTATGAACCTCTTAATTACTATGGCAAGAACATTATCAGCACGGAAATGAGCGAATGGAAACGACATCGTGCTATCGCTGCTCCAGCGTTTAGTGAGGTGCGTGCGGCTGAGGATCTTCGCTTGCTTGTTCGCTCTAATTCATCGGTTTCTACCTACCAGGCCAACAATGCTTTAGTTTGGACTGAAACCCTTAGAATAATTACCGACTGGTTCAATCAACTCGACGCCACCCAACGTACTGAGAAATCTGCTTCCAATAACGCGTTTTCAGACCTCGCTATCGAGGTGGTATCACCCATGGTACAGGTACGATCATTCAAATGGTTTATTCGCCTGATTCCCAGTTTCATATTTCTAGGCTACCCTCCTCATTACCTCTGCTGCTGGGTTCGGGAGGCGAGTTTCTTGGGAAGATGACTCCGCTGCGCCCGCTTCCGGTTATACTCTAACTCTTCGTTCGGCTGTGATAACTGCAGTTGAAAATTTTTTCTTCAGAATGCTCACTCCAGATTGGTTTCCTGCGATTTCGTCTATTGTAAAAGTTCCTTTTCTTTCAGCACGCGTTCATGCAACTCAGCAGGCCTTCGAAGAGCTGGGACGTTACATGTTGGAACTTGTGTCGTCGGCTCGCGCATCTGTCGTCGAAGGGAGGTCTTCAGCATCAAGTGCTGCTCTTTTGCACAATCTTGTTGAAGCAAACACGTCGCCTGAGGGTGGCAGCAAATGTTTGTCTGATGGCGAGCTTCTTTCCAATATATTTGTAAGTATGTATTGCAACCTCTTTTTCAAACATATTCCTTTGATTTTCGCTGTCATTTAGAGCTTTCTCCTCGCTGGACATGGTAACTTTATTCCTCCTTGGCAATGTATATTTCTGGCTTACGTCTCTTTTGTTAGAAACGTCCGCTCACAGCTTGGGGTTTGCCATCAGTCTACTGGCATTGCATCCAGAAGCGCAAAGCAAGATGTATGCAGAAGTGCGCAAGGTTTGGCCAGAAGGAAGTGGTACAGTTGGTTCTTCTTCAGTGAGCTTCGACTAGTATGATATCCAAGTATATTTACTTGACCAACCTCCATCACAGTCCTACAAGCAAGATTTCACCCGGCTGGTCAGTCATTTCCTCTGTAGCGCAACTTTGCTAAACTCAGACCCTTCTTCTCTCAGCCATACACTTTGGCATTCTTCCGTGAAACACTGCGTTTATTTCCCGCAGCAATATGGTTATCGAAACTTGTATATGCTGATGCCGTGCTTCCTGCACAACACTTTACTGTGGGAGAGAAGGGTACCCTCACTCCTGGCAAGCCTTTTTCAGTGGCAGTGCCAGCCGGTAGTGTTGTAATACTTGATATATGGAGCTTACATATGAATCGTGAGACTGCACCTTTATAACCTACGCCATGACAGCCTTATTAACCACCATTATAGCATTATATTGGGGTGATGATGTCGAGGATTTCAAGCCTGAGCGATTCATTGATTCGGACACATATCGCTGGCCACGGGATGCATGTATGAACTTCTTTCCCTACTTCTTTTCCCCTTTCTCTCAGTGACTGACCTCTAATTTGCATAGTCTTATCATTTTCGGCTGGCCCTCGTGCTTGCATTGGCCAAAGATTTGCTTATACCGAAAGTGTTTGCATCCTCGCCAGCCTCGTTGATCGATATGAAGTGCTCTTACCAGAGAACCTGATGCACAAACCGTTTGAGGAGCAGAAGGAAAAAATGCTGAAATGGACACACAGCATCACTTTGATTCCAACCAACGCCAATGTCAGACTCCGTCGGAGGACATGATGTAAAATAGTCAAGTCATCATATGCAAACCGTGCTGCTCCACGTGTTTGGAACTCCAACCTTGAACAAACGGCCACCATACGTCTGAGCTGAAGTCTTGCTGAGTTCGAAGCTGAACAGACGTGTTAATGAGCTGAGTGTACCATTTAATGTGTAAATATTTCAGTTGGACGCATATGCTTTGGCATCCAAGATTTCAAGGCGCGGCATTAATCTATTTCCTATACTTTCTAACTCAAACGTGCTTTTGTTTCATATCTAATGGATAGGTTTATTAGTACCGGCCCAACATAGCGACCTGCAAAGGAAAACATAGCTGTCTTACAATGAAATTCAATGAAGAGTGTAGCGAACAAGTTCCCATTTCCAGCTCTTACTAATTTACGCTTGCTCTCACGCTCTCAGAATCCACATATGCACCAGCACCTCCATCAAGTTCAAGCAGCTATGTCCAGCAGCTCCAGTGCCTCAGATGTCTCCTCCATCCTCCAGCCTCTTACGATCGGTCAACTTATCTTGCGCAATAGGATCACCATGGCCGCGCTAACACGCTCCCGGTCTGTCCCTACTAATGTCCCTAATGACATCAACCTAGAATATTACGTCCAACGCGCTCGTGGTGGTACAGGTCTTATCGTATCAGAGGGTACCTTGATTGTCCAACAAGGGTATGTGTCATCTTGGTCTTGTCTCTTTCAGAACACTTGAAATGTCGGATTTGTTGAATAGAACTGAATGGCAAAACGCCCCTGGACTTTGGAGCAATGAACAGGTGTTGGCATGGAAGAAGATTACCGATGCGGTGCATGCAGAGGGTGGACTTATATTCGCTCAGGTAAAACCTACTCTGTCATCTCTTTTGTTGATTATTTGTAAGGATCATATCAGTGATATCATTTTGCTGTTAGCTCTGGCATCGTATGTCGCACAAATTATTTGTCTTCTCGTCTGACTAGAATTCCATGCAAAGTGGGACGGTCCTGTCATCCTGATGCTCCCGAGCAACTGGCTTCTGGAAAAGTGAGTGGGGCTAGTATCCTGACTTGATCTTGAAGGTAATTTGAGATGTAGCCTGTGTACGCACCTTCTGCTGTTGCTGCGCGTGGTGGTAAGTTTCGGTTCCTTCCCGGAGAGCCTGGATTTGTCACTGTAAGTTGGTTGCTTGACTCCTGGACATTCCTCCTGATAATTAGTATCGACGTACATGATGCTTGGTGTTGAATGTTGTTCTTATTGAATGTTTGTTTCTCATCATCGCTAGCCTACCGCAATAGACGATCCTCGCGTCCAGATTGAGGAGTTCAAGCAAGCAGCAATCCACGCCAGAGAAGCAGGCTTTGACGGTGTTGAATGTCTGTATTAACTCACATATCATTGTTTTTTTTGCTGATCTTTGCAATGTAATATTTGCTTATTAGTGCATGGAGCTGGTGGTTATCTGGTCCACCAATTCCTGGACTCTACCTCGAATATCCGTACGGACTCTTGGGGGGGATCGATAGAAAACCGATGTCGATTTGGTCTTGAAGCACTCAAGGAGCTCGTTTCTATTTGGGGTAACAAAAAGGTTGCTGTCAAATTAGATCCCTCCGGGGGATATAATGATATGGGGTGAGTGTTCGAGGTACACTCTCATATTCAATGGCCTGTCAAAATACGTTGATTTGCCTACAGCATGCCTCTGCAAGAGACACTCGACACATTTCGTTACTTCATCACAGAAGCAGACAAGTTGGACTTGGCATACATCTCTCTTGTACGGTACACGCCAGGCCGGGATGTAATGTACGACGGTATGTTTCATCTGGGATGTGCCACATACACCATATGGTTTACATTGACTTACAGGAAAGCTTCGCAACACGCCGCACGACGTTCTCGCCTCGTATCGTCCATTTATCAAGCGATCTGCACTGTTTCTGAATGGTGGACTCACTCCGAGTGAAGCTGCGACGCTTGTAGCGTCTGGCCAGATCGACGCTGCTGTGTTTGGGAGATTGTTCATTGGCCACCCCGATATTGCGAAGAGACTGGAGAGGGGGTTGCCGCTGGACGCAAAGATGGATTATACGAGGTTTTATGGTCATGGGCCACACCTTAGCGTGGAAGAGCAGAGAAGAGGATATAGTGACTATTCTGAAGTTACTTTGTAAGTAAATACGTACACCTTTTCACGTCATTTTTTTATTTGGCAATACGTTCCCGCGCGCATGTGTTCCTGCGGCGCAAGTACAAAGATGGCTGACCAACGTTCAGAGTTATTCATCCCCATAAGTTCATCATCCTCCATAAGTCCATCATCGTCGCTCGCCATTGCTCGTAGTCAGCGTCTATCAGGCCAGGACTGGTCCAGAGTTCATCAAATTTGATAACAAAGTCAATGTAAACCGTAATTGCCATGGCTTATGGCTGTGAGCTTTTTCCTTACAAGGGAAGAGCTATCTACAAGGTCCTGGGTTAGGGAAGAAAGTCCCTCGTTTGTTTCGCTCGCCATCCTCGCGTTTCGTTTCGTGTTGCTCAGTCAGCAGCTACTGTAGTATAACATCTTTCTACTCAGCAGTTTAGTCATCCAAAGGAAGCGTCCCCTCATTTACAGCATCTCTCACCATCCTGTCCCCGATTAGTGGGCTCAAAATGTATTTAGGCGACTCACTAGAGCTCGTTCAATCAAACCAAATTCCCCAGCATCGATTCTGAAAGTCCAACGAAGTACAATGTCAACCACAACCTCTCACTCTGCTCTTTTGAGTCCCCTCACGATCGGTCCTCTTACCCTTCGTAACAGGGTTATCATGGCTGCACTCACCCGCTCTCGCTCGGCTCCTACCAACGTTCCCAACGAAGTCAACGTTGAGTATTACGCTCAGCGTGCGCATGGAGGCACGGGCTTGATCGTTACAGAGGGCGTGCTTATCGAACAACAAGGGTAAGTTTCATCTGGTTCGTCGTTCGCCTGGAAGGTCTCATCGTATTATGACAGCACGGAATGGCGGAACGTGCCTGGTATCTGGAGCCAAGAGCAAGTAGCCGCCTGGAAGAAGATCACCTCTGCGGTTCACGATGAAGGCGGTCTTATTTTTGCACAGGTATGTCATTTATTGTGTTGCATTCACTTCCTATTGTTCTTACTCTAATGCGGTTTATAGCTGTGGCATCGTAAGCTCTTCCTTGCTATTTTAGTTTCTTGTCTGAGTCTGTTTTTTTTGATCAGTTGGACGTCTCTCGCACCCTGATGCTCCTGAGCAGAAAGCTGCTGGAAAGCCTGTATACGCTCCATCCGCCATTGCTGCGCGAGGTGGCAAGTTCCGATTCATCCCTGGTGAACCTGGAAACGTCACAGTAAGCGCTTTCATCATAATTAAACCCTGCAAGCCTCTAACCAGATTGTTCATTTTTTTCTTCTTCACTAGCCCACTGCTATCGATGATCCCCGAGTCGTGATTGAACAGTATAAGAAAGCAGCTATCAATGCCAAAGAAGCTGGCTTTGACGGTGTTGAACGTAAGTGATCCAACAAGGAGTTTTCCCTTTTGGGTTCGTTTCTGAAATCATATTTTCGCGAAGTGCACGGCGCCAACGGTTATCTCGTCCATCAGTTCCTGGACTCTACTTCTAATCTTCGCACGGATTCATGGGGTGGCTCTGTTGAAAACCGCTCTCGTTTCGGTCTCGAAATCCTCAAAGAACTTGTATCCGTTTTTGGAAACAAGAGAGTTGGCATCAAATTAAGCCCTGTTGGCGGACCTAACGACGTGGGGTAAGGAAACTCTCTTAATTTGGAGTTCACCAGGTGCTGATTGTATGTTTATTTAGTATGCCGTTACAGGATACCCTCGACACTTTCAACTATTTCATCTCTGAAGCGGACAAATTGGATTTGGCATACATCTGCCTCATGAGATACCTCGCTACTATGGACCCGAAGTTCGATGGTAAATCCCATACATGGTTTTACTTCCGCACGAACTCATTCACTTTCACCCCTTCAGGTAAGAATCGTGCTACTCAACATGACGTACTTGCATCCTACCGCCAAGCTATCAAGAAGTCACCTTTGATTCTGAATGCTGGCCTCACTCCCGACGAGGCGGAAGCTCTCATCTCGTCCAAGCAAATTGACGCTGCTGTGTTTGGAATGCTATTTATCAGCCACCCTGATGTACCAAAACGAATCGCCCACGGCATCCCTCTCGATACGCAAGTTAATTTTACGACGTTGTACAGTGCTGGACCTCAGGCAACTTTAGAGGAGTTGAGGAAAGGGTATACCGATTACCCGGCGGTTACTTACAATAACTAGGTCTCTTTTAAGATAAGTCGTCGTCTCTGATGACTCTCAATTGATATTTCGTTTTCTGCGATGTCCTATCTCATGGTTATAACCGTCTCAGAATCAACCCTTGCCAGTTCTCCCAACGGATTTGGTCCGATAAGACACTATAGATTAAAATTGGCTACTTTTATCAGCAAGTCAAGAAAATCCGGCACGCCGGTATCAAGGACAAACCGATACTAGTACACTACTATATCATGTGAGAGACCATACACCCATTCGAAGATCTCATCCTCCTCTTATCAGAAGATGGCCGCTATACTCGCATCTTCCGAGTCTCAGACACCTCTTCACCCCTCTGGACTCGCTGCAAGTTATTTCCCTCGTCTCCAGCTCTTTCTTGGTGAAATAGGGTATCGTCATGGGGCCCCTCCTCATCCCAATCTTGTTTTCCTTCAGTCCTTCCATGAGTGGTTCCATTCCACTTTAGGTCCCATCTTAGGCTGGAATGCTGAAAAATTGGACAACATCGAATGTGCCACTGCAAGTTTTGGCGAAAGAGCTTACCCCTTCACAGGCACAGAAATGTGTCTGTTGATAGCAAAAATGACGGCCACAGCCATGGCCATCGATGACTTGGTGGATGACGACAACTTTTATGCCGAGATGCTGAGATTCACACACAGGATCTATGTTGGCGAAGCTCAACCACACGCCTTGCTCACTATTCATCAAGAATTAATAAAAGAGATGGCTAATGCATATACTAGTACATCTGATGGAGATGCAATACTTACCGGAATCGCAGCAGCATCTTGGACCGGATTCATTGATGGTTGCTTGGTAGAAAAGAGGATGATGAGGGGTGTCAAGCCAGAGGCTGTCTCGTCACATTATCAATGTTTTCCGGAGCGCTCGGATGACCTCAAGCATGTACATATCGAGCAAAATCAAGTTCCTTTTCTCATGGAAGGGAGCGCCATTGAGTTGTACGTTTTTACCGTTGTACTTAATCACAGGAGGTGATGAAATGATTTAACTACTTGTTTAGCCCAGCGTACCTCCGCAGCAAAACTGGTGCAGGCGAGGCGTATGCTGTTGCCGTTTTTAAAGCCAAGAGATGTCAGATTTTACCATTGGAAAAAGTCCTCAAAGCCTTACCTGATATTGCACTATTTATTGTGAGCACTGATCTATGCCGCTGATAGCCTATGGCTTATTTGTACCTTTGATATTGCAGTGTTTCACGAACGATATCATGTCTTTCCACAAAGAGCAACTCGCCGGTGAAAGATGCAATACGATTCACCTCCGCACTCGGGCTATCCAATCTGCCTCTTCGCACAACGATGGGGGCTCATCCGGGACGTGGTCGCTGATGGACACGTTCAACCTCGTGTGCAACGAAGTAAGGGATGCCACACTTCGCGTTGATGCATTGTTGCGCGTGGAGGAGATTGAAAGAAGTATAAACCAAAAAGGTGTCAGAGGTACCTATTCTGACATGGATATAGCCCTTGCGAAGCAATGGAGGGAATTCAGGGATGGATATATCTCCTGGCACCTTGAGTCCAGGAGATACAAGCTGGAATGTTTAAGGCCTAGCGACTTCTATCAGCAAGCGTAGAACCAATATTTGATACCGCAGGATAAAGGCACTATATGCTTATAGATTTCAGAGGAAACAAGGGCGCACAGACTCTGTTTCCGTGTTTGTTTTATGTCTTTACAGCTTTTTTATCTACTGTATGGCTACAATTCCGTAGTGATATATAAACCATTTCATGATTTCAGCAGCTGTTGGCACGCTTAATGAATCACAAAAGCACACTGATTAACCTCCTTCAAGCGCTTCTTGTATAAATGCCACAAGGACTTTCATGTTGCGGCGTCTGATTGTGAGGGGGGCTATCAAGAACCCGGGCCTTGAGAGCTGCTTTGAGGCATTGCCGGGTCGGAGGCATTCAAAGCAGACAAGAGATGGATGTCTGGAAGGCCGACAGTGCTCTGTCTCTTAGCACATTCACGTTCCTCCTCCGCGGTGCGTTGTTTTCCCTTCTCCTGCTCTTCTTTCTCTTGTCTCAGACGTTCCCTGCCCTCAATTCGAAAAAAATCAGAACACAGAAAACGAAAACGAAAGCGAAAACGAAAACGAAAAAAAAAAAAAAAAAAAAAGGTGGCCTGGATGAGAAAGCGACGTACGCAAAGACGAAAGACGATCTACTTCCATATTCATATCCATATGGCATCTTTTCTCTCATTACCCATAACTACGTCGTCGATCTAGCTATAGCCGAGCAAAAGAGCCCTTCAAGTGGCAAACCTTGTGGCCGAGCATCGCGGAGATTCAAATATTTCTTTCAGCTTGGGCTGCTTCCAACACCTGTGGGCACATTGCAAAATAAAATGTATGTTGTCGGTACCGTATCCCATATCCCACATAATGCAATGATACACCCTCCTTCAAGCTTCCAGTTCATTAACGTTCATTACTCTCACCCCCGAGCACTAAACATGTTATATGCATCTGGAAGGATCCCGTTCGAACCCCTATAGCTCACCCTCGCGCGCCCCATCATCACCATATTCTCTATCCGACCAGTCCTCATTATTTTATGGGAAAATGGCACTAATGATTATTTTCCGTATAAACGTCCAAGAAATCCATCACTCCCATACCCATATCCGGCACTATGCCAAGTGAACACCCCTCACACACACTCGGTTTCGAGTTTTTCCAAGCAAGAAAAAACGGAGGACAAGAACAAGAAAGAGAGGAAGGCGAGACAATAGGATGAATTGATGAACATGATGAACGCCCACGCCCGCGGCCAACTCAGTGCGGCGCCTCCACGATCCCCAACCGCCTGTTTCTCCCCTCTATGATCCACGTACTGACCGCCACCGTGAGCATGCTGATCAACAACCACCCGATCAGGACTGGGACGTTGGTCGATAGATGCGATTTTGTGTCGAACACGATGGTGCGGAAGGCCTGAGAGGCGTTGCTGTACAGATTCATGGGGTAAGTTGAGGAAAAGGCACAACATGAATGCGTGGGACGCACAAAAATGGGAAACCTCTGCCGTAGCGGAAGACGCCTGGCTGGATCTCGAGAGGGGTCGAGGTGATGGACACGTTCGAGATGATCTGCCACAAATCCGCATTCCGAGTCAGCCACCCTTCAACGCAAACGCTGCATCCTTCATCTCGAGAACAACAGTACTCACGAGCGTCACCAAGAAGAAGGGCGCAAACCGTATAGTCAGCGCCCCAATTGCGAATTCCGTCGCCATCCCCACTCCGCCCATGATAATGTAACACAAGATCCAAAATAGCCCAAAACCCTGCGCTTCTGTGTATTTGGCGTTGAAAGGGACGCGGAAGGCGAGTGAGATGGTGGCGAACGATAATGAGAGTGGGATGTACGCTAGGAGAGGGGTGAAGACGCGTAAGAGGACGTAAGAGGAGAGGGAGAGGTGGGGGGAGAGCATGGGGCGGAGTGCGCTGTTGGCCATCGTCTAAGACAATAATCAGTCACAATCAGTGTTAGTGGAAGGGTTGAGATGGGAGAAAGGCTGGGACGGACCAGGATGAAGGAAAAGATGACGATGAGAATCAAACCGACTTCTGTCAGAGCGAGGACCACGGGTGTGGTATACGGACGGACATTGATTAGGTTGAAAGTGAGGCCGGCGGTAGAGCCTTGCCTGGCGAGTGCGGCGGAAAAAGCTTGAATTTCTGTCTGATTATTCGCATTTGAGGCGAGGAACTGAGAGGTGAGGTTGGAGTAGAGACTTGCGGTGACAGGGACGAGAACGGAATTAAGGATAGGTACGATATAGGTGGATGCGGCGATTTCGTTCCTGGCTTCATTGTAATAGACGTTTATGACTGGGCTATTCTGGGATGAGGAGCTGGTGAAAGAGGAGATTACGGAGTTGGTGGCGGCCGCTTGGACTATGGGAGTACCGAGTGAGTGGGTTGAGAGCGAGGAAGAGAGAGTGGACTTACTGAGGACAGCGGCCCAAGCTTGTTCGTCCGCGATAGCGTCAAAAACGTCGTCATTTGTGGGGAGCGAGGTATCGTTGCTTGGGAGGATGGTCCACCCCAGAGTCGATACGGTACCCCGCTGGTTTATGGCTTGCTGTACTGCGGCTACGACGCCGTTTCCAACAGTGGACTGGTCGTGGTCGATAACGAAAACTTGTAGATGATCGGATAGCTGGGTGTTGTATGCAAGGGATGCCCAGTATATGGGGAGAAGAGCCCACATAAGGATGATGAGGAGAGCTGCATAGACGAAGTAGAAGGTGAAGTACTGCTTGCGGTGCTGAGCGATGGCGGGATGAAAGAGGGGGTAGGGTCTGGGTTTTGAGAGGGGGATGTGCATATCTTTAGCTTCGGTGGGGCTGTCGAATGCCAGAGAGGACTGGAGGAGGTGGGATTGTGAGAAGACATGTTTATTACGCATGTCCTCGAGCTGGAGCTCGTCCGGGAAGGTGTCCGTGGACATTGCTTGTTGCATCATGATTGGGAGGCGGGTGTTCAGAAGAGAGGTAGGAGCATGGACTGATTGGTCTACAGTCTGTCACGGTGAGGATTCATGAGCTGACATGGATGCGCTCTGACCTAGCACCGCCGAGCGCACGTGGGGATCATTGAGATTCTTTGCTCTATAGTTCTGCCAACGTGTAAGTAAGGCAATGCCGTTACCAAATGGAACATACGTACCAGTCTGATCGAGATCATGTCGCACCATCTCTTTGTCAGCAGCTGCTCTAACTTGGCAGACACTTTGCTGGCTGGTTCACATGTCACGTCGACCGCCGATGGACACTTTTGGACATGGTCAGATACGCCTACTTCGGCCGCCACTTATGGTAATCACCAGTACCGGTCCTTATCATGGTACTATTCGCATCAGCTCCGTCCAAACCACCATCATGTCCACCTGTAGTTCAGTGAGCAAATCTCTTGATTCACCCTCTTCTATCTCTCATCATGTCTCCTAGGAACCCGAGATATTTACCACCGTCCTCACCGTCGGTCTCACCTCCATGCTCCTCCTTTCATTCGGCTCTCAGGTGTGTTTCATCCCAACCCTCTATCTACCTACTACACCCAGCCATATACCCATCCATCAATCATTACTGCAATTGCACTAGCACTACAAAATCATATCTACAAACCTGTCTCTGGGTTTCAGCCCATGGTTCTTACTACTAGGTGCTGTGTCCTCCACCGGCACACTACTAGACATGTCAGTCCACTCTGCACAGCCTCTTCACTTCCACTGACTTCAATCATCTCTCACTGCTTTAGTTGGATGCTCCAATGGGACATCGTCAAGTGTTGTAAGCAAGTCGTAAGCCCATCTCCCTATCTTCTCCTTATCTCTCACACCCTTCATTCTCCATGTCAGAGCGCAGGCGTTTGCATCACGTCGCTCGGCGGCGTCTTTCAAGTATCATTGCAATGGCTGCTATTTAATATCACGTTCGCATTCATCTCTCATACTAACCTTTGCAAGAACTCATCTTGATCCGAAAGTTTCGTCCTATTTCTCATTTACTACCCGTCCGATATGAAATACGTCAAAGTCGATGACTCGGAAGCACATGGAGATCTCATCGTCCACTCTACCCTCGTCAAATCTTTAGACTGGCGCCATTCCATCCTCTGTGCATGGCTCACCGTCGCGCATTTGTCAGTCCTCAGCCTCCATCTTACGTCTTTCACCACACTGATCTCATCTGCCAAAAAAACAACAGCATCGTCTCCCTTATTTACACCGCATACCTCATCACTACCTCTCATGCCAGTCCAGAAACTACCTCCCCACCACCCCAAATAGCCGCATGGGCTGCATTCCTCGGTATCTCCTCAGCCGGGGCGGCCATTTTGCAATACCTCCCTCAGCTGTGGAGAACATGGTCTTTCGGGTTTGTCGGTGCGATCAGCATTGCAATGTACTGTTTTCAGGTTCCTGCTGCGGCCGTTATGGTCGTATCAATCGCTCTTCGGTGAGTCATCTTACTTGCGAAAAAGGAGGTCTTCGAGTGCTGATATGGGTCCTTATCGTAGCGAGGGAACAGATTGGACAAGTACGGTGTCTGCAGCGTTTCTAGTGTGTGCAAGACGCTGACAGTGATCTACTTAGGTTGGGCGATGTACGCCGCCTCGGGAACTATGGCTAGCGTACTCCTATTAATGTGCTTTGCGTGGAAAGTGCGTCAAGCCCGACTTGGAGTCGACGATTTCGGGAGGCCGGTCACTAAAGCTGGAGATCCCATCGAAGATGATGACGCAGCAGACGTCGCGTTTGAGAGAAGCGCTGATGTCGTCGACGAACAGACGCCTCTACTGGATGCTGCCCCCGCCTCCGAAGAGGGCGGGCATGCGCAGAAAGGGCCGTTGGCGGGGTGGTGGGGCAAGAAGTGAGAAATGACGGCTTGTCACACCACTTTGAGGATGTGCTCTGCGGGAGGGGGGCGTGACGGATCTATTTGGTCTTTCAAGCTGCCTGTCCCTGTCATTGTTTAAAATCTTATCTGCTTGTTTTGTCGCGATCCAAACTCAAATAGATGGGTTTGTGGGTATACCTGACTGACGTTGATAGTCGCAGGCGACGTGTGACATGTTTAATAAATAAATAAGAATAAGAATCATGATTTGGTAGGTTGGACGTGAGCGACAATCTGATCTGGTGCCATCAGGAGAACAGCATCCTGGTACTGACAGCTGACTGCGTCAGCGACTTTGTTAGGCAAAGTCAAGTTCGCGCCGTTCCCATCATGCCATGCGATCCTTCCGACAGCACCCAGTCTACATTCCAAAAAGACTACCTGTGCGATAGATCATACGTGACGGTTTGAAATCTTTGTAAACCGAAGCATATAATTAACACATTCCATTGAAATAGTGAAACCAGCTGCATGCGCAGTGCTCTGTATAGTACAGACTATAAATACTGGGTATATCGTCCAAAAAAGAATGACATCCCACTTCTTTTTCAGATCAAAGGTTACACTATATAGATTACGAAAGTCGGGAAATTCGGGGAATGTCGATTCTAGTTTAGGCAAGGGGCGGGACGCAGGAGGGGGTGGTCAGAACAGATCCGACTCCTGCACACCGAGCGTCTCCGCCCGAGCGTCCAACACGCTGCGGACGTTGTCGTGCCGCGGGGAGAGGCGGATGCGGAAGGGCAAGGGCGTGCGCCCCGAGTTGCCTTCGTACTCGTCGAGGCTGATGGGCTCGCCGGGGACGGATTGGATGGTGAAGGCCCATAAGAGCCGCGAGATGGCGAGGAAGATCTCTTTTTCGGCGACGGGCATGCCGGGGCAGATGCGTCGGCTGGTGAAGAGGATGCCATATGAGTATGAGTATGAGTGTAGGGGTGTGGAGATGCGAAAATGAAACAGTGTGGTTTCGCATGGGATGAAATGGGAAAACTAAAACTTGAACTGGCACTTACCCAGCTCCGAAAGCCCAATGGTCCCTATCCATAGCATTGGGAAGCTTGGAAGACTCAGTGCTGGAATAGTCATCACCCATGAACCGATCCGGGTTGAATTTGAAACTGTGCACAATAGCGAAAATGTAAATTCGAGGAACGAGTGAGTCGTCTGCGAAAAACACAGCGTTATCTCCAGGCGCTAGACTCACGGATCAGGGTATCGCTCCTCGTTATGATGCAGCGAGTAGCAGTTCAGCATCATGACGGTGTTGGCGGGAATGAACATCCCTCTGTAGACAAAGTCGTTGTCGGAGCAGTGCGGCGTGGCCATCCAGAATGGGGAGTGACAACGAAGGACCTGGGGGAGAGAGTTTTTTGGTGGGACGTGAGCAGAAAAGCGGGAATGAAAAGATAGGGTGATGAGTTACCTCTTTGATGATAGCGCGAACGTAGGGGAGTCGCATTTCGTCTTCGGGCGTCGGCCATTGGTCTCGTCCTATGACGCGATCCAATTCCTCGTGTGCCTTGGCTTGGATCTCGGGATGAGAGGGCATGAACGCCAAGAACCACTGAATAGTCCCAGAAGTCTATATTCATTCATTAGTCCTTATCAGGAATATCAAGATTTTGAGGTAAACGAATGTCGCACCGAATGAGAGCCTCCGGTGGCGAACGCCGTGGTCAACAGACACATATCCGTCCAGCTCAGTTTCTCATCTTCCTGGTATTCCAAAAGCGACTTGACGAGACAGTCAGGCACGTTTTCCCCGGATTCCATGCGGTGTTTCACTAGATTGATCATGGCGCCGTATACTTCCAGAAAGTCTTTGCGCAGCTTGCGGCCGCGAGATCGGATACGGGTTGGGATCCATTGTAATGGCTTGATGAAATCGATGGCGTTGGACCAGGGGCCTGTACGGAGATTATGTCATCGATACTTCGAAAATGGGCAAGAGGCATTTACCTGTGAGTTTCATGAACTCATTGCCCAAAGGCAGAGCTCGCCTTACCAAAGGGTCTGCCACCGACCCAGTGCGCGTGCCGAAGGTGACTGACAGCATGTTACTATGTTCACAGGTTTTAGCTCAGCTTGGGCGCGTGAGCTAGGGGCTAAGAGACTTACTTGAGCACGTATCGGCCGGCATAGTGCGCCGGATTGACGGGGATGAGACCTTGTTTGGTGTCGTGGAAGAGAGAGCGGATGAGCATGTGGGCCTCATAGTCAAGAGTGGCGCTGTAGCTCTCGACTGCCTTTGGTGCGAGAATGGTGTTTGCGATTCTGCGATGTTTCCTCCTAAATAAATTAAGAATAAGAAAACACGGAGTGACGTTTTGTCGCGTCGATATCGCAGCATGATGGGCTTACCAGGTGTCGTTGTAAGGAGTAGCGGTGATAGCACCCCCTTTGAGGATGGTTTGATTTTTCATGAAGAAATTCCAGCGGCTTGAAAAGTTGGCACCGTGTACGACGAGAAGGTCGCGGACGACGGTAGGGTCGTTCAGAACCACGAAGAGCTGGTTGCCCATCCAGACTGAGTATAGGGGGCCGTACTTTTTAGTCCATCGATGCAAGATGCGCTCGTTGTACTTGGGGAGGAAAGGGTAGCGGAGAGGAGGGCCAGGCGGGAGAGGGTGGCCATCCTTGTCGACGAGATTCTTGCGAAGGAATAAAGGGATGATTAGATACAAACAAAAAGAGGCAAGGAGAATGGCAGGGAGCTTGAGGTCTAGCGAGGTTTGCTAAAAACACGTAATAAATGTATTAGATAACGAAAGCGCGTGTGTTGAGCAGGGTCTCACCTGAAGACCGCGCAGACATGAGAAGAAATCGGTGCCGGTAGACATTGTTGGATACTGGAGAAAATGTCTTCACAACTGTCATATAAATACTGGTCCGTTAAATCTTTTTATACGGGTAACACAGCCAGTAAGACTCCGAGGGGGGGTCGGTGTTGTTTTTGGACTTAAAATTTCATACGCCTCTGTCAACAAGATGTCAGATCTCATTTAGACATATAGAAAACGGAGCTGCAGCCACAATGACTTGTCAAACTGAAGAACCACGGTACTATGACCTTGGGAGGAGTTGTCTGATGAAAGTAGACTGACCATCAGATGTACAGAGGGCCTTGAAGGCGAGTGTCTGGCTGCGTGGTAAGAAAGTATTGGAAAATGGAGAGAGTACCAATCTGATGCATCACATAGACTAGGGCAATCATGTCGTTTCAGGTTTATCTTTCCATGCAAGTGATGCTGGCACTGATGCTGGCACTGCCGCATTGCAGCTGAGCTCGAGCGGAACCAGAATGATGGGCGCTGTTCCAAATGGGTTGTAGTACGGAGGAAGTCGACTAATCCCGTGATCGCGTGTTACTCTTGGCGCTAACCCAGCCCTGACTGATCGATCTAACCTAATTCACGATTCGAACAGCAGCCTCGACCAGGCGCCGTTTGAAGCGTCCAAATTACAGCTCCGACTGTTCGCGGCGCTCGAAATGCAGACTCCTCCGACCGATGCAAACAACGGACCTGGGCGCATAATTAAGACGCTGTACCACAGGCAATTTGGAACTCTGTACGTCAACTCCCTACTAGCAGACCATCATGAGTATCTTACAATACATCGCAGCATCCGCTATTGCCTACATAGTCTACTCCAAATTCGCATCAAGAGGTACAAATCCAAAGCTCCTGCCTTTACCTCCTGGCCCGCCTGGCCTTCCTTTCATCGGAAATGCTCACCAAGTATTGGGAAAGAACATGGTGACCGTCATGAGCGACTGGGCAAAGGAATATGGCAAGCTTTATCTGCTTTCCTCTAGTCTTTTGGTATATAACGAAAACTTGCCTCTACTTAGGTCCTTTGGTGTACATCAGGCTCTTCGGCTACCCTGTCATCCTAGTTAGTTCCACCGAGGTTGCAAAGGACCTTTTGGAGCAGAAGAACTACGGAGGGAGACCCAATTTTATTCTGGTATGTGTCATGGCAAAAATCAATCTTGTAACAATGTAGCTGATCTCGCCACCCACAGGCGTCTACGGCCATGCAGGGCGACATGATGATGCCGTTTATTCATGCCAACGAAAGGTTCCAGAGGGTCCGGAAGCTGGTTACCACCGAGCTGCGTCCAACGGTAAATCTCCCATTACTACGCTGTTCACATCGTCTAAATGTCAGCTTGTCATTTCTACGCGTTGACAGGCAGTGACAGAATACTTCAATCCCATTCAGTCTGCTGAAGTCCATCGGCTAGTCCAGGTTTTCCCGCACTAATTTGTAGTGGTTTCCAATGACTAACGCAAATCTATCAAGTGTATGACGCAAACACCAGAACAATGGGTTTCGCATGTTTATCGCGCTGTGGGATCTATCGTATGTCTCCTATCACCCATGGTTGCTATCGCCTGATGCTTAGTCGTTGACCGTAGCTTATGACTGCTGTGTACGACAAGCCTTTGAAGAGCGGAAAGGAGTCGGATGTAATGATAAAGAATGTTATAAGATTGAACGATGATCTGTATGTACTATTCTACAATTCGTAGCGCCCAAGTGCTCACCCTCACATGCTACCTACAGTATCAACGCCATCGATGGTGGCCAAAATTATGTCGACTTCCTGCCCTGGCTTCGGTACGTTCCGTATGTCCCCTACAAAGCTTTCGCAGCGGCGTACTATGATCTGGCCGAGAAGACGTACAAATACCTCATGGACGAAGCCAAACATAAATTGGTATGTTACTATCGATTCCCAATGCATAGCACCACTGACGTGCTTGGTGGTATAGGAGGCAGGTCTACCAGCGAAAGGCATAGCTGCGAGACTTCTAGAATCACAACACGATGTTGAAGCTGACTACAGAGAGCAATATTGGGTAAATGAAGCCTATCAGCATTTCACTTACTTTGGCTTACTGCTTCACAGGCTCTCGCAGCGTTCTACCTTGCGGGTTCCGATACTCAGGCCATTGCGTCTCAAAGCATGATGTAAGATGTTTTCTCTAAAGTGTCATACCATCCAGTTTATTGATGTGCTGGCCTTAGCATGGCATTCGCTCTTAACCAGGATGTACTTGCTCGTGCGCAAGCAGAGGTTGATAGCGTCGTGGGCCCTGATCGCCTTCCTTCGTTCGAGGATGAACCCAATCTGCCCTATATAAAAGCTATGGTACGCGAAGTATTGAGGTGGCGGCCAACGGGACCAACCGCCATTCCACATGCAGCAGTCGAGGTGGGTCGTTCTGAAAGCAGTGGATAGATAGATATATTGATTTGGTTTTTTCACGCATTACAGGATGACGAGTACAAAGGATATTTCATTCCTGGTGGCTCCATGGTTATACCCAATATTTGGGCAATGCAAATGGATTCGAAGACTTTCAGGCAACCCGAGGCCTTCAATCCACAACGCTACATCGACGATCCCAATCTACCTTTCCATGCGTTTGGGTTCGGCAGAAGGTGAATACTTTCCATACCCCCTTTGAGATGAAACGCTGAAAATGCATGTTTCCAGAGCCTGCCCGGGACGCCGAGTCGGTGAACAGACTCTCTTTCTTGAGTTCGCCACCATCGCCTGGGCACTTGACATCAGACCGGCTATCGATGGATCCACAGGCAAACCGATTCCTATCAACTCCGACAGGGAAACCGGGTTTTCTCCCGTTGGCCTCTTGTTCGTCTCCTGACCTGATGAGACCGAGTCCGGCGTACTAACAGTGCTTCCTTTTTAGGAAAGCGCTTCCATTTTCAGTCTCGATCACGCCCCGAAGTCCTGCACGCACCAAAATCCTGACTACTATAGTAGACGCTGAGGACCTCTGAGGAATTGTACGTAGCTCAATAGCAAGGCTTTTGTTGTCGGCTTTCTCGTATCTGCGGGCTATCTTTGAATTCAGTTGCAAGTTTTCTTGTTGTGCCTTGCTGTGTGTATTCGGACTCCGGTCTTGTTGTGTTGTATTTATTACGTTTTGTAAAGTCATGTTCAACTAAAAGTTAATGGACTTATTATGCAGTTTTCCAGCGCTCATCATGGGAGAAATTCGGACACATAGCTGTGCAGGGCATTCCCGGAGATACTACCGCAGTCTATGAGGTACATCGCATCGTTTTTGACAGATCCCTGGAATAGAAATAAGTTCTCTGGTCAATATGAATGACAAGAGAGTTACGGTCCACTCGGTCAAACTTTCAAACCAATTGACTCACAGGCAAGGCACTCATCACAAAAGGTCATGATTAGCTAAAAGTAGTTTAGCTCCGATCAGGGTTACCATCACGTTGTGGTCTATCTATGTGCTTGCATTGCACAGCGCTTGATCTGTATGTATGGCCTTCCAGAATGCTTTCAAAAGAATGATGCGATAGCATGAGCTTGGATCTCGACTCTTCGACTGTACTATCATGGACGATAATCGAAGTGGACAAACAGCCCTGTCATCCTATGGCCAAGCGAAAGCTGAGACGAGAAAGACGGCTCTGCAGCTTCAGAAGAACATGAGGGATTCATATCATGAGAAGACTAATATAGACGTATGAGCCTCTACCCTTTACCCTAGTTATCATTTAACATTTTTTTTTTGTTCCCCTTTGAATTAGGGCATTGTTAATATCGTAAGCACAAGCACACCCCCACAAATATATTCGCTCAGCGCTCAGCACCTGGTATAGGGAGTGGCTGAGAATACGCTTATGTATGAAGACTTACGCGAGTATTTCGAACGCAATCTTCATCTAACTCCTACAGTGAGTCTCAGTTCGCAATTGATAAATGAAATTCTTATACATCCACCGCTGATATCCAGGATTTCACGTATGGTGATGGGTTGACTGGGACCATGCGTCTCTGCACCGCAGTATCAAGATTCTTGAATTCTTACTTCGAGCCCTATCGACCAGTTGTTCCAGACCATCTCATCATGGGATCGGGGCTCATGACTGTGTTGAGCCAAGTCACACGAGTGATCGCGGATCCTGGGGACGGCATCTTATTAGCTTCTCCTTACTATCAAGGATTTGATGTCAGCTTCACAGTTCAGAACGGCATCATTCCTATTGGCGTGCCGATTCCAGCATCTGATATGTTTACGGTTAAAGAATTAACCCACCTCAAACGTGGTCTGCAAGAAAGCACTGCCAAAGGGATCACCATCAAAGCAGTCATGTTGTGTAACCCCCACAACCCACTAGGTCGCTGTTATCCGCCGGACGTTATCATTGCATACTGTCGCTTCTGTGAAGACCACAATATTCATCTCCTTTCAGACGAGGTTTATGCACTCTCTGTTTTTCCGTCTTGCGACGTCCCTGATCCAGAACCTTTCGTATCTGTGCTGTCGATCGACCTCGAGAAACATGGCGTGAACCCATCCAGAGTGCACGCACTCTATGGCATGTCCAAGGATTTCAATGCAAACGGATTTCGTGCTGGAGTCTTTGTGTCTCAATCAAATCCTATGCTCATAGAAACTCTCACCGTCACTACCATATTCATGGTTATTTCATCTGTTACAGACACATTATGGTCTACTCTGCTCATGGATGAAAGTTACCTCCCAGCGTTCATTACAAAGAACCAGCTCCTGCTACGCGACGCTTACGAATATGTGACATCGTGGCTTAGGTTTCACAATCTCCCCTATATTCCGTCTTCTGCAGGCCATTTCCTCATGGTGGACTTGCGTCCTGTGCTGTCAGATGTCGATCGCTACGCCTCTCTTTTGTCTATTACTCCGGAGCATAATATGCGTGAAAGGGAGCTGGCGCTCGCTAGGTTTCTCTTGGCTCATAAAGTCAGCATAATCCCAGGGGCAAACTGTCATATAGCCGAAGGCGGGTGGTTTCGCCTCACGTTTTCGGTGAGGAGGGATTTCATAGACGTCGCCCTGGGAAGGATAGAAACGGCGCTGGGGTGGGACAAATGGCAGCCACAAGTAAAATCTTTCACTAGTTAGAAACTTGTGATGTGTACTTTACCTGTGCTGGGGATCAGTGAATAAGATACATAGCCTTATTGTCAATGTATATTCTAACGGACTCTCAGTGATGCGCCTCCCCTTGCACGTGGTACGTATTTCGAAGACTACTGCTATGACTTAGAAAGCCGAAACGCATTGGTACGCGTATACTTCAGGCACACAGGTACTAAACAACTTGAATCTTATTGACATTGTCAGTCCAACGTGTACTGTTACAGATAACTAAAAGTACACGACGAGATATTGAGAAGGGGAAAAAAGTGGAGGGTAGAGTTGAGTTAAGTGGACGAGTCAAATTTTGCTAATTATGTATTACACCTTCGAGCGTTTACCTAAGTAAGTGAGAGCCAGAAGACTTCAAGGCCGCTACGGCTTCTTCGTGAATACCATGAACCACGTCCTGCAGAAAGGGCGTTAGTTACATAAATCGGAATGCATCAGGTAGTTCCGTGGTGCGCGAGACTTACGGCAGTGCTCTTTATCTCATTGACATCCCCCACACCAGTACCAGCATAGACTATAAGGTAGTCGCTCTGACCACTAGCGATGTTGGCCTTGCGCTCTTCAGGACTGCGGCCGGCCTCGTAGTCGGCTACAACACCATTGTTGACGCAGCGAGCCTCAATTCCGTCTGGCCAGACGCCCGGGGGGAAAGCGAGATCGTATGCGGGACTTCTAGCAGTCGAATCAGGGCCAGTTTCTACCAGCACCTTCTTCATCTCGTCAGGGAACATGCATTCGGGTGTGAATAGGAGGCGGGTGCCGAGGACGACTGCAGAAGCTCCGGCGGTCAACGTCGCCGCGAGTTGGGTGCCTGTAGTGATGCCACCTGCGGCGATGACCAGAGGGCCGTTGGGAACCGCACTGAGTACAGCTTCGAGGAACTCTTGGGTGGGAGGAGAGTAGGTACTCCCACGGCCACCAGCCTCAGCACCTGTAAAATTTTAGTCAGGTTGCACCAAAAAATACATTGTGTTGGAATGTACCTTGCACTACAATGACGTCTACCTTCCACTCGTTTGCAGCGCGTACTGCTTCCTCGACGGTATTGACATTGACGAACACAAGAGTTTTGTGATCACGTGTGGCGTCATGGGCGCGCACCTGTGAAACATATTTTCCAAGGTCTTTGCCGAATGCGAACCAGACAGCGACAGGTGACTTGTTGAGGACGGTTGTAAGACGGGGATCAGCTTCGGTGTTGAATTTGTCCAAAACCCAGCCGACAAAACCCATTCCGACGAGGTGTTGCTTATCTTGAGAAACTGCGGCGCGTGCCTCGTCGATAGCGTCGGCCAGTTTGTGTGAAGGTTCATTACCTGATGAGTTACAAGAAATGAACATGTGTATTTGATATATTGATTGGCTAGTTACCTGCGCCCAAAAAACCAAGGCCTCCAGCGTTAATAACAGCTGCAACCAGGGCAGGCGTCGTAGCATATGCCATGGGAGCTGAAACTATGGGACTTGTGATCTCTGTGACAGAATTAATAATGACATATAATGAGAACATGACATTGGAACTCACTGAATAACTTGGTGAATTCGGTTGAAATTGGAGTGGACATGTTGTTCTGGCTATGTGTAGTTGTCTAGAGTGTAAAGAAGTTTCAGTTTGAACAAGGAATGCCCCCCGACTATGGTTTATGTATTTATTTACCCAAACCCAAAACTCACCTGATTTGGTTGAGACGTTTTACGAGACTCGGCCGACTTTTGGCCATGATCACATCAGAATCAGATGCGTACGGCGCGAGAGCCAACTACGCACAGGACTTGGTTGAGGGCGATCACTGGCATGTCTGGAAATGCACGGACCCATCAGATCAAGCAAGCTGTGTTCAGTACAAGTTTACTGTATCACGGCGATTTAGCGTCCGTGTCTTAAAAAAGCAGAATGTACCCACGATGTCTCTGACTCGGAGTCTGTCAGTGCCAAATGCGAATGGCAGCGGTGGGACTAAAGCTTTTGCTCACCTAGGTTTTTTATAGTGGGAAGGTGCGTGTGGACAGAACAGACGGAGAATCACTAGAATCCTGGAAGAAGCATGTTGATGCATGCATGATGGCGGAGATGGCCTCAAGTTCGAACTTCGAAGGCACTGATGGCAAGGTGCAGGTACATAATTTCCAACTTGAAGCTCAGGTCAGGTTCGACATGTAACTCCGAGGTGAATTAACAAACAGGCTACTAGTGGGTCTTCGTAATAGACGCCCGGACCCTGGAATTCCAAGGTCGGTTCTTGCCTGTCTCTCGACATGGTCCGATCATATATAAGCTGATATGTACTGCTCTTTCCATCTTCTCAAGGTAAACCGTGACCCTCTTCACCCTCCCCACATTCCAAGATGCCGGGCATTGATTTGATGTACGTATCCCAATCATATCATTATAGGCCTGCTCATCGTCAACATTGAACAGTTATGGGCCAATGCTGGTCGGCGTGTTCTTCAACTGTATCTTGTTCGGAGTAAGTCATCATATCTATCAAACGCACTGTTTACTCTGTTCTGATCGCATGGGGATAGGTCATGGTCATGCAGGTTGGTTCTCTGTGATAACAGCTTAGGATTCGAGCTGACAGTTGTGGTAGGCATTCATTTACTTCCAGACCTACAAAGCGTAAGTGAGGCTACTTTTATCCTTCTTTCTGTAACTAATCGAATACCAGGGACCTGACTTGGATCCGTTGGTTTGTGAGTGCAGATCATTTCACTTGGAATTCACAATCTTGACTCTTCACTAGGTCTTCTACCTGATCATTGCTGAGACAGTGAACACGTGTTGTGATATGTATCTCATCTACCAGCCTCTCGTCCAAGAGTTCGGTGAGTCTGTAGCGTGTATGGCCCTGCATTCGGTTACTCAAAAGTACAACAGGTACCCCTGCTGCTGTAACATACTTCCCCATGAGTGAGTCTCTCCAAGCTATACTGTTTATCGGCTCTAAGTAATATCCGTCATTCTAGTGCTCGCTGCATGTAAGAACTTTACCTCACTGGCAGGTTGCTATTATCCATTGTATTGATTCACTTACCCCCAATTAGCTCCCATTGTTACCGTGGGTGAAACTTCACCTAATCGAAGAATTCCGTAGCTCACATTAGTCTTGTACAGGTTTGCGTATCAACCCCTGTTCAAATATTCACAGCTTGGCGCATCAGCGTGGTCTCCCAAAGGAAGATAATCGCCATCATAATCTGCCTTTTTGCGTTACTTTCATTTGGTAAGTGGCGTTACCTCATGCATGCGGTCCGGTAGTAATGAAATTGAACCTTGGTAGTGGGCGCTTTCTGGGTGGGTATCCAAGTCGTAACCTTCAAACTCTTTGCCCGAAAACTGTCATTCCAATTCAATCTTCCTGGAGTGATATGGTTTGTGGCCTCTGCAGTAGCCGATTTGTTGATTACAGTAACCCTGGTATTCAGTCTGGTGCGTGTTTTTTTTGACATCCGTCAGCCGAAACCCCCTATTAATAGCGTCATTATGTGACTAGTCGGCACGGAGGACTGGGCACTCGTTAACAAACATATCCATCAATCGGATCATCCGTTTGACAATCCAGACGGGTCTTACAACCCTGGTTTTCGCGATGGCTGATTTGCTCTCATTCACCATATCTCCAGTGAGTTGTAAATTGCTGTATTACTCTCCTCTTTCTCTTACACTTTCTTCTCTAGCAAACTGCTGAGTTAGTTACCGAACTACTTTTTTTGTTTTCAGACTAATGTCGGGTGTACTTGGCGCTTTGTTTACAGAAACTTCGTCTGGGACTTTTCAATCTCAAAGTTATACACGAATGCCCTACTAAGTACACTCAATGCACGTGTTGGCTGGAGCAATCTGAACACGGGCGATCGTGACCCAGAAAACGTGTTGTTTGGCGACTCGACAACGGTACGTCTATAACTGTAGGTCCGAAGGGAATGAGTTATGTAACAAGGATTTTGTCTATAGCAAATAGGGTCGCATCCTGCGAAGAATTACATTAGCAACACGGGGGCACGCCGAAGGGTATGTGACTAGACGTTTATGTCATCCATGATTGACAGGATTGTACTTGTATCCAGAATATCACCACTGGTACTGCTTCAGAAACTGTGGGCTCTTATGAGCTACAGCCGCCCGGTTTCAACGGAGATGTCAACGTCAATATCACAAAGCATACTGTCAGTGATTATACTCCTGAAATTCACGACAATGCCGTACAGGGCTACACACAATGAGAGTCACGACGATTCTGTCCGAGTCACTCTGAACGCCGCGCACACGTTATATTCTCTTGAGAGTAGTTAGGAGAAGCGGTGAACTTGGGAGTATTGTATGTTTCAAAACTTTGGTAATTTTCATCGGATGTGTTCTCATTTCATCGTAATTCTTGCTTTGCTGTATATTTAAAGTATTCTGAGCACTCATTTTATATGCGTATGTGAACTTCACTTCTTGAAGTTCATGGACATTACGTTCTCCATTGCAAATGGTACGTACTAAGCGTGAGAACAGTATCGAATGTCGTGCAATCCTTCGGCATCGTCCCTGTTCGCATCTCCACTATGTACAACTGGACTCGGAGTCGCTCGTATCCTACAAAAACTGAGGATGCAGCGGTGAAACTAAAGCCTAGCAAAGCCTGACGGTTATTCAACTGTGTCGAGCGCACCAATTCTATTTCTTGATAGTCAGTGTATATCATGATCTTTGTTCCATCCTCCAAACAACCCGAACTGCAGTGGCAATTTAGACTTTGCATGTGGCAATTAAAATGTGGTTAGTAATATGTAAAAGTCTGTTTAATGTTATCTAACATTGTTTCTTACGTTGTAACAGCTTTATGTCTCAAATAACATCGAGCTTTGGCGCTTCAGAGAGTCAGTTCTGATACGTTCAGATTCCGCTAGCTATGTCTTCCGCAATTCAACGAGACAGACGGCGCACTTTCCAGGATCACCGAAGGCCGCAAATAGTGCCTATTTTATCTCTCAGGGGGCGCGTCTGCTGCTCAACTCTGCCACATATTCAAGCACGTCTTTCCGTTGTCAGTCCGAGTATGTTCTTTTTTTAATTTTAATTTTATTGGCTATTAGAATACTACGACTATGAAACTGGTTCTTCTCTGGCCCTGTGGTACTAGATAATTGCGACAATACTCTTGAATGTACACTGCATCTTCAAACACGACAACTCAATCTGAGAGCATGGGGCGCAGGGAGCCTGGAGTATTCCATACAGTCCTCTTTCATTCTAGCTACACGCCGCCTCCAAATACGAGCTTCTGAGTGCTTTTCACACGATGTCCCATGAACCCGGTTTGGAAAGTCGTCTATGGTCTGACCAAGAGCGTGATGGGCCTACAGCATTCTGAGAACTAACCCGATGAGTCCAAGGGCGTCAATGCAGGTGAGAGGTTTCTACTTTGGTTGCCAGAGGAATATGATGCGTGATGGTTGACTAGTGTTATATGCAGGACTATGTATATGTATTTGAATGTCATGCCCCTGTCCAGCAGGAACCTTGTTCTATCTTCAGAATAGAACTGTTCTGGCGGTGAAGCGTGAAAGTCAACGCGCTGATCATATCAAACGTATGGCTTGATACGAAACTTTGAAAGCTGATACATTATTCTTAGTGTGCTTTTAAGCAGGGTAACAGGACCCTTTCCGATCACAATCCAAAATTGCCTGACATCGGTTTCCTACCAGGAGCTGGCAGTGCTTACTGATGTGACGTAGAGTTGAAATGTCTATGCATCGTATAGCCTACCGTACTAGCGAGATGCAAGACTCTTCGCTCCGACTTTCGGAGGTGAGTAGTCTCCCGATCTATGCCTCCTCCGGGACGGAGGGTCTCGTGGTACTGATGGGTCGTCGAAGCGGCCAATACGGAGGCCGTCGACACCGGAGATGATCTGGTATCATGCTTTCTCGGATTACTAAATCGATAAACGCTGAAGGTGCATTTAAATAGGCCCAAGTTCATGGCGATTGATGTTGCTATAAAGTCTTCCCTAGCATAAGGATCGTTCCCCCAGTCTTGTTGTGCCCTCTACGATGGACTGGGACATAATGTAAGGGGATTGGGATGGCAATTTTGTTCAAGTGTAGCTCACGCCGTCCTCCACTAGCTACGGGCCTATGCTGATTGGCGTATTTTTCAATTGTATTCTATTTGGAGTAAGTTTTCTTTTTAGTTAATTAACTGCAATTCACTGACTTCCTTCTGATTGTGTTTTAGATCATGGTTATGCAGGTTGGTTAAAAGTGATATGTAACTCGGAGATTGAGCTAACGGCAGTGGTAGACTTTCATTTACTATCAAACCTTCAAAGGGTGAGTGGTTCGGGTTACTTGCCCATGCACAACTTATTAGAGTATCAGGGACCGAGCCTGGATCCGTTTGTTTGTACGTAACAGCATGTTCACTTATTTGCAAAAAAAAGATAGACCACTCCCTACTAGATTTTCTATCTCATCGTCGCTGAGACCGTGAACACAGGTTGTGACATGTACTTGATCTATCAACCGCTTGTTCAAGAGTTTGGTGAGTTATGCTATGTGTAACGGTAGGTTTTCGCTAACGAGATGGCCAATAGGAACCTCGGCTGCGGGGACGTACTTCCCCATGAGTGAGCCTTCAGTCTACTTATCATGCGCTTGACTCTGAATCATATCTGCCATTACAGTGCTTGCTGCATGTAGGAGTTTTACCTCAGTCTGCCGCCCATTGTATTGATCCACTTACATTCTCATCAGCACCCATTGTCACTGTGCGTGCATTTTATTCAGTTGATTAGTTGTTTATTTCACTTAGGTTTGGTACAGGTTTGTGTCTCAACCCCGGTCCAGATATTCACCGCTTGGCGCATTACTATAGTCACCCAAAGGAAGGTTGCTGCCATTATCATCTGTACATTTTCGTTGCTTTCGTTTGGTAAGTAGCATTGTCTGCTTGTACCTGGCCCGGTAATCTCTTCGAATCTTTTCAGCGGCCGCGCTTTGGACAGGCATTCAAGTAGTAACCTTGAAGCTAATTTCCCGCAAGCTGGAATTAGAATTCATTATCACAGGAGTCACCTGGCTCATATTAAGTGCGCTGGCTGATTTAATTATCACAGCAACCCTCGTATTCAGCCTGGTGGGTGTTTTTGCTGTAACATTTTCTATTCTGCTAACTTACTGGCACTCTGTGGCTAGTTGACACGGAAGAAGAGTAGATACACTTCCTCTTTCTTGAATCTGTCGATCGATCGGATCATCCGCTTGGCAATTCAAACAGGTCTTGTCACCTTTCTTTTTTCCTTGGCCGATGCGCTCTTATCTATATTCACCCCAGTAAGCTAGTTCACTGTGATTTACCATGATTTGTCTTACTTTCTATTTTTTTTTTAGAAAACTTCAGTGTGGGCGACAGCGTACTTTCTTTAAACACTGCACCTGTTCTTACTCTTGTTTTTTTTTAGAAACTTTGTTTGGGATTTCTCAATCTCGAAGTTGTATACAAATGCATTGTTAAGCACACTCAATGCTCGGGTTGGTTGGAACAACCTCAACACGGCGGGTGATCGTGACCCAGATAACGTGCTGTTTGGGGACCCAACAACGGTATGTCTAATTCACTTAGTTTGATGTCCATGGATCAATAACTGTTTTTTTATAGGGTGTGGCGCCGCAACCTGTACGGCACTTTCCCAGTAGTGCAGGTGCACGTAGAAGGGTAGGTCTCTACCTAATTGCTTGTCACCTGTCGAGTAACAGATCATATCTGCATATACAGTTTGAAACAACAACAATTGCGTCGGACGTCACAGCCAGCTCGCACGAGCTCGGATTTCCTGTTTGCAAACCGGAAATTGCTATCAATGTCACTAAGCATGTTATAAGTGACTATTCTTCGGATGTTCACGACAGTGAGGTGCATGATTTGGTACAGCAAGCGTGAAATAGTAGTCTTAGTTGCTCATTTCTCATCTCTAATGATAGTATGTATGTGTTCAAGAGTCCATTAGTTCTCTATGTTTGTAATGTTGAGATTTTTCATGATCATTTTGCTAAAAAAACAGAATACTGTACATTGTCATATTCATGCCACAGGTTATGATTTCTGGACCTCTGAAAGGTCAGAGACCCTCAAGTCTGAACTCCCAAATCTTTGGTACTGTCAGAATTATGCTCGTTATGCTCTGCTGTTTGGCATAGTCCTGTACCTCACCCCCACATGGTATTATGGCTTTGAAGAGTATTGATATGAGTGTGAATCTGAACTAATATTGAACTGAGGAAATAATACACCAAGCATCTACTTCTAATATAGTGCAAAAAAAAGGTCAGACCAAAAGAAGAAAGAAATAAGAAAGTGGTCTGACCAGATAATTGACCAATAAGAAAAGGGGGAAGAAGTGGTATAATCTATCATAATTATTAATCACATGGGAAGAATCTTGAGTAAGGGATATACAATTGGCAGGATCAGCTGTTCAAATGAGAACTTCTGGGGAGTGTTTAGCCACTTGCTGAAAGCTAACAGGGACAGAACTAGAGTCCAGTATGAGTAACTTTATTATCAGAGAGTACGGAGTGTGTACAGTACCTAGAGTCCAGTATGAGTAACTAAAGAATAGGAATACTGGACTCTGCAATACTAGTCCAAAGTTCTGTGAACAGGGGTAAACAAATCAGCCACAAAGGCAAAATTATAGAATGCTCAGTGAATACTGAACAATAGAGCAAAAAGAATAAAGAGGAAAGTGATTTAGAAAGAAGGGAAAATAGATAGCACAACTAGGTGACAAAACCGGATAAACCCGGTCTCTATTAAAGCAGCCATTGTTCTCCATGTAGCATAGCCACCACTCCATGGAGTCATCATTGTTCTCCTAGGAGTTATGTTGTGTATTATATTACCCTTCATATCAACTTCCTTTATCTATTGATCCCCTTACTTACTTCTAATATTCCGAGTTTCCATCACCTTACATAATCACTGAACTTTCCCACACTTACCAAAAAACTCGTCCACATAGCATTGACACCTCAGTCTTCTGCCCAAAGACTGAGGTAAGTCAACATATATTCAAAGTCACTTTTATGTTAGTTTTGGTGATTCTGCACCTTTGTGCTACCTATATATTTTCATTCCTTTCTCTATCTTTTCTTCTATCATTCACTATTGATTGTGTTCTCTATTATTTTGCCTTTGTGGCTGCTTTGTTTACCTTTGTTTACAAAACTTCGGACAGTACTGCAGAGTCCAATGCTTCCTATTCTCTAGTTACTCACATTGGACTCTAGTTCCAGTCCCTGATTGCTCTCAGCAAGTGGCTAGACACTTCCTTCAAGCTTTGTTCTTAATATTTTACACATAGCTAACAACTATATCTTAGCTTATTTTCACTCTAGGTATATATCATCCTAATATATTGAGTCTTCTGCCCAAAGACTGAGCTTATTTTCACTCTAGTTCATAGAACTTAATAAGTTATTATACTGTAGTGAGTAGCACCTCCGACTAGAAGTAGTAGGGGTTTAGTATAGAAATACCTCAGTTATTTCTATAGCCTCTTGGGCCGTGGCTGAGGTATGTTACATTACATTTATTAGAGATCACCTTAAACTAACATCAATTGTAGTTTCACATAGGTAAATAATAAAGTCGTTTCTATAGCCTCTCGGGCAGCGGCTGAGTTTCACATAGTTTTATTAGGTTATGAGCCCTGGTGCACAAAAGCTACGCAGGAAATAATTCTTATTTGAAACGGCAACCTCAAAACCATGACCACGGCACACAATACATCCGCATGTCCAGTTCTCACTGGACCCAACAATTTTCAGATATGGAAACTCCGGATCATCTCAAAGCTACGGCGGGAAAAAGTTCTCCGGGTTGTTACTGGAGAGGAGCTCAAGCCCTCACCAGGAAAACCTACCTCCTCGGAGGATCCTGAAATCACCTGGATACTTAAGGATGAGAAGGCACATGGAATCATCTAGGACCACATCTCTGATGCCCTCCTATTGAGGACTGGAGACCTCAGCAGCTCCAAGGAGTTATTTGATAAACTTGTCTCACTCCATCAGACGTCCAACATTGCCTCGGCCTTCTATTCATTCCAGCAACTCACCAAATTGTCCTGGGATGGGACATCACCTATCCAGGACCACATTGCAAAAATCTGGACAATTGATTCACACCTCTCCGGAATGAAACTAGGAGTTGATACTAAACTCATGGCCTTCGCTCTTTTCCAATCTCTCCCATGCACTCCTGAATGGCAAATATTTCAGTCATTGGTAATCAACACGATTAAAGAAAATAAACTTACCTTTGATGCAGTTGAGATCCGGATCACTGCAGAAGTTGCACGGCAGTCAGGGAAGGCCCCTGGAGGTTCCAAATCAGCACTCAAATCCAAGGAGAAGTGGTGTGACTTCCACAAAGCGAAATCACACAACACCTTGGAGTGTCTAACACTTCAGTCAGCTGGAAAAGGTCAAAGGAAGAAGGGAAAGGAAAGACACAAGGATAAAGGAAAAGAAAAGGAAAAGGCAAATACGGCGGAGCAATCATCTGGATCTGACTCCGAGGAGGAACAGAGTCATATTGCATTGGAACATGTACATATTTCCAAGCCTCTTGCTAAACACATTCAAGCTTACCTTGTGTCGGGACCCGATAAGACCAAAACAACAATCATCATTGACTCCAGAGCAACATCCCACATGGTCCCTCACCGCTCCTGGTTTGAGCCAGGAACATACCATATTCTGCATCCTCCGAGAACAATCAGTTTTGGGGATGAATCCTCTGTAAATGCCATTGGCATTGGAACAGTAATCCTACAAGCAACTGTTGGCAAAAAGGACGACTACAATGTTGCACTGTCAAATGTCTTACTTGTGCCAAACTTCACTTTAGCACTCGTCTCTGTCCACAAATTGTCCAAAACGGGGTTATCAACACCTTTTCCAGCAGGGTCAAACACTTGTGAAGTTTGGAAGAAAGAGGAACTTATCCTCACTGCCTTACACAAGCGAGAACTTTATCACATCCAAGCAAAACCCAAAATCAACCCAGAGTCAGCTTTTGCAGCAGTAGATGTAAATTTATTGCACAGGAGAATGGGACACATTGGAATGGACCACTTGCAATGAATGGTTACAAAAGGACAGCTCCAGGACATAGACACCCTTACCGGAACCCCAGAGTTCTGTGAACCTTGTGCTTTAGGAAAGATAAAGAAATTACCTTTCAAGTCCACTGGAGGAAACCGAGCCAAGCGCCCCATACAAATTGTGCACACAGATGTTGGAGGACCAATCAAACCAACTTCCAGGGAGGGTTTTTAGTACTGGATTATCATTGTAGATGATTTCTCCAAATTTCCATGGATATATTTCCTAAAACATAAAAATGGGGCACTTGAACAATACAGGCAATGGAAAGAAGATGTCCAAACATTCTTCCGGACCCATTTGGGAGAAGAAAACTTCACTCCACTGTACACATAATTCCTCCAAAGCAATGAGGGAGGAGAATATACTGGCAATGCATTCAAAAATCAACTCTGAGTGTAACAACCAAGAGTGACTTACTCTGGCGCACACAGAAACACACTATAAAGAAGATGATGGGAGTGGTTACCCCTTAGGCTGCAGTGAGTTTGTTGGTTAACAACAGGAGGATTCACTGAGGAGTCTCCTGGATCTATTGGGGTATATATACTACTACAGGGTTGTTTGTACATATGTACTATACAGTTGATAGAGACAGTGGCTGATGATGTCATGGGGCCTAGCCCGCATGGCCAGCTCCACTGTGTGAGAAAGTTGTGTCTAAAATAAGAAGAAAGGCAATGCGGCGCAAGAAAGAGGAGCTTGGACAAAAGGGGAAGTGCCGCATGGCACCATGTGTGAAAGCTAAAGTACAAGGTTAAAGCGGAGAATGAAAATAAAGGAAAGGTCCGAAAATTGTGTTATCGTAACACCGAGGAGATGGTGTCATCCAAGAAACTACAGCTGCAGATACTCCGGAACAAATGGCATTGCAGAATGCATGAATCAGACATTGGCTACATTAGCAACCACTATGCTCCATGATTCCAAGCTCCCAAAGTCATTTTGGGTAGATGCCATGCAAACAGCTGCATATATCACAGCACACAGCCCAGCATCAGGACTCCATGGAAAGACCCCATATGAAATACTGTTTAAAAGGAGAGTTGATCCAACTTTATTTCACCCTTTCAGATGCCAAGCATATGCCTTGATTCCAAAAGACAAAAGGCAAGGGAAGTTTTACTCCAAGGGGCGCAAAGCCATAATGATTGGCTACACACATGGAAAGCAAGCCTACAAACTCCTAGACACTGAAAAACGAACTGTGTTTTCCAGTTGGCATGTCATATTCAATGAATCCAGAAAGGTACAAAAGGATGACACTGCTCCCTGGAACACAGGCACTAGCACAGATCAGTGGGAGGGACTCATTCCAGAGAATGCTCACTATCCAGACCAAAATACATTGGAGGAGGATGATCCTGACCCTCGGATCCGAGATCCAAATGAATTGCAAATGGAACCACACCTCCAAGGAGATGTTACACAAGCAATGAAACCATATCAGCATGAAGATGTTCCGAGAGCAGTGGGGCAATACCTCCGTAGAGACGTTCCGAGAGCAGTGGGAGCACCTGATCAGCTAAGACACCCTCCACAACAGTCTCTACAACCAAGACCTGAACACTAGCCATCTTCAGAACAGAAAGCCAAAGTAGAGTCACAGTCAGTGGGAGGACAGCCCCTCAACATACAGCCAGCTGATGTAGAAAAAGTCCAAATACAGCTAGACAGCCTGTCCATTGGACCAGCTTCTGGAAGGCATACAACGCCTCCAAGGAGTTATCCAACGCCTCCGAGGAGTGATTCAACGCCTTCAGGAGTGAGTGGGGCAACACACACATGAATTTGTCTACTCCATGGAGTACCTGCACAAGTTCCTAAAGAGCAGTCATGCCTGCTAAAGTTCTAGGAGTATGCAGAAGCAGTCGCGAGACCCGTCCTGCAGACAAAAACCGAGATTATTAAAG